AAGGGGCAAACCACCCTCCGCTTCCTAGTATATTACTTGCTAATGTACAGTCTCTGGACAATAACATTTGCGAGATCAGAGTACGGATTTCCTACCAGAAGGATACGAGAGACTGTAACGTAATCTGCCTTACAGAGACTCTGGCTGACGAGGGAGGTGCTTGACCAGGCTATACAGCCTGGGGGTTTTCAATACAGTGCGCATACAGGCAAAAATTACTTTACGGGAAAAACAAAGGCGGAGGAGTATGTTTCATGATGAACAATTGATGGTGTGATTGTAGGACTGTATAAACCCTTAAGAATTTCTGTTCCCTGACCTGGAATACCTCACGCTCAAATGCTGACCCCATTATCTCCCGATAGAATTCACAGCTGTTTGTGTCACGGCTGTGTACAGCCCCCCACAAGCCAACAACACGCTGGCACTCAAGGAATTAGACGGGACTTTGATCAAATTGGGAACAGTATAGAGGCCACATTCGTTGACATTAACAAAGGAAATTTAAGGAAAATTCTCCTGAACTTCCACCAACAAATCTCTTCCACACTCGCAGGAAAAATACATTAGACCATTTTTATTCTCCATTCCCAGAGACGGATAAAAAGCCCTACTTGGCCCCCCTTTCGGCAAATCAGACCACGCCTCCATTCTGCTCCTCCCCACCTACAGGCAGAAATTAAAACAGGAAGCACCCATGGTAAGGTCTGTTCATCGCTGGTCTGAGCAATCGGAATCCATGCTACAGGAATGTTTTGATCACACGGACTGGGATATGTTCCGGGCCGCCTTTGGAAGTAACATCAATGAATACACTGACTGTCTCTGGGTTCATCAGGACGTGCATAGAGGATGTTGTTCCTACAGTGACGATTAGAACATACCCAAACAAAAAAACATGGATAGATGGCAGCATTTGCGCAAAACTGAAAGCGCAAACCACCACATTTAACCACGGAAAGGTGACTGGAAACATGGATGAGTACAAACAGAACACCTATGACCTAAGCAAGACAATTGAAGAGGCAAAAAGACAATACAGGGACAAAGGAGTTGCAATTCAACAGCTCAGACACGAGACGCACATGGAAGGGACTTCAGACAATCACAGATTATAAAGGGAAAACCAGCCACGTTGCAGAACTTAGATGCCTACCTCCCAGACAAGTTAAACACCTTTTTTTGTCCGCTTCGAGGAAAACAACACAGGGCCGCATTCTGCAGATTTCCCTGTTGCTCACGAGGACTGCAGGCTCAAGATCTCTGTAGCCGACGTGAGTAGGACCTTCAAGCGTGTTAACCCCCGCAAGGCTGCCAGCCTGGACAAATCAAATCAAATTTTATTTGTCACATACACGTGTTTAGCAGATGTTATAGCAGGTGTAGCGAAATGCTTGTGCTTCTAGCTCCGACAGTGCAGTAATTTCTAACAATTTCACAACATATACCCAATACACACAAAAAAGTCAGGAATGGGACTTAAGAACATATACATATATGGACAAGCAATGACAGAGCGACATGGACTAAGATACAGAAGAATATTATAGAATAGAATGCAGTATATGCATATGAGATGAGTAGTGCAAGATATGTAAACATTATTAAAGTGACTAATGTTCCATTTCTTAAAGTGGCCAGTGATTTCAAAAGGCATCAGCATCCTCTAATATGCTAGTGATGGCTTTTTAACAGTCTGATGGCCTTGAGATAGAAGCTGTTTTTCATTCTCTCTGTCCCAGCTTTGATGAACCTGTACTGACCTCGCCTTCTGGATGATAGCGAGGTGAACAGGCAGTGGCTCGGGTGTTGATGTCCTTGATGATCTTTTTGGCCTTCCTGTGAAGGGTGCTGTATGTGTCTTGGAGGGCGGGTAGTTTGCCCCCGGTAATGCGTTCGGCAGACCGCACCACCCTCTGGAGAGCCCTGCGGTTGTGGGCGGTGCAGTTGCCGTACCAGGCGGTGATACAGCCCGACAGGATGCTCGCAATTGTGCATCTGTAAAACTTTGTGAGGTGATAAGCCACATTTCTTCAGCCTCCTGAGGTTGAAGAGGCTCTGTTGCGCCTTCTTCACCACACTGTCTGCGTGGGTGGACCATTTCAGTTTGTCGGTGATGTGTACGCCAAGCTTTCCACCTTCTCCACTGCGGTCCCATCGATGTGGATAGGGGGGTGCACCCTCTGCTGTTTCCTGAAGTCCACGATCATCTCCTTTGTTTTGTTGATGTTGAGTGAGAGGGTATTTTCCTGGCACCACACTCCCAGAGCCCTCACCTCCTCCCTGTAGGTGGTCTCATCATTGTTGGTAATCAAGCCTACTACTGTTGTGTTGTCTGCAAACTTGATGACACAAGGACAGCATCCCAAGCCATGTTCTCAGAGCATGCGCAGGCCGGCCTGAGTGTTTACGGACATTTTCAACCTCTCCCTATCCCAATCCATCGTCCCCACTCGCTTCAAGGTGTCCACCATTGTTCCTTTACCCAAGCAAACTAACGTAACTGAACTAAATGACTAATCGCTCCGTAGCACTCACTTCTGTCATCAAGAAGTGCTTTGATAGGCTAGTCAACAAGGACCATATCACCTCTATCATACCCGACACCCTTGACCCACTACAATTTGCAGACCACCCCAACAGATCCACGGACAATGCAATCGCCGATGCACTGCACACCGCCCTATCCCACCTGGATAAGAGGAATACCTATGTGAGAATGCAGCTCATCGAATACAGCTCAGCTTTCAACACCATAGTACCCTCCAAGCTCATCACTAAGATCAGGGCCTTTGGTCTGAACTACTCCCTGTGCAACTGGGTCCTACATTTCCTGATGGGCCGACCCCAGTTGGTGAGGGTAGGCAACAACACCTCCGCTACACTGATCCTGTACACGTGGGCCCCCCAGGGGTGTGTGCTCAGCACCCTCTTTTATTTCCTGTTCACCTATGACTACGTGGCCACGCACAACTCCACCTCAATCATCAAGTTTGATGACGACACGACAGTGGTAAGCCTGATTACCAACAATGATGAGACAGCCTACAGGCAGGAGGTTAGAGCCCTGGCGGAGTGGTGCCAGGAAAATAATCTCTCCCTCAATGTCAACAAAACAAAGGAGCTGATCATGGACTACAGAAGACAGAAGAGGGAGCATGTCCATATCAATAACGGGGCTTCAGTGGAGAGGGTCAAAAGCTTAAAGTTCCTCAGTATGCACATCACTGAGGACCTGAAATGGTCTCACCACACCGAGGTGAAGAAAGCACAACAGCGCCTCTACAACCTCAGGTGGCTGAATAAATTAATCATGGCCCCTAAGACCCTCACGAACTTCTGCAGATGCACCATTGAAAGCATTCTGTGGGACTGCATCACCGCCTGGTACGGCAACTGCACCTCCCTTAACCGCATGGCTCTCCAGAGGATCAGCACAACGCATCACTGGGGGCATGCTGCCTGCCCTCCAGGACATTTACAGCACTCGGTGTCAAAGGAAGGCCAAGAAGATCATTAAGTACCTCAGTCACCCGAGCCGTTGACTGTTTACACTGCTATCGTCTAGCAGACAGAGACAGTACAGGTGCATCAAATAATTCATATTATGCATTTGATTGAAATGCTGTTGTTGGCGGGAAATGCCTGTTTTCTCACGGGGCTGAAGTTATAACATGGAGAAATGCAGGAGTGCAACCCCCAATGCATGTTGCATTTCAATAAGGTTGTGAAAAGAATGCAAACAACTCAAGAAGGTGTCGCTGCAGCAACAGCAGCTGTGTTGAGTTGTGCTGGCTGTCAAAACAAACTACAGTAACCCTAACCTGTCTCATCAAGTCCTAAACACTGAATTTTGATTTTATGACATGAGATTAATCGACTGTGTATCGAAAGGCCCAGTGTTAATTACTTATGAATTATTTAGCATTTTAACGACTCAATGAAATAGAAATGGTCTGGGACAATACAGCGCTCCATCAGAGCAGCCCGGGGACTCCCATGGAGAGGGAGATCGGGCCAGGGAAGGGCTCGTATTCTCCAGACCAGACCACATGATGACACTGGAGTTGGACCACAGACACAGACCCTTAGCAATATGCTGCATCAGCAGTAAGGTTGCAAAATTTCAATAAATTCCCTGGTTCTCCCGAAATCAGGAAGGAATAAGCAGGAAATCTGGAATCCTTCAACCAGGATTTATTGAAAACTAGGGAATTTATTGAACACTCATGGATTTTTACAACCCTAATCCGCACTATCCTCACAGAACCCAGGAGAGCTGCATAATAATTAATAATAATAATAATAATTGGTCATTTAGCAGACGCTCTTATCCAGAGCGACTTACAGGAGCAATTAGGGTTAAGTGCCTTGCTCAAGGGCACATCGACAGATTTTTCACCTAGTCGGCTCGGGGATTAGAACCAGCGACCTTTCGGTTACTGGCACAACGCTCTTCACCACTAAGCTACCTGCCGCCCTATGCATTACCCAGGCCATTGACTGGTGTGAGTCTATGGTTAACCTTAGGACCAGGAGTTGTACTGGCCATGTGAACTGATCAGGGAAAACTCTGGGCCTTAGCCATGTCATCGCTGTGTGTGTGTGCATGTGTGAATTATGTGATGTTCTATCAAAGCATTGGTAGACAGTTTTATAGACGTGTCCGCCATCTAGTGGTATATTAGCTAAAATGCATGTTGGGTTTTTTGTAGACGGTGCAAAAATTCATGTTTCTGATTCCATTCCAAAACTAGAGGAAGACATCACTGAGATTCAAAAATAACAGTCCTCAAAGAAAAATCTTTAAAAAATCAGTTAGAAATGTATTTACACACATGGGAAGTTCCACCAGAGTACCTCAAAGTTATGCCTTTAAACTAACAAAGCATACCCACTATGTATCTCTGTCGTTCAAGAGTAAACAGACTGCTGTACTTTGGAATGTGTGTGTGTGTCCATGATAGGAGTGTGTTATTTTTTTCTCCACTGGGATATAGTGATACCAGAGAATCAGATCAGACAGGGATGGCAACAGTTTACCCATTTCTTCTATGGTGTGTGATGCTGCTGGACTGCCGGCTGTGCTGGGGAGGTAAGTCCTTCTCTCACTGCCGATGGTTTTAGTAGGTTTCTCACTAGTAACAAGTATACCACTCTCACAGTTGTACACCAGCAGTAACTGCTGCAGCCTTACCATCTCTCTCTGGCCTTCCAGCCCCAGTGTTCCTGTCGGGCCAGGCAGCAGACAGTGTGCTGAGGAGACAGCGGTGCCACAACACTGGGGTGTTCGAGGATATGTTATGGGGGAACCTGGAGAGAGAGTGTCTGGAGGAAAGGTGTGACCTGGAGGAGGCCAGGGAGGCCTTCGAGAACGATGAGAAAACAGTGAGTGTGTGTGGACGTGTGTGTGGGGGGAGGGCTGTGGGTGTTAGAGTCCTTGCAGAATGTATTGTGTTATGAATGAGTTAACTTATGATATTCTGAAGATTCTGTATGAATTTTTCAGATGGAGTTTTGGGTCGGTTATGAGGGTAAGGCTTTGCTTAATGATTAACTGTTGTGTTGGCACACACAGAGAGGACTAAGATGTGACTCAGAGCTGTGTGTGTCTGGTGTGTGCTTTGTGAGTATCAAACTAATGTTTATCAGTGTGAATCTTGGTATAACATGTAAATTGTGTAATATGTCAATAATGATGAGTGTTATGTCTCAGATGGGGACCAGTGTAAGTCGTCCCCCTGTCTGAACCAGGCGTCCTGTAATGACCAGATGGGCTCCTACACCTGCACCTGTCTACCAGGCTACAAAGGAATGAATTCCAAATCAAATCAAATTTTATTTGCCACATGCACCGAATACAACAGGTGTAGACATTACAGTGAAATGCTTACTTACAAGCCCTTAACCAACAATGCAAAGTTTAACAAATAAAAAAAAGTGTTAAGCAAAGAAAATAAAAATAAATAACTAAAGAGCAGCAGTAAAATAAAATAATAGTAGGGAGGCTATATACAGCGGGGTACTGGTGCAGAGTCAATGTGCGGGGGCACCGGCTAGTCGAGGTAATTGAGGTAATATGTACATGTGGGTAGAGTTAAAGTCACTAGGCATAGATAATAAACAGAGTAGCAGCAGAGTAAAAAAGGGGGATGGGGTGGGGGTGGGGGGGGCAGTGCAAATTGTCCGGTTAGCCATGAATAGCTGTTCAGGAGTCTTATGGCTTGGGGGTAGAAGTTGTTGAGAAGCCTTTTGGACCTAGACTTGGCGCTCCGGTACCGCTTGCCGTGCGGTAGCAGAGAGAACAGTCTATGACTAGGGTGGCTGGAGTCTTTGACAATTTTGAGGGCCTTCCTCTGACACCGCCTGGTGTAGAGGTCCTGGATGGCAGGAAGCTTGCCCCCAGTGATGTACTGGTCCGTACGCACTACCCTCTGTAGTGCCTTGCGGTCGGAGGCCGAGTAATTGCCATACCAGGCGGTGATGCAACCAGTCAGGATGCTCTTGATGGTGCAGCTGTATAACCTTTTGAGGATCTGAGGACCCATGCCAAATGTTTTCAGTCTCCTGAGGGGGAATAGGCTTTGTCGTGCCCTCTTCACGACTGTCTTGGTGTGTTTGGACCATGATAGTTTGTTGGTGATGTGGACACCAAGGAACTTGAAGCTCTCAACCTGTTCCACTACAGCCCCGTCGATGTGAATGGGGGCGTGCTCAGTCCACTTTTTTTTTTCTTCCTGTAGTCCACAATCATCTCCTTTGTCTTGATCACGTTGAGGGAGAGGTTGTTATCCTGGCACCACACGGCCAGGACTCTGACATCCTCCTTATTGGCTGTCTCATCGTTGTCTGTGATCAGGCCTACCACTGTTGTGTCGTCGGCAAACTTAATGATGGTGTTGGATTCGTGCCTAACCATGCAGTCATGGGTGAACAGGGAGTACAGGAGGGAACTGAGCACGCACCCCTGAGGGGCCCCCGTGTTGTGGATCAGCGTGGCAGATGTGTTGTTACCTACCCTTAGCACCTGGGGGCGGCCTGTCAGGAAGTCCAGGATCCAGTTGCAGAGGGAGGTGTTTAGTCCAAGGATCCTTAGCTTAGTGATGAGCTTTGACGGCACTATGGTGTTGAACGCTGAGCTGTAGTCAATGAATAGCATTCTCACGTAGGTGTTCCTCTTGTCCAGGTGGGAAAGGGCAGTGTGGAGTGCAATAGAGATTGCATCATCTGTGGATCTATTGGGGCGGTATGCAAATTGGAGTGGGTCTAGGGTTTCTGGGATAATGGTGTTGATGTGAGCCATGACCAGCCTTTCAAAGCACTTCATGGCTTCAGACGTGAGTGCTACGGGTCGGTAGTCATTTAGGCAGGTTATTTTAGTGTCATTGGGTACAGGGACTATGGTGGTCTGCTTGAAACATGTTGGTATTACAGACTCGGTCAGGGACAGGTCGAAAATATCAGTGAAGACACTTGCCAGTTGGTCAGCGCATGCTCAGAGTACACATCCTGGTAATCCGTCTGGCCCTGCGGCCTTGTGAATGTTGACCTATTTAAAGGTCTTACTCACATCGGCTACGGAGAGCGTGATCTCACAGTCGTCCATAACAGCTGGTGCGCTCATGCATGTTTCAGTGTTGCTTGCCTCGAAGCGCGCATAGAAGTTATTTAGCTCGTCTGGTAGGCTCGTGTCACTGGGCAGCTCGCAGCTGTGCTTCCCTTTGTAGTCCGTAATAGTTTGCAAGCCCTGCCACATCCAACGAGCGTTGGAACCGGTGTAGTACGATTCAATCTTAGTCCTGTATTGACGCTTTGCCTGTTTGATGGTTTGTCAGAGGGCATAGCGGGATTTCTTATAAGCGTCCGGGTTAGAGTCCCGCTCCTTGAAAGCTCAGTGCGGATGTTGCCTGTAATCATTTCCATTTTAGTCATTTAGCAGACGCTCTTATCCAGAGCGACTTACAGTTAGTGAGTGCATACATTTTCATACTGGCCCCCCGTGGGAAACGAACCCTGGCGTTGCAAGCGCCATGGTCTACCAACTGAGCTACAGGGGTTGGGGTATGTATGTACGGTCACTGTGGGGACGACGTCATCAATGCACTTATTGATGAAGCCAGTGACTGATGTGGTGTACTCCTCAATGCCATCAGAAGAATCCCTGAACATATTCCAGTCTGTGCTAGCAAAACAGTCCTGTAGCTTAGCATCTGCTTCATCTGACCGCTTCCGTATTGAGTGAGTCACTGGTACTTCCTGCTTTAGTTTTTGCTTGTAAGCAGGAATCAGGAGGATAGAATTATGGTCAGATTTGCCAAATGGAGGGCGAGGGATAGCTTTGTATGCGTCTCTGTGTGTGGAGTAAAGGTGAACTAGAGATTTTTCCCTCTGGTTGCACATCTAACATGCTTTTAGAAATTAGGTAAAACGGACACTAGTAGCGCCACTTCTGTATGAGCATTTTCTTGTTTGCTTACGGCCTTATACAGCTCGTTGAGTGTCTTAGTGCCAGCATCGGTTTGTGGTGGTAAATAGACAGCTACGAAAAATATAGATAAACTCTCTTTGTAAATAGTGTGGCCTACAGCTTGTCATGAGATACTATACCTCAGGCGAGCAAAACCTTGAGACTTCATTCATATTAGGATTTCGGGCACCAGCTGTTATTGACAAATAGACACAGACCGCCACCCCTTGTTTTACCAGAGGCAGCTGTTCTAGCTTGCCGATGCACGGAAAATCCAGCCAGCTGTATGTTATCCATGTCGTCGTTCAGCAACGACTCGTGAAACATAAGATATTACAGTTTCGTTGGTAGGATAGTCTTGATCGGAGCTCATCCAGTTTATTATCCAATGATTGCACATTGGCTAATAGGACTGATGATAGAGGCGGGTTACCCACTCGCTGTCGTATTCTTACAAGGCACCACGACCTACGACCCCTATATCTCCATCTCTTCTTCATGCGAATGATGGGGATTTGGGCCTTGTCCAGTGTCTGAAGTAAATCCTTCGCGTCAGACTCGTTAAAAAAAAAATCTGGTGAGTAATCACTGTTCTGATATCCGGAAGCTCTTTTCGGTCATAAGAGATGGTGGCAGAAAAATTATGTACAAAATAAGTTACAAATAACGTGAAAAAACACACACAATAGCACAGTTGGTTAGGAGCCCATAAAACGGCAGCCATCTCCTCTGGCGCCATTATTAAAAATAAAATAAAAAATGGTGTCTATTTTATTGTATTCATGACTAATCCCTAACTGAAAACTAAATTCTAGGATGATACATTTCGATTGACTATAGATGGAATACTTGATCGCTTAATTTATTGTACCACTCCAGGGGAGCATAACATCTATGCCAAAGAGGGCACAGAGCAGGACCATGAGGTGTCGAAGCAGTACAAACACCCTCTCTACGACTCCCAGCAGAGTCTGTACAATCATGATATCGCCATGCTGCGCCTCCACACCCACCATCCCCTTCTCCTCACACGCCAGTCCCATCTGCCTGGGGCCCAAGGTCTTCACCAAGGACTTGGTGAAGGATGAGTCCCAGGCTACGATCAGCGACTGGGGTCGCACACGCTTCCAGGGGGCCACGTCTCACACATTACAGAAGGTTGAGATGCCATTTACAGAGAGAACGCAGTATAAGGATAGCAGTAGTGTATCACCAAGTATATGTTCTGTGCCGGCTGACGTGGCCAAAGACTTGTGCCAGGGGGACAGCGTGGGTCCCCATACCAACCATTACCATGAAACCTGGTTCCTGACTGGGATAGTGAGCTGGGGGGAGGAGTGTGCCAAGGAGGGGAAGTATGGGGTGGAGACCAGAGTAGCATTACTATAGATGGATACGTCACATTATGGCAGTGACCAAGGACATGCTGCATTATGACCTGGACGACTAACCTTTGACCCTCAGGAGCCTGTCTTGTTTCAGGTCTCGTTTTCAGAGTTCAATTCATAAGATTCACATTTTGTATTCAAAGAGTAAGTGTCTTCTTGCAGCTTCTTACTCCAATCTGCTGGTGAGGATAGGTTTACAAGATAGACACCTGTATGTCCAACAGATGCCTACTGTATGTATTGTTATGCTTATTCATAAAACAATAAGAATAATTTACTGACAGATGAAGGGACGAAGACAAATGGCTGTCTGCAAGCAATGAACAACTGCTTTATGGGTATTTTACTATAGAGAAGCACAGATTAAACTCGAAGGCGCAAAACAAAAATGTATTATTTCAATAAATACTTTATTTGGTCTACATACAAAAAGCAGCCAATCAATAACAATCAGTCAATATTCACTTTGCCATGCAATTTTTCTCCTATGAGAAACATTCAGCAACAAGCTTACAGTGCTTGTCAAAGATGCACAGCATTTTCAAGTATATACTGAACAAAAATAAACGCAACAATTTCAAAGGTTTTACTGAGTTACAGTTCATATAAGGAAATCAGTAAATTGAAATAGATTTATTAGGCCCTAATCTATGGATTTCACATGACTGGGAATACAGATATGTATCTGTTGGGCCTCAAAATGGGCCTCAGGATCTTGTCCCGGTATTTCTGTGCATTCAAATTGCCATCGATAAAATGCAATTGTGTTTGTTGTCCGTAGCTTATGCCTGCCCATACCATAACCCCACCGCCACCATGGGGCACTCTGTTCACAACGTTGACATCAGCAAACCGCTCGCCCACACGCCATACACGTGGTCTGCGGTTGTGAGGCCGGTTGGACGTACTGCCAAATTCTCTAAAACATTGTTTGAGGTGGCTTATGGTAGAGAAATTAACATTAGATTATCTGGCAACAACTCTGGTGGACATTCCTGCAGTCAGCATGCCAATTGCACGCTCCCTCAAAACTTGAGACATCTATGGCATTGTGTTGTGTGACAAAACTGCACATTTTAGAGTGGCCTTTTATTGTCCCAAGCACAAGGTGCACCTGTGTAATGATCATGCTGTTTAATCAGCTTCTTAATATGCCACACCTGTCAGGTGAATGGATTATCTTGTCAATGGAGAAATGCTCGCTAAGAGGGATGTAAACAAATTTGTGCACAAAATTTGACAGAACTAAAACAATTCTGGCATCTTTTATTTCAGCTCATGAAACATGGGACCAACACTTTACATGTTGCGTTCATATTTTTGTTCAGTGTATATATTTTTTTACATCACAGTTCAGTGCAGAATGTGCAGCATTTTAGATCGGAGGAGCTCACAAAAAAAAGTAAAAATATTTTGCCATATTAAGACAAGAGAACCCCCTTGATGCGATGCATGGCAGTCAAGCAGGACTCCAAGGGTATATAGAGATAATTTCACGGTGCTGCATAGCTGCCTCACACAGTGAAGGAACAACTTGCTAAATAAATAAATAAATAACACAAGAAATGTGTAGTGTGGAGCTGTGCTTTCACTGCTTTCCAGGCTCATTTTCACATCAAACGCAGCATATCAAAGGCAGGCCTACGACTTGATGTGGTAAATTCATATAAGTCCGCAATCAATATTTAATTAAGCGTTCGACACAGTGGGTATATTTCATGTTTACTGTATGATCCTGTTTAATAGGAAGCCTAAGATTAAGTGTGAGGCGATGGAGGAGATATCAAGCGAGAGCGAGAGAGAGAGAAGCAGAGAGAGAGAGAGAGAGAGAGAGAGAGAGAGGAGAGAGAGGAGAGAGAGAGAGACGAGAGAGACGAGAGGAGAGAGAGAGGAGAGGAGAGGAGCGAGAGAGAGAGAGGAGAGAGAGAGAGAGAGAGAGAGAGAGAGGAGAGCGAGAGAGAGAGCGAAGAGAGAGCAGAGAGCTAGACGAGCGAGAGAGAGGCGAGCTAGAGACTCATTATAGGAGAGCGATAGTATCTCGATCTCTCTCCTATCTCTCTCTCTCTCGTATCTTCTCTCTCTATCTCTCTCTCTCTCTCTCTCTCTCTCTCTCTCTCTCTCTCTCTCTCAGAGCGTGACATTATGGGGAGAATTACAGCACTCTATGCTGGCTCCATGCTGGTAGCAGCTCCTCCCCATACCGCTAAAGACATCTTAAGACCTGATTAATACACTTCTTTCATTCACCATCATCTCTGTGACATCTTAACAGCGGTCTAATCTCAACTGACATACAATGAGTTTAGGAAATAAAATGGGAAATTAATCATAGGTATGAAGCAGGAAAATATGAAGCAGGTATTGCGTTCACGGATAGCTCCATTTCTATAGAGCCTTTGAAAATAGAGTAAAGCTTTCTGTTTTCTTTCAGCTTGCATTTCTCTTGTAGACCTTCCACCTCAATAAAGTGCCAGTTGAGTATAGGTCTGAGGTGAGGTAAAAGCAAGACTGTTTGTTGTTGCTGAGCAAACATTTATCGAAGAGGAAACTGATTCCAAAATAGCAGGAATATAAAGGCATTATGGCACGGCACGTTTCGGCATTTCAACTCTTGGAGAGCGTAAGAGAAGGGTGCCTTAAAGAACAAGACAGGTTAGATACCTAAACAACATGAGCATGTAGACAAAATGAACATGTAAAATAACAATAGGCCGACATTCAAGTATACACATCAGTATGAAAAAAGTATGAAAATGTACCGTAAGTCGCTCTGGATAAGAGCGTCTGCTAAATGACTAAAATGTCAATGTAAAACTGTACAAAAGTATCTTTGTTTCAGGTGAAACCTGGATTATTATGATCCATAAAAACATGCATGAACACCAACACCCACCAACAGCATTCCCACTGATTAGCAATAATGGTTAAGAATCCGTCAGTCGAGAGGTAGAGTCAATGGATGTATAACAGTCCCAATCCACCTACAGCAACCCAACAGAAAAGGCCATTGGCAGTGGGGGAATGAACTTTAAGTGCCAAACCTTTTCACATGTCCCTTGTCCTTCATCAAACCTTGTGCATTTGTGCTGGTGGAGCCCTGTGCTGTCCAAAGTTAAGGTAACATTCATTAAGTTTGTCCACTGTCCATCACAGTGGGCAAAAGCAGGTCTTCATGTTATTGGCCCAGAAAAATGTCAATCAATAATCCAAAATTAAAGCTCCTGTGTCCTTCTTCAATTGGCTAGTTGTCTCTCATCATGGTCAATGAGAGCACTTTGAGGAAGCAGATTTTAAGATATTCCATCAGTCATGACCTCATAGTGTCTAATGGATAACAGTCTGTCTGGTCAGACTGTCAATCTGTGCAAAGGTCCCACAAAAGTTGTGCTATTGCTGCCTTCAAATGCTCATCTGAAGTGGGAAATACTCGACTGGGAAATAACCACTTGAATGACCCTCCTAAGTCGGAATTCCAAGTGGGAAAGTCAGAGATAGGGTTTGATACCAGTTTAGAAGTTGTGACTTTTCATCACTGACCTTTCACCTTTTCAACCAAAAGATGTTAAAGCAAATTCATTTTTTACATTGTCAAACTTATCAATGTGTATAATGTAGCTAGTTTTACCATATTGTCAACTGTAATCAAGCTAGCTAACTTGATCATTAGCTAGATCATCTAGCTTGCCATTGGTTGAAGAATTGTTCCAACTTCAAAAGCACTTGAACAATCGTGTCGGAGCTACGACTTCATACTGTAAAGTTTCCCAGTTCCCACAAGCACTTGAAGGCAGCATTTGTCCTCTAAGGGGAGCTGAGCTTTCTGGCCTTCAGATTCCCTGGATCTGCATGAGAGAGGAGACAAATTATTCAAGCAAACCCATCTCATGAGCTCCATGTCAGAGCGGAGGACTGAGAGTACAAATGGCTTTAGAAACCTCTTACTCTGTACTGTAACAGTACCCTTACCTCCTAGTCTGGTGGACTGTCCTCTACTGCTGTGTCCCAGAATCACGTGCAGGTTGGGGACTGGGATGAGACCCTTCTGCCTGCGACTCAGGTTCTTCACCAACCTGGAGATGGAGTGAGGGAGGTTATAAAGAGGTGAAGGACGGGGCACACGATAATGAACGTTGGCCGTTCGCGGCAGCTTTGGGCGGTAGATTACCTGCTGGGTGTTGATGAACGTTGGCGATTCAACATGTAAAATTGTTGAGAAATTAAAAGAAATAGGATGGCCACCAGCTGCTTTTAACCATTCGTCTGCGCGGTCAGTTTTGTCCTTAAGTCTTTACATCGGCTACATTAGGTTCCCTACGTTTACAGTCGGCCCAGAGCCCATGTAAAAGCCGTGTCAAATAGGGTTCTGCCATTGGCAACCAACTTTACCACCAGACATATGAGATTGTTGACACACTCACCAGTGGCCTTCGCTGTCCTCGTGCTGTAGCTGGATGACATCACTGCTCTTGATGGCGAGGTCATCTGGGCCGTATCGTGGACATTCAGCCAACACTTTATAGCTGCCTGGAGCCTGGGAGGACAGAAACACTTCTGTTAGACTAGGATAAGGAAATGTAGAGCTGTATCCTACTAGAGTAAACATTTAGGAACCTCAAGAGGTTCCTTTAGATTTTATGATAAGCATATCTAAGGTCGTGGGTAAGGAACGAGGCCACACAGTGTGCAATAAGGGTGAGTGGTTGTATTGATGTTGTAGAGAACCTATCTCACCAGCTGAGCAGTGTCTTCCTCCTCGGTGTCTGACGGGTGAGAGGGGTCCTGACCTCCACCCCACTCCTCCAGACCCTCACAGATGTGTACTGAATGAGGCGCACCGGGCCAGCCTGGAGATTACACAACACACATTTTTGTTTTGAGTCACATTTTGCTTGCTTCCCTTATATAGTAACAGAAATAACCAAGGTAAATACTTGGAAACTATAGTGATAAATGGCAACTCAAACCTGATGTGTGGCAAGAAGATAGAATCAAAAGATAATATCAGTAGCAGTGCCTTTTTCCCCCAGAGCTCCTCCATGCACCTAGTGCTTTTTCATGTGAAACACCTGAATCTTTAGGGAACAGGGATCGCAATACCAAAATAAATCCAATATCAAGTCAAGGGAGTTTCATGTACTCTCTCTCATGACCCAATCACCATTATTACAAGTAGTTACCAAGTATCTACATGATTATGTTACGGGTATATGTATGGGGAGTGGTTTACTCACTGTGTCGGTTGCCCTGGTGATTTGGGGAGTGGGACTGGGGGTCTGGACTGCTCCTCCCTGACTCTGTGTCCTCTGAGCTGAACGACGCCCTCTGCTGTTTGCTGTGGGGAGCGACACAACACAACACAATGAAAGAACTAACTCTGTACTCCCTAACCTCATCAGACATGCTCCAAGAAGAAGCTGCCCTTAGCCACCGATCAGATTAACTTTCCCACATTTAACCATTTAAAGGGGAACCGCAAAACTGACCTTAGATCTGTGGTTAAGGACAATTTCTCCCTCAAACTCAACTCACACCACCATGATGATCTTTCAGACACCAGCCAATTGGCCCCACACCACAAAGCAACCATGTGACCAAGTGCAAACCAAGCTGACACAGACACAGTGTGGGCTCTGACCTGGTACACAGCAGACACGTGCCGGCGCATGGAAAGATATGGTCTCGATTTATCAAGTTCCTGGTTCATCAATGTATTAGTTTGTCTATATTTTACAAGCCAAATAACTTAGGATCATTTTAATTTAATTAGCTCTCAAACAGCAAGCCCCATCTAAAAAGCAGTTCTCATGCTGAAAGCATGAGGAAATCAAGATTTAAAAAATGTAAGTTAAAAACATCCAAACATTTTTTATTGTTTTTGCATTCCATGCAAAATTGCAAATCCCATGCAAAGATGGGTGCAGTCATTTTGGGTACCATGTCTGAGATGGAAGATCTGCTGGGACATCAAAAGACATGAGGAAAAGTGCGTCTGGCGAATGTATGAGTCGAATGGAGTCCGCTAGTAAAGAAGTTGCAGATGATGGTCAGTATGCAAACACAGCAGCCCTGTGGGTGGTTTAGGTCCCCAAGCTGGGCCATCCCAAGCCGGGCCATGCCAAGCCGGGCCAGGGCATGCGGAGCTGGGCTGAGTTTACCACTGAGCGTCAGGACGGGTCAGTGGCGCTGGGGTCGGGGTCTGTTGGGGGGGCGGGGCCGGGGGCGTTGCCGGGGGCTTCGAGGGCGGGGACTCCGGGAACGCAGACACATAAAGACATCAGCGGACAGCGAGACAAAGTCCAGCCCCGAAAGACAGCCCGTAGGAGCCCCTCCGGACGGCCGCACACCCCTGCAGGGGGGAGGGAGGGGAGGACAGCAACCAGACAGCAAAGGAGAGAGTGGGGTCTTCACACACACACACACACACATCTTCTCTTCACACATCGACTCCTTCACACACACACACACACACACACACCACCTTCTCCTCCTCAACCTCCTATTCGCTCTCCTCATTTCCCAGCTTTATGCATGCTTGTTGATATGCTCCCCCAACACCACATATCATAACCATCTGAACAGCTCACATAACTGCCTGCCACACTCACACCATCAGTGGGGAGCTGCTGTGACGACTGAGGGGCGTCCTACAACACCCAATATGCATCAGGACTGACCTCTCAGACATGGGCGGAGACCGTTGGATGTGGTCTGGCATCTGGTTGTTGACACAATGCTCATCTGAGAAAAGAAGCGAAGGAGGGAGAGAGAAAAGGATAGTTTGAAATGAGAGGACGTTCAAGTTAGGTGCAGGCTAGGATTATTAATCTGAGATTAGATTAATTAAACCAGCTCTTTGTTGAGTGTGCTTTGGAGAGTGTTGTGAGTGACGTCCAAACCTTTGAGGAGTTTCTGCTGGTTGGTGAGGATTCTCCGCAGCTCATTGAGCCAAGCTATCTTAACCTCAACTGTGAGAGCCTGGGAGATGGATAAAATCAGGACAGATTAGAACGCAGTCAATGTATAATAATAATAATAATAATATGCCATTTAGCAGACGCTTTTATCCAAAGCGACTTACAGTCACTGTTCTTTGTATAGTAGGAAACACATTTTTCGTTGCATTTTACAGGCATGATTTCAAAATGGCATTACAGTAGCGTAACACATATTGTACAATAGCAATACATAACATAGCATAAAGTTGTCACAACAAAGAACAGAACACGCAGACAATGAACAACCCAGTGGGTGGTAGTTATTGTCTAGAGTCCTTGTTTGGAGAACATATGCTGGCTGATACTGTATGAATAATATTAACAGTCACTTCACAGTAGGGGTGATCCTTACCAGAATGACGTACACCTCCTCCCTGCCACTGTACCAGATCTCAAACTTCTTCACATCTCCCTTGACGTTCTCTGTAATCCCCACCGCACTCATCTGCCAGGATACACACATACACACAGTCTGCACCTGGGGCCTACAAGCACATGCCACACATCACGTCAGGCACGCTTCTGCTACATGACTGGCCCGCCGCTGTGTGAAGGCAGGAAGCTCAAGCGCTCAATAACACATCAAGAGGAGAGCAGCTGGTGGTGACGCCATCCGTCATGCCCTGTAAACATATCTGGACACACACCCTGACACACACACTGACACCTTGACACACACCCTGACACACACACTGACACCTTGACACACACCCTGACACACACAATGACACACGAACCAAAACAAACACCCTTGCAACAGGGAGCATGTGTCAGAGAGTGCTGCCTACACACACCTTGAGACAGTGCTTGAAGCTGTAGGAGGGGGTCTTGTCTGCTCCCTCTCCATGCTCCTCCCTGCGCTTGCAGAAAAGCAGGGCTCTCTCATACAGGAACAGGTGTCTCTGCATGGGCTTGAAGCGGGCCAGCTCCTTCATACGGGTGGGGCCTTTCTTATGGCTGATCCACACACTGAAGGAGCCCTGCATCAGCACCCGGCCCAGGTCACACAACTCTCCCTGGGGGGAAACAGGACAACACAGGGTCAGAGATACAGGATGGCACACTGTCACACATATAGGACAGCACACTGTGTCACACACAGTCAGATAGTCAGTCACACAGACACACACAACCAACCAACCAACCAACCACACACAGGACAAGTCACCTGGTAGCCTGTGATGGCTATCTGATGCATGGAGTCATTGACTGACTTGAGGAGGTCCAGCATGGCTGCTAGCGCCCCCTGTAACTCGGAGGTCCCTTCACAGCCTCCTGCACTGTACTTCAGTAGCTCCTAGAGCGCACACATACATGCGCACACACGTGGGCGTGCAATACACCAATCAATGTCTGGTACACATCAATATCTGGTAACAATGAAATCCTGAAATTCTCCAACTGTACTATAAAATAATAGTCTGTGTTGCGTGTAAGATTTTCCTTATTTTGTCCGATAACAACAGACAAACACAGGACAGAAAATTGTGAGCATTCCCCATTAATCAGATAGGATTTCTCTCTAATTTCATCTGTAATCCTTTATGTCCTACATTCAATTCATTGATATAAAATGTCCCTAGGTAAGGAAAGGTTATGTCATAGTGCTGTTACCATTTACAGGATTTTGGGACATTGAATTATGATAAAGGTTCAGCATAGCTAAAACTAATATAAATGCTGCAATATTGGCATGGTATGCTGTGTAGAGGTCCAGTGTAGCTCAGTTGGTAGAGCATGGCGCTTGCAACGCCAGGGTTGTGGGTTCGATTCCCACGGGGGGCCAGTATGAAAAGAAAAAAGTCGCTCTGGATAAGAGCGTCTGCTAAATGACTAAAATGTAGAGGTGTGTGTTTGTTGGTTGGTTTCACTAAGGTCTGACCTTCAGTAGTAGCTGGTACTTGGTAAGGCGTTGCACTGGTTTCAGCAGGTAAGAGTCCAGACCCAGTTTGTGGTCCAGCTTCTTCTGACACTCCTGTAGAATATGTCAAGGAGATATTAGGAAGCATTTATTACAGTTATACCACAACAGTTCATCTAATATAAATAATATATCATTTTGTGCTATTAAAATAATGAATATGTCTGGTATTGTGGTGTAGTAGTATCGCTAAGTACCAACAGTGGACACAAATACAAAAAATACGCTTGACCTGGAAAAAGGCACAGTCTGAGTACTGCCTCCATAGGGACTCTGAGCGAGGCTTATTCTGACAGTAGCACTCATACACCTGGAAATTCTCCTTCTGGAAATACACACATACATTTCCAATGACACACCATACATGCAAGACTGTCAAACACACGTGTACTGCCGATTACATCGAGTCGGTGTCAGTCGATTTCCATGTGGAGAGCGACAGAACACGACAGAATGAATTAACTAACTCTGTACTCCCTAACATCATCTGACATGCTCCAGGTAGAAGCTGCCCTTAGCAACAGATCTATGATCAGCTTAACTTTCCCAAATCCTTTAATGCGTACCTTGTACCTATATTCATCCTGTGTAAAGCTGTTCCTTTCTTTGGGTGCTGCAATCCGTCGTTTTTGATCAAACATAGCATTTTACGCAACCTCTGCCAAGGTAAGCGTTGTTTGTTAACGGAGAAGGAGCAGTCCCGTCATAGCACAGCAGAGTTTTTTGTTTTGGCAGGTGATGCATAGAATGCCATTTTTTATAAAAAACGATGGATTCCAACACCCCCTAACTCTCTAACAACAGGTAACGTTAAATAATTTATATTTATAAAAGTGGTAGTGCATGTTTGAAGTCGCTAACTTCATACCCCATTGGAAAATAGTGGATTACTCTGAAGAATTACATAGAATTGGATTACATAGAAGAACGTTTTTATCAAAAAAACGACGGATTGCAGCACACAAAGAAAATAATGCCTTTACACAGGACAAACATAGGGAAAAGGAACGCCTTAAAGAATGGACATTTTTGCTGAAGTATCAACTGATACCGACTCGACATAGTTGGAGGTACACTCCGCCAAAACTCATCGCCACATAACTCACATAATTTTCAGCTGATATAGTTAAAGACATTCTTCCACAGACAAACTACCAGGGGTATTAAACTCTTACCCTACTTGGTCCGGATCCTGCTGGTTTTCTGTTCTACCTGATAATTAATTGCACCCACCTGGTGTCCCAGGTCTAAATCAGTACCTGATTAGAGGAGAACAATGAAAAAATGCAGTGGAACTGGCTTCGAGGTCCAGAGTTGCGTTTGAGGGCATGTAGGCTTTCCTCACCCGCTCCAGAAAGCAGGCCCCTACTCCCTCTGGGGTCTCCAGGCAGCCCTCCAGGTCATGGAGGAACACCCTGTAGAACAAAGAGGTCATGAGTCAGAGGTCAAAGGTCCAAGACAGATAAGGTCAATAGGTCACACCCTAACCACACACAGCAGCATCCACCATCACCACACAGTCAGCCTCACAGCAGGCCCCTATCTAGCCCTCCTCCATAGTTAAAGACTAGCCACCCACACAGCCATGCCACTGAGCCCCCGGTGTCTGCCACTTTCCTCTCTCGTTGGCATAATCAAGCGCTCGTTAGAGCAACTGGCATTTAACACTAGTTAGAGAGGCTCTAATTGGCTTAGGGCCTCATGCAGTCATCCAATTTAGCCTTTCAGCCCAACAGGGGAGCAATCCCAGCAGGCAGGATAGAGGATGCAGACAGAGACACTCAAACACTTGTAGAGATGGTTGTTTTTAAGATGGAGCAGTAGTTCATAGAGGTTATGTTGATGCAATTGCTGGTTTAATCTCACAGTTCATTGAGACTCCAAATGCCTATGGAAAACATGAATGACTTCTCACAAGTCAATGACAGTGCTGATCCTTCCTCTAAACTACAGGATATATATATACACAGTGCATTCGGAAAGTATTCAGACCTCTTGAGGCCTTATTCTAAAATTGATTTTTTTTTTAAATCCTAATTAATCTACACACAATACCCCATAATGACAAAGTGAAAACAGGTTTTTAGAAATGTTTGCAAATTTATTTAAAAAAAAAAACAGAAATACCTTATTTACATAAGTATTCAGACCCTTTGCTATGAACTTGAAATTGAGCTCAGGTGCATCCTGTTTCCATTGATCATCCTTGAGATGTTTCTACAACTTGTTTGGAGTCCACCTGTGGTAAATTCAATTGATTGGACATGATTTGGAAAGGTACACAACTGTCTATATAAGTTCCCACATTTGACAGTGCATGTCAGAGCAAAAACCAAGCTATGAGGTCGAAGGAATTGCCCGTAGAGCTCCGAGACAGGATTGTGTCTGGAGGAAACCTGTCACCATCCCTACGGTGAAGCACAGTATTCCCGTTTCTTTTTTTAAATACATTTGCAAAAAAATCTAAAAACCTGTTTTTGCTTTGTCATTATGGGGTATTTTGTGTAGATTGATGAGAAAAAATAACAATTGAATCCATTTTAGAATAAGGCTGTAACGTAACAAAATTTAGAAAAAGTGAAGGGGTCTGAATACTTTCCGAATGCACTGTATATATATTTATATGTGTGTATGAGTGAGCATGCGTGTTTGCCCTTGCCAATTGATGTTTCCTTGCCTGCTGTGGAAGTTGTAGATCTCAGGCATGTTGCCAAACAGGACGTCCCTCTTACTGCGCAGGATGGGGGGCAAGAGCCCTGTGAGGGCTGGGTTCTCCATCTCTGCCCTGTATCCCTACACATACACACATAATCAGTATACAAACCTCACTGTAGTAATCCATAACGGCTGGGGGAAACGCTGCTGTGTCTCTTCTCACCAGCAACACTGACAGCAGCTCCTCCACGTAGACTCGCTCTGTCTCAATAAGCTCCCTCATCACGTGACTGTGGAGACACAAGCCCAGAGGGCCTCATTAGTATTCTGTCTGAACATAAGGAAATTGGGAAGACTACAGAAGGAATATATAGAGGATGAGCAGACAGACAGACCGTTTGAGAAGGTCTGGGCTGTCCTCTCCCTCCAGGCTGGAGAGCAGGGAGATCCTATTCTCCTGGTAGTCATGCATCACCTCGATCTGAGACGGACAGGACACACACAGACATCCAGGATTTGCATCCTCAGAAAACACAGATTAAAGAAGGAAATCCATCTCAAGCATTTACAGTTGCCATAACATTACTATCTTACATGTCCTCATCAGCCACAGTGACTGTCATAGTGACATGTGTGAACTGTTCTGCACTATGATATTTTACTTTCATCTTTTACGTCCTTTTCTCCATCTCACCTTTCTGGAGGCGGGGCTTTTCCGTGATGTCCTCTTCCCAGGGAGTGACAGATCGAAGGTGAACTTCAAACTGTCGACACCTGCAAAATACGACCTCTCAGCTGAACTTGATAACGGTGTGCGTTTCTATATGTTTGATGAAAAACAAGAACTGTCTGGTTAACATGTTAATAATGATAAGTATAGCATATGTCTCTATATATGCTTTGATGAAGCCATGACGTTGGTATACAGCACAGTAGTTAACACTAACGTTACCCAACAGAGCCGTCATTACAAAGAGCAGTTGCTTGCTGCGATATGACACTGACAGTAGGTTTGATAGGTCCTGTGGGACCAGGTTGTCCTGTCTTTGACACTGGGATGACTGTTGGTACTGGGTTTACGCTTGATACTTCTCTTCTGATGGACGGGCTAGTTAATCATTTGTAATAAGCAGCTTGCAGTAGAACTCCAGCACTACTATATAAGAACACATCACCCAAAGCACTGTCTGGTGTAAATGACTGACAGACTAGCCGTTTGATCATGTGCTCCTCACATAGGCTAAGACCAGTGTGTGTGTGTGTGTGTGCATTATCACACTAATCAGAGCCAACACATTTATCTTCATCTCCCCTCTTAAAGGGGTTTCACAGACCCACACATTGCACCTCATTATTAATTGGTTGCTGTATGGCTAGCTTTGTCCAGCCCTCCCTGGAGGCAAATGGGAGATGAAAGGGTCTTTAATGTATATGAACCCCATATGGCACTACCATACAGTACCCAACTAGCATCGTGGCTAACAGACTGATTATACTGCTGGGCCAAAACAGCTAGCTCATTTGCAAAGGTGGACCTCTAACTCAGGTCGAGCACAGACACCTTGGGCTTCCTCATTACTGGAGCCTGTGGTTGGCTGTTTTGATTACTGCTTTGAGGCCTGGCGGAAGGTGTGTGAAGCCCTAGGCTCAGGACATGGACGACACCCAGTACCCAGGGGAGAGGGACGGCTGTCGGGCCAGAGGCCAGGGGAGGGCTGCCTACACAGGGCCTGGGAAACAGCAGAGCCCTGGGTGGAGGCCTAACGGAGCTGGATAATTAAAGTGTGCTGTAAGCCTCTATAACCCCACACAGTCAACTGTGGTCTGATGCTGTTTAATCTACTGTGACAAATGCTAATGTACTGTATCATCAAGTGTGATTGAATGTGTGTGTGTGTGAGTGAGTGTGAATATACTCCACTGCTTCCTCTTACCATGTTTGGGGGAGAAGAGTGGGGACTTGGAGCGGGGTGGGCTCTCCAGCCGGGGGGCTACTAGTTGGACGGGACGGACGTGTTTATCAGCCAGCTTCCTCAGACAGACCTGCCTGTTGTGGATCATCTCCTGCACTGCTGTGTGCTTGTCAAATGTCTTCCCTATCTGGACCTGTGGGGGATGAGAGAAGAGGGGGGGGGCTTAGGACATTTACATGGAGCCAAAACCTGCATGGAGTGTTAGTGAAACAGGCGTTTATAGCCTTTATGCAGTCTTGAAGGTTGTCTGAAGGTGCCATGATCTGAAATAAATGCTTGTATAAGTCCTGTAATATTAAATATATTATGGGGTGATGGAAAGCACTGAGGATGGATTATACACAGATGGGTCATGAGAAGCATTACAGAGGGTGTTTCTCTTTAAATCATAAGGCTGTTTGTGAATGAGAGACACTGGTTGATGTTGGACCTGCATCTCCGGGGTAAGGACAGACTCAAACTCCATGGCCAGGAGGTCATGTCCTGAGCTGAGGAGAGACGGAGCCCCCTCCAGGAATCTGTCTATGTCCTTCAGAGCAGCCTGGGCCCCCTCCTTAGACTGGAACTTACCCACCAGCTGCTGGGCCAACAGGTAGGCCCCGTCATCACACCAACTCTGGGCCTATGGAGGGGACAAGACAACGACGTCACACTGACCAATCATATTCAGATAAATGGTAGCACTTGACAGAGTATCAGTGTGGTTGTTTGTGTATGATGTTAGTTTGTGTACTCATCTGTGTACATTAGTGTAAACCGTGTGTGTGTGTGTGTGTGTGTGTCCTCTACCTGGCCGAGGCGTAGTAGCAGCCGGTGGGCCTGGGAGAGGTGTGTGTGTTTCACCCTCAGAGCATTACTGAGCGTGTCACAGCGGTGGCGTAGCTCGTTGCAACGCTGCACAATCAGGGCCATGGCATAGTGGTGACTGGCTGCCAGCTGGTGTCCATGGAGGATGATGATCTGGGCACGGCCCATCTCCTCCTAGCAACACAGCCAGGACACCACAGTCAGTTACATACAACAAGACATGGCATACAGGAGGTCTACATACATACAGCATCACAATGGCAAATACATTTCAATCCTAGCTACACAACCAATGCTATTACCAAAAGCACGAGTCCCAGAGAAGACTGCCAACCACAGTATACAGTATGTGTAACCCTGGTCTGTTGATCTGATGAGGTTAGTGTGTCCTAGTAAACACTGACCTGTGCGTGAGCCTCCAGGTTGTCCAGGTCTCTGAGTGTCTGTTCTGTCTGAGTCAGCGTCTCCCCTGACAACGACACCTTTCTCTCCTGGGACGCCAGGCGCTCCAGAGACAACTCCATCTGACCACAACAGGAGAGCGAGCCATTAGTTTCAGACATATACACCTCCCAACTTCAAAACGTCCCATCCGATGTCAAATTGAACTGTACACCCCGTGTCCTCACTGTTCTAAGAGTTGCCTCTTGACAATTAATCAACAAATCGATCAATTATGCACCTCCTGGAAGCTGTGTTCATATCTGAGCAGCTGTAAGTACTGTTTCAGTTTTAGATGATGCTTCTCAAAGAAGCCGTCAAAGGCTGACTCCATGCTCCTCAGCTGGGCTAGTAACCTGAAGACAAGAGAGAGGTTATAATACATGGCCACTCTATAACATTTAGGCAGACTGTAGTATGATTATCGCTCTGAGGTTATATACACCTCTGCACAGTCTCCCAGTCCAGCCTGACATCCCAAAGTGAATCCTCCTCTCTCCCCGAGGCCTCCAGGCTAGCCAGCAGGTGACGACCCTCCTTTGATACTGACCATATCGCATCCTGTACAAGACAGACAATGATCAAGACAGACAAAATGGTTATAACATATCAGGGGGAACATGTAGACTAGCTGTCAGTTAGTCTGCCACTGATATAGAATTGTAACACTTTATGATAGAGTCTAGTGTAAAACATAGAGATAGATAGAGGACTCATCATGGATATAACCCGTTTTAACATGGACATTGCCATTGAGGGCTTCCACCATTGAGTCATCTATCTATCTCTACGGTGTAAAAGGGTTGCAGTATACCTTGAGTTTCCTGTACTTGTCAGTGTGGGTTGAGAGGAGGCGCACAATGGCGGTGCCCTCATCTGGCAGCTCTGTCTCAGCCAGCTCTGTGCCAAACGCCTGCAGCATCTGAGCTATGTCCTTAACTGTCATCGCAAAGCTCTCTATGGCCTGGAGGGGAGCCAGAGAGTACACCACACACACACACACACACAACACAGGGAAGTCATCACAGTGTTTCTAAATGTATACTCTGATGTCATCACTCAGAACTATGTAAACCTACAGGCCAAGTTTGAATATGTCTCTCCACATCAGATATGTTGTAATATAAGTGTTGGGGTTCTGAGTGGCTGCATGGTTGGTGGTATGTAAGTTTAAAGTATGTACTGTTCTTAGGACGATCCAGTCACTGTGGCAGTAGTCCAGGGTTCCACCAAACTCTGAGGTCAGTTGGTTCTCATCAATGTATCTCAGTAGGTCTGTCACAGAGCTCAGCATCACCACCTAATAGAGGAGAGCTAGAATAAGCTGCACATAATCGACTGTGTGTAGTACTATGCATGCTTCTTCAAAGATGAGATGCTGATGCCGTGTGGTGAAGTGTTGGATTTGGCCTCTGATCTGCCTTACTGGCATCTGGAGCATGAAGTCCTCCTGGCTGAAGCGGAAGCACAGGTCTGTGACGGTGCGCTGGAAGAAGCTGGTGGGTCTCAGCACCAGCACCAGGTGGAGATTTCCAGGGAAGGAGGCCTGGAGACGGGGAGGGACACAATCACACCCCCGGGGTTGGACAGTGAGCTCATTTTAACACACATTTTACATTTTAGCAGACGCTCTCATCCAGAGCGACTTACAGTTCGTGAGTGCATACATTATTTTTTTTCACACTGGCCCCCCGTGGGAATCGAACCCACAACCCTGCTGTTGCAAACGCCATGCACTACCAACTAAGCTACACGAAGCTAAAGCTTTGACAATTCCTGGAACATGTCTTTACCCAACATCAGGCCAGAGTATGTTCACTATAAAGGGTATGGACTTCTGGATGCATAGAGTGATAGGCAGTAGCCAGCATCTGTCACTGACAGGACATATTGACAGCACTAACAAGCAATCACCTGCAGACAGACAAAGCCTCAGGGGCACCCACTGTCAATCAGATAAGGAAAGCTAGACCTATCCTGCTAGTGCCTATCACAGGTGTATTGAAGTTGCAGTCAATATAAAATGGCTTCACTAAACAAGAACAGATAGCAAGTAGGCTGTATTCCATTTAGAGGTGAGGTGATTTTCAGAGTGATTTCCAGCATCAGATCACAAGTAAATCACAATCTGATTAGCTAAATTGGAAAAAATTATGCTCACAACCATTTTTATCACATGACTGTGGTGGTGCAGGTCTAGCCTATTGACTAATAATTGATATGGGTTTGGTTGAATTGAAGTTGCCAGCTGTTAAAACGTGAACATGTGCAGCACAGAACATCGACATAAAACCGTGGGAAATTGATTATTCCAAAAAGACCGATGCATTCGCATATAGAGCTCTTTGACATTCATTTGACCTCGTTATCAAAATCTAGCTTCAGGCTATTGCAAACATAAACTTTGCCCTTCAAGCTCAACATGCTAAATAAATATCGCTGCCCGGTTTGTATTCATATAAGCAAGTGATCTTTCTCGGTCTCACTGCATCAATTGTATGACTAAGCTCAAATCAGGCTCTGCACTGCAGTGCTACGCTTAGCAAGCTGCAGTCAGTGAGCGATGCCGCATTCACCCTGCCCACCCAAACTTGAGCACAACTCTTTTAGCACGTAATCAAACTATTTAAAAATCGCGTTACCGGGCTCTTCCGTATCCTGGGCAATCCCCGGCGCTTGTAACTCTCAGCCATCGTGTTTACAGCCATTTATGCGATAACGTTAAACCTCGCCCGTCCCGTCGCTAACTAATCGGTGCCAAGTTACTTGGTCCCTCTACTCCGCTGCCTCAACGCTGCTGCCACGAGGAGGGTGGCAGCGCTGTCTGCAAGCTCTCCCTTCCTCTAGCCTTCTTGACTTCCCGCTCTCCCCTCATCGTCCGCCGAAATATAGCGTCATCAGGTAAATATCCATGTAGCTGAGTGCTGGCTCATGCATTTTGATTACCTCACGACGGGACTTTAGTTTCATACAGTGAATACAGAACAATTTATTTGAAAATTATGTATGAGCAATAACAAACGGCGACAAAACAACTGCAGGTACTTGACAGATATTGGCACAATCTAGTATTTTAATTAACAAAACAGCACAAGAGAAGAGACCATCCCAAAACAGCAGGAACTGAGTAGGGGTAATTCAGCACCATGGACAACACCCCACTCTGACGTCCACTCTGATAGTACTGATATTCTGTACAGTTTTTTGTTGTGTTTTATTATTATTATTATTATTATTATTATTATTATTATTATATTGTTTGACATGTTACTGCATTATTAAGAGCTAGTAACATAAGAATTTCGCTGCACCCTACTATAACATCTGCTAAACTGTGTACGCGACCAATAACGTTTGATTAGATTTCCACATGCACGAAAGTGCACGTATGCACGCACACACGCGAAAGAATGACAAAACTAACTTGCTCACCGCAATTCTGGCAAGTGCTGTTTTGATAGAGGTCCATGTATCCAGTCTTCTGTCTAAAATGATGATGAATTTTACACCTGGCTGTCTTGCTCTGAAATCACAAGCACCAAAAGTATTTGAACAAATGTATACTTTTACTGGTAAAATGTATAGGTATAGTACCGAAAAACTCTGATAATATGCTAAGTGAATTTGACAGTTAAACACAGCCAACAACAATAGATCTGTTTACAGGGACGTTCATCGACTCTTGTGACCTGTACTCAAACTTCCCTTTTGGCCCACATCCAATGATATGATCCCTCCTCACTAGGTATACCTGCTCTGAGCTGGCACAGAGGACATCCCTAGGGCATCGAAATAGATGAGGGATAGGGAGCATCTAGTGCCATCTGTGCTAAGAATTCTAACTCTGGACTGAAGCAGGCACACACTGCACTGCAGAGAAAGAGAGAGTTGTGAGAAGAGAGAGGGAGGGCTACAGAGATTAATACTTGGCATAGCGTAGTATGGTGGTTCACCCACCGAGGTATGAGGGTGAGGTATTTTAAGACTTTGGCTAAAGATTCCTCTGGAATGTCGCTGAAAGCAGAGTATTCTGGGAGGGTGATGATCACGCTGGAGTCCTCACCACGCCCCCCTGAGAAGAAAAATATTTTAATATGAATAATCACACTCAATAATGTATTAAACAAATGATATTATGTTCTTTGCTGACGCCTTATTTAAATAATCTATTTCAACATGTCACTACTATTTTTACAGCTCGAAGACACCTCCTGAATCTATACAACCAATGTAAACACAGGTCAGAGGTTATGAACCCTTAGTAGTAGGACAAGACTAAGTAAAGAGCCCCCACCTGACAGGTAGGCCACCTGCTTCTCAATGTAGCCGTCCACCTCCTTCATACTCATAGGGACTGACACCTCTGTGGGAGGAGAGAGTGAGAGAGTGAGAGCGAGAGAGCGAGATTAAGATAATAGGTCCCAAATGAGGCCTCTTTCAACGTCAAACCTTGGTTATCATTCATAACTTGTCCCTTAAGAATGATGAATTAGCAGACAGAAATACTGCCTCCCAGTGGTCAGATGTAAAACATCATCAACATTACAGTGGTAAGAAAGGTATCAAACTCTCAGCTGTCTGGTTCAAGTCAGTCAATCCTTTTGAGGTGGACCCCTTCTATCCACTGTGACATCCAGGCTAGCAGGAGGCAGTCATTATACCTCTCCACACCCTTCTCCTGTCACCAGGGGAGAGGCAGCATGGGGTCATATACTATGTACAGCACATGAGGTTGGTGGCACCTTCATTGGGGAAGACAGGCTCGTGGTAATGGCTGGAGTGGAATAGTATCAAACAGATGGTTTCCATGGTTTCCATGTGTTTGATACCATTCCATTCACTCTGTTCTGGCCATTAGTATGAGCTGTCCTCCCCTCAGCAGCCTCCTGTGGTGTACGTAAGTCGCTCTGGATAAGAGCGTCTGCTAAATGACTAAAATGTAATGTAAATGTGTACGCCAAGCTGTGGTGGCAGGCAGCACTGTGACTCCCTCCTCTCATAACACTCCTCATTCCATATTCAACAACGTTGACAGGACTCTATACTGCATGTATCATAAATATACAACGTTGACAGGACTCTATACTGCATGTATCATAAATATACAACGTTGACAGGACTCTATACTGCATGTATCATAAATATACAACGTTGACAGGACTCTATACTGCATGTATCATAAATATACAACGTTGACAGGACTCTATACTGCATGTATCATAAATATACAACGTTGACAGGACTCTATACTGCATGTATCATAAATATACAACGTTGACAGGACTCTATACTGCATGTATCATAAATATACAACGATATAGTGGGGTGAGCGAAGTCACACTGAAAACTCAGTTTACCTCCAGTAGCAAGCATTATATAACCCTAAAGTAAAAGTCGTACATAGTCATATATAATGCTCGGCTGTCAACTAGTTTATGCAACCGATCAACAGTCCACTTGATTCACATACACTTAGTCTCCTTGTGAATAATATACAGTACTATTAAATATGAATAGGATTTCATACACGCAGAGAGAGACGCAGTATAGGGAGAGAGAGAGAGATGTCGTGTAGAGAGAGAGGGGAAACAGTGTCGAGAGAGGGAGAGAGAGAGGACGTGAGTGATGGTGTCGTTTTCCACATCGATGTCGTCGGGGATAACAGTGTCTGGCGGGGAGTCAGTGAGTGGAGGGGTAATGAGCTCCGCAGACCTCTGGTCAATATTTCATGAGTGTGACTGACACACACAGACAGATATGGGTTGGGCCGAGCCAGGCTGGGCTGTACTGGGCTTGGCAATTCACACACTGCCATGGAGTATAGGATTACTGTGAGGTACTGGTTAGTGTCAGGTTGAAGATGAATATCCTTGACTGGTTGTGTAATAGTTCATGTTTCCATGGCTTGAGTGTATCAGAGAGCTTGGATAGGCCACATGTAGTATGCATAGGCAGTTCATAAATAGTTAATAGGGGGTAGATAGTGAATGTACTATTGCATACATTGTAAATGTATATCCTGTACAGCCGATATCAACAAATACTACTATGCAGCTTCACAACCAATTATTTTGTCATCTCTTAACGCGGCACAGCATATGACACAAGATACAATTTGTGACTATAATGAAGAGGCAATCTAATGTGAAAAGGTGCAATATCCTTGTCAGGCTACCCATCCATATCGCTCCGGAAAAACGATGAGTCTGGATTTACCCCCCTCCCCAACGTATTTTGGAATGCAAACACATTCTGAACGTTCTAATTGGTCCCAGAAAGCGATAGGTTAGGCCAGAGCCAGCCTACATGATGACGTTATCAACTTTGATACTCTGATTGGTTAGATTGGTTAGAGACGATCCAATCGCTGATTAATTTGTTTTGTACAACGCTCCTAATTTTGACGTCACACAAATTACTTCTAGGATGGCAGATTCAGACAATGTATGTAGCAATCGATAGAGCAGCGGAATTAAATTCAGGATGAGTCGTCAAATCAAATCAAATGTTATTTGTCACATACACGTGTTTAGCAGATGTTATAGCGGGTGTAGCGAAATGCTTGTGCTTCTAGCTCCGACAGTGCAGTAATATCTAACAAGTAATATCTAACAATTTCACAACATATGAAAATATATAGATGGACAAGCAATGACAGAGCGCCATGGACTAAGATACAGTAGAATATTATAGAATGAAGTATATACATATGAGATGAGTAGTGCAAGATAAGTAAACATTATTAAAGTGAGTGTAAACATTAATAAAGTGACTAGTGATTTCAATAGGCAGCAGCAGCCTCTAATGTGCTAGTGATGGCTATTTAACAGTCTGATGGCCTTGAGATAAGCTTTTTTTCATTCTCTCGGTCCCAGCTTTGATGCACCTGTACTGACCTCGCCTTCTGGATGATAGCGGCGTGAACAGGCAGTGGCTCGGGTGGTTAATGTCCTTGATGATCTTTTTGGCCTTCATGTGACATCGGATGCTGTATGTGTCTTGGAGGACGGGTAGTTTGCCCCCGATAATGCGTTCGGCAGACCGCACCACCCTCTGGATAGCCCTGCGGTTGCGGGCGGTGCAGTTGCCGTACCAGGCGGTGATACAGCCCGACAGGATGCTCTCAATTGTGCATCTGTAAAAGTTTGTGAGGGTTTTAGGTGCCAAGCCGAATTTCTTCAGCCTCCTGAGGTTGAAGAGGCTCTGTTGCGCCTTCTTCAACACAGTGTCTGCGTGGGTGGACCATTTCAGTTTGTCGGTGATGTGTATGCCAAGGAACTTGAAGCTTTCCACCTTCTCCACTGCGGTCCCGTCAATGTGGATAGGGGGGTGCACCCTCTGCTGTTTCCTGAAGTCCACGATCATCTCCTTTGTTTTGTTGACGTTGAGTGAGAGGTTATTGTCCTGGCACCACACTCCCAGAGCCCTCACCTCCTCCCTGTAGGCGGTCTCGTCATTGTTGGTAATCAAGCCTACTACTGTTGTGTCGTCTGCAAACTTGATGATTGAGTTGGAGGCGTGCTTGGCCACACAGTCATTGGTGAACAGGGAGTACGGATGTTGAGGATCAGCGAAGTGGAGATGTTGTTTCCTACCTTCACCACCTCGAGGGCGGCCCGTCAGGAAGTCCATGACCCAGTTGCACAGGGCGGGGTTCAGACCCAGGGCCTCAAGCTTAATGATGAGCTTGGAGGGTACTATGGTGTTGAATGCTGAGCTATAGTCAATGAACAGCATTCTTACATAGGTATTCCTCTTGTCCAGATGGGATAGGGCAGTGTGCAGTGTGATGGCGATTGCATCGTCTGTGGATCTATTGGGGCGGTAAGCAAATTGAAGTGGGTCTAGGGTGACAGGTAAGGTAGCGGTGATATGATCCTTGACTAGTCTCTCAAAGCACTTCATGATGACAGAGGTGAGTGCTTCAGGGCGATAGTCATTTAGTTCAGTTACCTTTGCTTTCTTGGGTACAGGAACAATGGTGGCCATCTTGAAGCATATGGGAACAGCAGACTGGGAGAGGGAGAGATTGAATATGTCCATAAACACACCAGCCAGCTGGTCTGCGCATGCTCTGAGGACGCGGCTAGGGATGCCGTCTGGGCCAGCAGCCTTGCGGGGGTTAACATGCTTAAATGTCTTAATCACGTCGGCCATGGAGAAGGAGAGGCCACAGTCCTTGGTAGTGGGCCTCGTCGGTGGCACTGTGTTATCCTCAAAGTGGGCGAAGAAGGTGTTTAGCTTGTCTGGAAGCGAGACGTCGGTGTTAGGCAAGTAATATCCGGCAACTAGATATGATAACAGGCAATCAAAACAATATTGATAGACTGTTAACAGCACACACACTGCAGCCACCTGGCCTACTCCTTACTGCAGACATTATACTATATGGTAGATCAGAGGGAGAATGCTTGTGCTGCAGGCAGGCAGGCTGCAGTGTTTTTAATATGCGTGCTAGTCTGTGATCCCAGGAAGAGACTCCACCACGGCCCCTCTCCAATCAGCACTGCAGCACTCATCACATGGTGTGAACCACTCGGCCTCTGCCTGGCATGCTAAACAAGATGTCTGCACAACACACCCGGCTTCCAAATCATGCCTTCTATTTTGCAGCCACACAGCTAGTAAATCATTATTCCCGCTGACTTGATTAATCAAAGCATCCAAGCACCAAAGCCTAGTCAGGTGACCTCAATGAGTAGTGTTTGCTGCTTAGAAATGCAAATAACCTGTGTTTGTTCTGACCTGGCCCAGAGAATGATATTTCCCACTAAGCATAACTGGGTCCTGAGACAGACTCCCAGACAGCTAGACAGATGAAAGGCCCAGAGTCAAGCAGGGCTGGCCAGGCTAAGGCCAGGCATCCTGTCCCTCCTGACATAGTGGTTAATCTGTGATAGTCCTGTGTCGTTTGCTCAACATTAGCCGACCTGCGGAAGTTGGCTCAACTGCTTGTAGTAGTCCAACAAGATTCTGGTTCTTTTACTACCTTCTATTCTTGTGCTCATTTACTCAAGAAAACCCCCCAAATAGATAACCATCAACAGAAGTTAAATAGTTGTTCTCCGCAAAGGGATTGAGTCATTTAGATGTGAACGGGACACATTTTACTAGGTAAGACCCTGACAAGAAGGGTGCCACACAGTCACTACATTTCAGTGACATCACACATGAGTGGCACTGCCCATGCCATGATGCCAGGTTGCGGGCATACTGGGTGGGCTGAGGAGGGCAGAGACTTCTTCCTTCAGCTAACAGTCACTGATGTCTCATAGAGGCTACATTGTGTGAAGAGAGACAGTAATATACTGCACACACTGTCCACATCTCTTGAGACATAGGGAGACAGGCACACACATGCAGTCCCTCAGGTTTACACACACCACACACAACCACATATTACAAGGGCCATGGTTCAGACTGTTTTGAGGTCAGTAGATATGTTTTACCAAACAGGGCTTTCAGCGCTAAGTGGATTATAGTGGTGGACTATGGAGGGAAAGTGTTGGAGGAAATTCCTCAGTTACACAATAAAACTATATTTTATTAGTTTCACAGACGGAACGGTCTGTTTGGCATTTCTCCAAACACACCCAGATGTGGAGTGTACTTACAAATATCTCCTCTACATATGATCAATATGGATAAAAAACTGTCCCCCCAGGGTTTAGGAATAGCACATTAATCCCTGCATGGCTACGTCGTGACCCACTGCTGGAGTGTATCAGTAACCATCCAATCAATAGCAAACAATATAGACCTTAAAACTGTCATTATGCGTTTAAATAGGTTCTATTATGATGCCGTTATATCTCCATATACCATACTTAACTTTGCATGATATATCCCTATATACCCCATATATGTATGCCAGTGAGAGGGGGTGATGTAAGGGCAGTACAGGAGAGGTTCTCACGCTGCAGTGTGTTCTCCAGCTGAGTGCCAGCCTGCAGAAGGCTGTGGTAGGACTCCATTTCTCCCTCTGGCTCCTGCTCCTGTTCAGTCTCCTGCAGTGAAACCGGGCCCATTCCCTTCCCCTCCACAGGGCTGGACAGGACACTAGCAAACCTGGTAGTGGATAATGGCTGCTGTCAAGGCCTCACATCCTCCTGACTATCCTACGGTCCTCTCCGCAGTCAAACTCCACTTCCAGGGGGGTAGAGAGGAAGCTTCAGCCCACTTGTCCCTGGAGATCTAGGGATCCAGTCCGGATGCTCCCTGGGGCTGGCTCCAGGTCCTGAGTCGCCTTGAGCTGCATAGAGTGCATCCACAGAACCGCACAGAGGAGGAAGAAGTGGGGCAGTCCACACAGAAAAATCAATGGTATGTTTTCCGGCTGCTGTGTACAAGGCAGAGTCCTGCTGCAACAATGCACTTCTCCCTCACATACACACACACACACAGAGAAATGCACACTCACTCACATCCAGAGTCCAGTGGGGGAGTGTCTTGTTCTAAACTGCAGCCACTAACCCTTAATGAACTCCAGTCTTCCACTTGAAAACAAACACTGCCCCCTCCATATGGCCACTGGAGTCTCCCCCCCCCTCTTTCTCTCTGTGCCCTCCCCTTATCCCTCTCCGTCTGGGCTTTAGTGCGTCAGCTCTGGCGCTGCTGAGGCACAGCGGCTCCAGTCCTGACACTGCCAACTCCCTCCCAACTTTCTCGCTCACTTAAGACTCCTCCTTTCTGTTTTCCTCGCATTAGTGGCCATTAGATTCCTGTAGGAGATAGTGGGCTGATGCCGTACAATACTGCCTGGCTGACCTGATTCATACAGTAGGATGCTGGGCTATCGGACACTAGGGTCATTTCACAAGTCATGACACCCACCATCTCATATTGTTCTGAAATTGTTTCTATAGTTAGTAACAGATACCATTAGCATACCTGCAACATTATTTTGTTGAAATATAATTTGATGAAATTAAGCTAACTGATTGCACCCAAATTGGCCATTTAAAATATATAGGATTCATATAATATTTAATAAATATAGTACCTTAGAAAAAAGTTAGGTTTAAATCAGATCTAACGATGAATAAGACATGAATCCAAAACAAATGGTCAAACACCACCCACGGACCCCCCACACCAAACCCAACAACGAGTATACAGTATCAGTTCTCTATGTCTGACAAGTAGTATGTATTGTATGAGTATTGTTTCTTCATCCTATGAAATGTATTCTCAGTGAATTTGGTGATATTAATTTATTTCCCTGTTCAGAGAAATGTGTAATTGAAGTTAAGTTTAAGTCCCATTCTGCATCCTGATCATACCAGGTTCTGACAACTAGGTGGTGATGTTCCTGCTATTAGCTGATGCATTTTAAGAATCCCCCCTCAATTTTAAAGAGATAGGTGACCCAAATTACTAAATGACATACAGTGAGGGAAAAAAGTATTTGATCCCCTGCTGATTTTGTACGTTTGCCCACTGACAAAGACATGATCAGTCTATAATTTTAATGGTAGGTTTATTTGAACAGTGTGAGACAGAATAACAACAAAAAATTGTCAGAAAAACACATGTCAAAAATGTCATGAATTGATTTGCATTTTAATGAGGGAAATAAGTATTTGACCCCTCTGCAAAACATGACTTAGTACTTGGTGGCAAAACCCTTGTTGGCAATCACAGAGGTCAGACATTTCTTGTAGTTGGCCACCAGGTTTGCACACATCTCAGGAGGGATTTTGTCCCACTCCTCTTTGCAGATCTTCTCCAAGTCATTAAGGTTTCGTGCCTGATGTTTGGCAACTCGAACCTTCAGCTCCCTCCACATATTTTCTATGGGATTAAGGTCTGGAGACTGGCTAGGCCACTCCAGGACCTTAATGTGCTTCTTCTTGAGCCACTCCTTTGTTGCCTTGGCCGTGTGTTTTGGGTCATTGTCATGCTGGAATACCCATCCACGACCCATTTTCAATGCCCTGGCTGAGGGAAGGAGGTTCTCACCCAAGATTTGACGGTACATGGCCCCGTCTATCGTCCCTTTGATGCGGTGAAGTTGTCCTGTCCCCTTAGCAGAAAAACACCCCCAAAGCATAATGTTTCCACCTCCATTTTTGATGGTGGGGATGGTGTTCTTGGGGTCATATGCAGCATTCCTCCTCCTCCAAACCCGGCAAGTTGAGTTGATGCCAAAGAGCTTGATTTTGGTCTCATCTGACCACAACACTTTCACCCAGTTCTCCTCTGAATCATTCAGATGTTCATTGGCAAACTTCAGACGGCCCTGTATATGTGCTTTCTTGAGCAGGGGGACCTTGCGGGCGCTGCAGGATTTCAGTCCTTCACGGCGTAGTGTGTTACCAATAGTTTTCTTGGTGACTATGGTCCCAGCTGCCTTGAGATCATTGACAAGATCCTCCCGTGTAGTTCTGGGCTGATTCCTCACTGTTCTCATGATAATTGCAGCTCCACGAGGTGAGCTCTTGCATGGAGCCCCAGGTCGAGGGAGATTGACAGTTCCTTTGTGTTTCTTCCATTTGCGAATAATCGCACCAACTGTTGTCACCTTCTCACCAAGCAGCTTGGCGATGGTCTTGTAGCCCATTCCAGCCTTGTGTAGGTCTACAATCTTGTCCCTGACATCCTTGGAGAGCTCTTTGGTCTTGGCCATGGTGGAGAGTTTGGAATCTGATTGATTGATTGCTTCTGTGGACAGGTGTCTTTTATACAGGTAACAAACTGAGATTAGGAGCACTCCCTTTAAGAGTGTGCTCCTAATCTCAGCTTGTTACCTGTATAAAAAACACCTGGTAGCCAGAAATCTTTCTGTTTGAGAGGGGGTCAAATACTTATTTACCTCATTAAATTGCAAATTAATTTATAACATTTTTGACATGCGTTTTTCTGGATTATTTTGTTGTTATTCTGTCTCTCACTGTTGAAATAAACCTACCATTAAAATTATAGACTGATCATTTCTTTGTCAGTGGGCAAACGTACAAAATCAGCAGGGGATCAAATACTTTTTTCCCTCACTGTAGTAAAATTGACTAGCGACAGGTGTCCCTCATTCAGGGCTAGCGCTTGCTCGCTGTCCTTGTCATGGTCCGAATCATATATAGGACTATTGCCAAATTATGAACTTCTTCCTAATCATTAGTGTTTACCTATTACATTTAAATGTCACCCAGATGTTTCTAGGCTCTCTAGTGAGGGTGATCAGGCCTCCCCAGAAAGTCAGAACAGAGGTCAGAGGTCATTCAAATCCTTCAAATAAGTGTTTCATTCTATAGTAGACTATTCACCAAAAATATTCAACCATTTCATACATTTCGTATCCCAGGTGTACAGTAAGTCCTCAGTACAGTTCTTTTCAAAAGAAATCACGTGTTTAATTAGAACTCACTCATAAAATAAAACGTCAAAAAATTCCTTTGTGTGTGCCTTTAAGATTTAACCCACAGACTCGGGAATCTTTCCACAGAGAGAGATAATTAAACCACCATTCTCCTGGAACAGAAAGTTGACATGTTGTTAACATTCAGTTATAATCAGCAATCCAAAAGAAAGTAATTACACACAAAACATGATGCAGATAATTCCACTGTACTACCTCACATCAATAATTGTTTGTTTCAATCTAATTCCTCATGACTACTCCCGAATAAGATTACCTAAAATCTCTCACGAGAGAGATTCTCTGAGTTTGCAAAGAGCATCCCTAATTGATTACCCTTTAGACTTAATTTTCTTCAATTCTCACAAAGATTATTCAACCCCAAAATCGGCTCCATTTGCTCCCATGTCAAATTATTGTGGTATCGTTACTGTTTCAACGACATAGGAAATAACTGTTTCGCCTTAGATTGTTCCTGTCACCCCTCTAAATGTCATATTTTATTCAATCGCCAATATAATCAATTACTCCTCGTAAGGAATCAGTGATATTTGATCCCAGGCGCCTATTAAAAATGGTTTGATACGTTGTCTCCTACAGCTCCCTTAACATACATACTTTAGTCCTGGAAGAGAGAATCCCACTCAAGCCACGTCAGATAATACCGTGTTCCATTAAGTGGAATATACACCTTCTAAACTAACAAACCCATAACCCCTTTCCGGTAATCTAATCATCACCACCTGTTGCACTGATTTAGTAAAACTATAAACCTGTTGATTAACGAATCTAGAACCTTCAAAAAGTTGGTGCTGCCCTACCAGCGTAATAGTCAAAACTACCTGCACTCCACTGTTCCACGTAACGGAAACAGCTTATCATCTTTAGAATTCCGTAACTGCTTGCATAAATCACTGGTGTTACTCCACTATAGAATTGAGTAATAATAATTTGAAATTATCAAAAAATGTTCCCGATTCAACTATTCAGATCTCTGCTTCAAATTTCTCACTATGTGCTTTATATCTCGATATAGCCCAGCGAGCACGACTCTTTTACACCCGCGGAGTAAAACATGGCATTAGTAAAGCCTATCCACCAATAACTAATACCATATTTGCATTCACCTTGTTAGTAAACATTATTGTCATTCCAGTCTACCCAAACAATTCAATTCTACATTCGCATTTCCCAATTACATTAGCTCCGTAATGATAATTAGTTTGATGGAAACCCTAAATTGGCTTTGTACTATATTATAAGTTACATCTTTAATTTCCAAACCTTAGGGGCAGTTTTTTCATACATGTTGTACCCGGACGGAGAAAATCCCTTAAGCCTTAATAGTTACATCATTAGGTTAAGTCAATTCCCCATGTTTTCCAAAAAGTGGACATATGCCAATTCGTTTCTAAGACTATTACCCCTAGTTTGCTTAACCTTATCTTTATCAAATTATCCATAAACGGCACCAACCCTCACATACGTTTGGGTGCGCAAGTTATCGTATATTAATATTATTCCAATTATTACTTTTTCAAATCTCTAGTAATTGATTACACACACAAAATTCATCATATTTTCATATATTCACATAATCCATATAGAAGGTTAGAAATTCTGAGGTACTCACATCAAACAATCCCTTCGTGTTTTTTTAACGATTCTCAATCGACACAAATCAGCTTCTTCAAACATACTCCCAGCGGAATCAAAAACAGACTTTAGTTTCCTGGACACTGCCCTGTCTGTCATGGGATCCTCCCAGAAAATACAGACTTTCCACTACTTTGTAAAATAACATTCCGCTCTAAATACCACTCCTTGATATTCTATGACCTAATTCTGTTATATATCTAAGCTTATTATCCAAGCTTACATCAAATTATTATACACATTTCTATAATTTATTATGCACACTTCAGATTAAAATTAATTTCTGCTCTTTGTTCTTAAAATGCCCTATGTTGTTCCATTCAATTACTTAACTTCTTAACTGACTTTTTCTCCTTACTAATTATATTTCCAGGCCATTGTGCTCTCATTAAATCCCATGCTTTATCCGCCTCTTTCATGTAATCTAAATCCCATTTCGGGTTGCTTACGGCGATATTGTCAATGATATATTTTCCGCTATCTGTAACTTATCCCTTTTAAAAATACCTTCTTGAGGATACTCATTATCTGTCCATGCTGATAAATCACTGAGATATGATTCCACATAGAAAAAACCCAATTTACTTAACATCCATTCGCACTGTGTCTGATTTTCGATACTTTTGAAAGAGACCTGTTTTAAATGCGGATTTGTCTGTAATAATTTCTCTCTCTTCAAGTCAAATGAATATTCTTAATTGTGATTGTCTTGCCAGATACCGGTCTACTGAGTTGGCTCCCCATTGTTTTTATATTAGTTCATGCAATGTTAGTAATTCAATATTTGATTCAAATCCCCACCTTGATCTTTCTTAAAATGTTGTTTGTCTATTTAGTCATCGTTGCCATGATCCAATATGATTGTTTTGAGTAATTCACAAAGGACTAATTCTGTACCTAACAACTTTATGATGATTCAACACACCAAAGGACTCAAACCTAACACTTTATGATGATTCAACACACCAAAGGACTCAAACCTACATTCTTTTTAATGCCTTACACATTAAGGGATCCTGCGCCCAATCTTTTTACAATGCCTTGAAACATTAAGGGACTAAAACCCACTCTCTTTATAATGCCCTACACATTAAGGGATGCCTGCGCCGACTCTTTGTCCTCTGTTGTTTTTACTCATTAATTTGAACGCATCCTATTTTGAATCATAGCACCATGTCATTGTCTAATTCAATATTCCTCTTACATATTTTTTACATACTTGACTACCACTCATCTTCCCCCCTCTAAAAATATTGAATTTTAAACGTTATTTACAGCTCAGCTTTACCACAGATAAGCAGATTTCAACACAATCCGAAATAAATTAAAATCTGCTTACATGTTGCTTCGGACGTAAACTGTATCCTGTTTATAGACGCCAAATTGTTATGAGTTTCTTGGGTATCAAGTAATTCAGGATGCAAGAATATATTTAAACAATTAATGGAGAGTTGATACAAAGTATTTAATAGATACGGTACCGGATTCGTATAACAACGGCATGTGCGTTGCCTCTTGTCATCTGAACTACTAGACAAATGAAATCTCTCAGTTTACATAGCCTCTTTACACGTCTTCAACTACACCTTGTAAACATCAGTTGGCACTCCCCACCCTGATGTTATCCCCTTGTACCCCAGGCAGGATATTCCATCTATCAATAATTCTAAGATAAACACCAGTAAGCTCCCTCGACATACTGGAATCCTTGGGACCAACAGTTATCTATCTAATGGATTAAACCTCATTCCTACAACCCTGTGAAAACACGTCATATCAATATCAAAATATTCTATAAGGAATATCATTGAGTTACACAGTCAATGTTTAGATACTTTAGGGTGATTTAAACATTAAGCGTGAAATGCTTATATAGGTACCATTGACTTGCATTGGAATTGTGCCACAAATGCATTTGAAAGCATTTGAAACTGTGACCAACAAAACTAAAGCATGGGTTGCTGTCATATCTTGTCAAACTGCTTACAGGATAAAGAAACCAATGTAATTTTGTAATTTGGGTGAACTATCCCTTTAACATGGGGGGGAATCTTCTAACTTGTTTCACCCAATAGCAGGAACAGCACCATCTAGTGGTCAGAATCTCGTAATATCAGGAAGTAGGATGGGACATAACTTAAGTTCAATTTCTAATTTATCTGAACAGAAAAAATAAAAATCACCTGGAATACATTACGTAGGATTTAGAAAAAATACTGAGCCGCACCTCCATACTACTTGTCAGGCACAGAGAACTGATACTATATACTTGTTGTTGGGGTGGGATGTTGGGGGTTCGTGGGTGGCTTTTGACCATTCCTTTGAATTCCTCATGCCTAACTCATTGTTAGTAAAAAGTTTGGTCCATATCTGATGTTAGGTAGTATATTTATTGAATATTAAACGAATCCTACAAATTAAAATGGCCAATTTGGATGCAATCAATTAGCTTACTTTTCATATATGAAATTCTACTGTATTTCAACAAAATAATGTTGCAGGAATGCTAATCTTATCTGTTTCCAACAATCGACTTCAGAACAATCCGAGATGGCGGATGTCGTATCCTCTCATGCTTTTTGAGGTTGAACGACCTACTAGTGTTAATGTGCCCTCCTACTTTACCGTCAAAGACAAACGCGCGCGCTACACGTTAATGTGTCAATAGAGGCATTGTAAATAGCACATTATTCTCCCTTGCTCTGAGCCAACAAATTGTTCTGCCCATGCAAGTGCACACACACACATTAACACACAATGGACACATTCAAATTCAAACAAAGGAACATGAACAGGTGTATTCAGACCGCTTGACTTTTCCCACATTTTGTTACGTTACAGTCTTATTCTAAAATTGATTACATTGTTTTTCTCTTCAGTCTACACACAATACCCCATAATGACAAAGCAAAAACAGGTTTTTAGAAATGTTTGCCAATGTATTAAAAATAAAAAACTGAAATATCACATTTACATACAGTACCAGTCAAAAGTTTGGACAAACCTACTCATTACAGGGTTTTTCTTTATTTTTACTATTTTCTACATTTTAAACTGTGAAATAACACATATGGAATCATGTAGTGTTTAACAAATGAAAATATATTTTATATTTGAGATTCTTCAAAGTAGCAAACCTTTGCCTTGATGACAGCTTTGCCTTGATGACAGGTCTCTCCAGAGATGTCCGATCGTGTTCAAGTCCGGCCTCTGGCTGGGCCACTCAAGGACATTCAGAGACTTGTCCCGAAGCCACTCCTGTGTTGTCTTGGCTGTGTGCTTAAGGTCGTTGTCCTGTTGGAAGGTGAACCTTCGTCGCAGTCTAAGGTCCTGAGCACTCTGGAGCAGGTTTTCATTAAGGATCTCTGTACTTTGCTCCGTTCATCTTTCCCTCGATCCTGACTAGTCTCCCAGTCCCTGCCACTTAAAAACATTCCCACAGCATGATGCTGCAATCACCTTGCTTCACCGTAGGGATGGTGCCAGGTTTCCTCCAGACGTGGCATTTGGCATTCAGGCCAAAGAGTTCAATCTTGGTTTCATCAGATCAGAGAATCTGTTCTGAGAGTCCTTTAGGTGCTTTTTGGCAAACTCCAAGCAGGCTGTCATGTGCATTTTACTGAGGAGTGGCTTCCATCTGGCCACTCTACCATAAAAGGCCTGATTGGTGGAGTGCTGCAGAGATGGGAGAACATTCCAGAAGGACAACCATCTCCACAGAGGAACTCTGGAGCTCTGTCAGAGTGACCATCAGGTTCTTGGTCACCTCCCTGACCAAGGCCCTTCTCCCCCGATTGCTCAGTTTGGTCGGGCGGCCAGCTCTAGGAAGTGGTGGCTTCAAACTTCTTCCATTTAAGAATGATAGAGGCCACGTGTTCTTGGGGACCTTCAAGGCTGCAGAAATGTTTTGGTACCCTTCCCCAGATCTGTGCCTCGTCACAATCCTGTCTCGAAGCTCTACGGACAATTCCTTCGACCTCATGGCTTGGTTTTTGCTCTGACATGCAGTGTCAACTGTTGGACCTTACATAGACAGGTGTGTGCCTTTCCAAATCATGTCCAATCAATTGAATTTACCACAGGTGGACTCCAATCAAGTTGTAGAAACATCTCAAGGATGATCAATGTTAACAGGATGCACCTGAGCTCAATTTCAAGTCTCATTGCAAAGGTTCTGAATACTTATGTAAATAAGGTATTTCTTTTATATTTGTTATAAATGTGTAAAAAAAAACGATAACCTGTTTTCACTTTGTGCTTAGTATGCTTTCTTGCTGATACACAAGCTCACTCCATCATACCACAAATTCATTAATAAAAACAGAACAAGTTATTTTCTTCAAAACATTGTTTTACTACAGAAAAACTGTGTTGAACATACTGGTCTTAAAGTGGTACATTCAGATCGGAGGTTCAGAGTGCCGAGGCTGGAGACTGAGGGGCCAGATGTGGGGTGGTCCTGGCGCCGGGGTGAGGTGCCCACTTTGTACCCATCAGATCCTACGGCACCCCACCACAGCAGTCACCCATGGACAGGGTCATTCTCCACATTCACCCAGCCTCTCATGCTTTTTTTGGACGTTTAGATTATTCTTACAAAAGTGGCTGGAAAAAGGTTGCATTTAAAATACAATCAATTATTTTTGTTTTTTTGTCAGGCAAAACAAGAGTTTTCAATACTTTAAAGCTTTTCAAAATAGCATCTCTGATGTAATGTTAAAGGTTTTTTTTTTTTAAACGATGCAGGCAGCCCCCCCTTCCTATACAGAAAGTCCTCCTCCTACCCCATGACCTAGGTCACAGAGCCCAGGCAGGTGAAAGTCCAGCGGTGTCTTCACGCTCGTCTAAAAAGTCCATACTCCTCATCCTCATAGCTTTAGTGTTTCAAAAGGAAACATTCCAAAAGAGTTCCCTGTATTACAGCCATCTGGTGAACACAACCCTCTGGAAACTCTAGACCCTTGAAGTCAAGGAAAATATGATTTTCTTCTCCACAAGATGGTACAGTACGTGATATGTGGTTGATGGAAGTATGGTAAATCACATTTGGCATGGGAGCCGTGTCCTGAATTCTGCCAAGTGTGACAGAGGGGAGGGGCACCAGGCTGCACATGCTCAGTATATCACAGGTCATGTACAGCCATTACGTAGCTACTACAGTCTCTCCAACCACTAAGGAGCTGGAATGGAGCACATCTGGACTAAGGATCCTCAACTTATGAACTACAACCATCAGTGATGGTAATCATCATATTTGATAGTTATGGCATTTTTACCTGCAGGTGTGTGTGAGATACAGATGATATGGGTTGGCACTGGGCACACATCTGGTCTGAAGTAACACAGGCATACTGAAGATGCACAAAGCTGATCATTCTGTACAATTAAAAAAGATTCATGTAATAAAAATATAAAATGTGTGAGTCAAATTACACAGAACAATAAATATGTCAAATAGATTTTTACATGTTCCAAAAAATCTTCCCATATAGCGTCTAAAAGTGATTAAAATCATGGCATGTAGAAATGGAATGTATGAAGCACTAACGCTAGAAGTCAGAACAGTCTTTCAGTAAGAAACCCATTTCAGATATCGTAAATGGAGATAGATGTTCAGGTTTGGTAGCAGGTGGGTAGAAAGCCTCACAGTGGCATTACCTATGGTGACAAGAAAGAGGAAGTCTGGAGTTGGGATCTTTACCCACCAACGTCAGCCCACCTTTGACAAACAACACTAACTGGTAATTTTAGGCTTTTAGTGCATGTGTGCATTTGTGGATGCATAGGTGTGTGTGCATTTGTGTGTGTGTGTGTATGCGCATATAACAATGTGCCTTTGTGACCACCTGCCCAAAGGAAAATCCACAGAACTCCTGAAGTCCTTTAGAGGACAGGTCATGACAACCACATACTAAATCTACAAGGTAGCGACAGGTATTCTGGTTAAACGCTGTAAGTGTCTCAATGTAACACACAGGTTGATTTGAGGCCATCATTCCCATCCAGTACAATTGTGCTGCTGGGCGCAGATACATAACAAACACACACACACACACACACACATTCTCAGCGACATAGTTCGCAATCATTTGGACAGTGCTGGGCATGACACTTGCATCACCCCAGCTCAGACACATTTTTGGCATCAAGCATTAGATATTCTAACAGGTTAAGCTATATACACAGCACATATATTAATTTTCTATACAATTGGGATTTTCTTAAAATGATCACTGGCCTTAAGGTCGGAAGATTAAAGTCATGCTACAAACACCAAACCAGGTAGAAATGTTGGCAAGCACAACTCATCACCAGTCATTTTGATTCATCACACACTTTGGGGAGATGGGAAAATGGAGACTTAACCCAGATGGAGTTGTGCTCTAAACCTTCCCATCTCAGTATTCAAGGCAAAAACATTTTGAAGATATCCAGTAACCTGTGTGCAGTGTAGTCTGCACTGAGTGAACATGCTCTCTTAGCGTTGGACTTGACTGGATTGGAATCATGTAACTTATAAACTAATGATTTGGACCTGGAACAGTGGAATTTCTGTTTCAGAAAGTTAAGTGACATTTGTAAAAAAAAAAATATATATATATATATATATATATATATATATACACACCTTGCAGAAAAATACAAATAACAAGTGGAATGTGGCATTCATGGAGCCTCCTTAGTTTCATGCAGATGAATCATTCTGGGACAGTGGAGGCGTGGCTGCATGTTAGAACACAGCAGACTGTACGAGTACTTCTGACAAGGCAGCCGTGTACGCATTTACTTACATTTCCCCCCCGCTACTGTACTATTCAAAAACGGAAAGCAAAGAAAAATAAACTGCGGAAACTCATGCCTCATGTTTGAGCAGTCCAGTAAAAATGTGGTAAAAATGGCCTGTGCTGCGTGTGCCAGTGGTGCAGCAATCTGCTGACAAGGGGAGGGAAACAGGAAGAAGGGAAGGACGGAGGCAGCAGTGGAACAGAGGTACTCAGAACACTGCTGGAGTCATCCCTGGGTCTTTTGTCATTTCTATTACGTTGTTTTACATTTTCTTTTTAGATCAGGCAAAAGCCCAGGCATCCAGAGTGCCATGGGCTCCTGAAAGACGCAGGCCGCAGGGTAGTTGATCCTCCTTTGTGCCCTTCACTCCTGCTCCTTCATGTGCTTGTAGGACAAGGGCATGACAGCAGCGTTCTGGAGAGGACATACAAAACCAATACAAAACACACACAGAAGTCAGTCCACCTCTATAGACAGAAACCTGCTCCTGCCAATTGCCAACCACTGGACGGTGGCAAGACCCAGCCACACCATGACACAGACAGCATTAAATGATGACCCCCAGAATCAGGTAGAATTGACAACATACCCCCAGATAAAATCGATTGGACACACCTCCCCTGAAAACAGATCAGCTGGAATCAAATCATAGAATGTCTATTGCTCGGATTGAACGTGATCATCAACCAGGGTTCTAAATGTCTATGGAACCCAAGACCATGAGCAATAACCGAGGCGTTAGACATGCGAGATTAGCCCCTTGTTTTACCTGGATGTCTGTAGGAGGGAGTCCTCTGAAGGCTGGGAAGAACAGATAAACAGGTTAAATGAAGATGAGGGATGTGAGCGTAAAGCCTGGTGTTAACACATTACTGCCATTCCAATAAATGGAACCCAACCACTCAGTTGACGGTCAGTTCATTGACGTAGTAAGCTCAATATTCTATATATCAGGCAAAGGGATGGCATAACATGCAGTCAGCTAAGCTCGATAGTCGTACTTGCAAATGAAAAACATGACACCAGTGACACACAAGCATGTTATTGCACATTCAACCCCCCAAAATTATAATAACCACAACCACCACATAAATGACAATGCCATAAAGGGAGAAATAGAAATGGCAGATTCCGAGGTCTGCAATGTTGAATTACATATAGAGATGAAAGAAACACCAAAACAGACTTACTCACATTCACCCCTTTAACACGCATACAAACTGATGACACAGATGAATCCCCATCCACAGGAGAGTTGATACTTTTTTTCAAAAAGGTAACATGAAATCATTAAAAAGAGCACATGCAAGGACACAATGAGCAGGTTGTCTACTGGAGGCTGAAAGGAGCAATCATCATTGTCCTGGCTTAAGGCTTACGCATGCTTCCGACCTTTGCTTGAAAAATGAGAAAAAGCGGCAATAGTACCGTTTGTCCATCTTGAGACACCGTAGCCACTTCTTCAAAATAATCAGAATTAATCTAAGAAAACTCAAAAAATCTGTCATTGACGTTTTTGCAGAGGAGATCCTAGTCGCTCAATTTTACATCTAACTAAGATGTTTGGTGCAGTATTTCTCAATTGAAAAAAAGTGCATTGAAACTTGTCATCCATCATTGATCGACAAACACTTCAAAGAAGAATACCTACTGTTGACCAATGACCGACGAAGGTCATAAAACCGCAGAGAAAACCCTTGCCGAAGACCAAACAAACAAAAACGTAAGAATGTCATAATATATGCACAAACTGTTCTGAAGCATGCAGACGCCTTTAGTGGGTCAATATTGAAAAGGCGCCCACTTCTGACACCAATTTCAACATTGTCAGTTGAATGTTTATCTAAATCTTTTGAGTTAACTTTGTCCATAAGGATATGTCCTTATGTATGTACACATGTACAGGTAACTGCCAAAATAAAGGAAACACCAACACCAACATAAAGTGTCTTTATAGGGCATTGGGCCACCACGAGCCATCAGAACAGCTTCAATGTGCCTTGGCATAGATCAGGGATGGGCAACTTTGATGGGGTGGGGGCCACAAAAAATCTGAACTCATCATGAGGGGTCACAGTTGCTCGTGGGTCTGTGTGACCAAATCCACAACCCCCACCCCCCCCCCCCCCCCCACCCCCACATTATGAGCAAAACATTTTAGTGGCCCTCTTGACAGTGCAATTCTACACATTTTGCCATGGGGCGGAGAGAAATGTTTGCAGTTTTTAATATTATATCTGAGTGAGACTGACTAATAAAATCAATGGGGGCCACCCAGCAGGTAATTTGACCATGATAACAAGTTTAGATAGCTGGCCGCAAAACTAACTTAGCAATCCCCCAGAAAATTGCTGACATGGGCTAATTGACTGACTATCAGGGATTTACTGCTGATGCACAACCCAATTTTGAAATTGCACCTTGTGTATTCTACTATTATAACTCGCAACAGTAAGTTGAGACCCCGACTGAGTTCCATCCCTTGCATAGAGTCTACAAGTGTCTGGAACTCTATTGGAGGGATGGGACACCATTCTTCAATGAGAAATTCCATCATTTTATGTTTTGTTGATGGTGGTGGAAAACACCGTCTCTGGCACCGCTCCTGAATCTTCCATAAGTGTTAAACTGGGTTGAGATATGGTGACAGACGCACACACGCTGAGCGATTCACTGAAATGTTAGTTAATTTGTTTAAAACAAAAAATAACCAACGTCGGTTCAATTATTTGAATTCCATTTTGTTCGTTTTTTTTCTGAGTTCAATGCCCAGATTTCACAGTTTCTCTAGAGATAAAACAGATCAAGCCCAAATTGTGCGATATAGTAGGGAGTTGTAGTTTCCAACAGGCCAATATTCTAAATGGTTTCGAGCAGAAAATGTGATAATTAACTACAATGACCACAATCCATTGTGCCTACTTGTCCAGTATGTGTTTCTTTTACGCGTGCTACATTAGATTAGTGTGGGGCAGACATGGAGAGGGAGAGAAGAGAGAGAAGAATGTGTGATTGAGAGGGATAGAGAGCAGTTGCTTTGTGAGGCATCTCTACCTGAAAATACATGATCTAAGTGATTGATAGTTGGTATTCAGCAGTCATAAAAGTATGCCTTATTTACTTTGAAGAATTACAAAATACTGATTTTGTCAGACAGCATAGGCAGCAGCTTTGGAGATAAGATGACTTGGAATGAAATAATAAAGTCATCAAATAAAACAAATGTAATAAAATATTTTGGTTGTATATATTAAAGTACAGTGAATAAATTATGGTTAAAGCAGTAATGTGCAGCACTACCATCATGGGACTTTAATTAATTGTTTTATTCTGTGTTTAGAGCATTCAACCCACATAATGCATAGTGCATTTAATGTAAAAAATAAAATGATTGAAACCGAAAACCGTGATTATTTAATAATCTAACCGAAACGAGCTAAAAAAGCACTAATCACTCAGCACACTATGCTCCTCGAGACCCATCTTTTTTAAAAGTCACTGAGATCTCTTCTAGCCATGGTAGCCAAACTAATGGAAAACTGGGCATTTTTATACATGACCCTAAGCATGATGGGATGTTAATTGCTTAATTAACTCAGGAACCACATCTGTGTGGAAGCACCTGCTTTCAATATACTTTGTATCCCTCATTTATCCAAGTGTTTGCTTTATTTTGGCAGTAATCTGTATGTACACATATCACAAGAAAAAATATGAAGCAGACATTATGACAAACACACTTTTCAGCCAACCAATAAGAGCTCACCACACAGGAAGTACGGGTTAAGGTAAGTGATAGAGGGCTGAAGCGAGTTCTTAAAAAAAGGATCTTCCTTCTTGAAGGCACGGAAAGAAGGATTTGGAGTAGAATACTGGATTCTGGTTACAGCTAAGGGGTAATGGGCCCCGGCAGATATAGGCTGCTAAAGGGTTTGTTTTGGGAGGTATTTGATTGGTTAAACTAGGGGGCAGAGTTGGGGCTGGTACCTGTTCATAGGATAGTATTGGACTCGTCTGAAAAGGTTCGCATTAGCAGGGGCCTGGCTGAAGACCGGGGAGACTGGGTTTCCCACTCGCCCGACTGAACCACTGGCTTCTTCTGGAAGGGTCAGGCAAGAGACACTAATGACACCTCGGTGCTGACAGAGACACTTACAAGACAGCAAGTGGACAATGTAATGTAGTTTAAACACACACTCTCCCTGGCGAATATTCTCTCCTCAACCCAATGATTGTCAGGAGGGACAAGTCAATGTTTAGAAAGATCTCGTTGTTTAAGTGTTGTTAATCTCTATTCTTTAAGGCAAAACAAAGCTGTCTTAATGGACTAATACACATTATTGGTGTTGCCCTCCAAATACTTCTGACTTCAGACACGCATTCAGAGCAACACAAACACACACATCGCTGTAGTGGCCCACTGTGGTTGTGGTGGGGGGTCCAGGGTATGGGGTTGGCTGGAGTCTGGGGCACATTGGCATGCAGATTAACCTCATGTGTTTGCGTGCTGCATTCACCTGGACAGGCATGCAGAGACCGCAGGCACAGGGGCAACACAGGCAGCTAAGACACAATGACTGATGCACTCAGACATACTTAAGAAGACATAGCACCAACGCTCCATGGTTTCAGCACCAAACCAAAAACCACTATTGCTGGGTAAGTGACAGAGAAGGCAGGGCACTGGGCAATCCAGCATTTACATAAACATTCTCAAATTGTCCTGGCATAACAAAAATGGACCACCCAGTCTGGACAGTGGTTAGAACCTTCAAAGGGTCACTATCATCACTATGATCTGAACTGGGAATCTCTAGAATGGGCAACAGTGTGAGGATCAGGCCTAACCTGTCAAGTCAAGGGAGGGAGGATGCTGGATGTTATTGGACACCACCTGAGTAATGTTAAAGGCAGGAGGAGGGAAGGGGGAGGAATCTGACAAGCAGGACAGGAGGAGGTTAAGGGAAAGAGCAGAGAGAGAGAGACCTCAGTCACTCCAGGAGAAGCTGTGAGTACTGGCGGTCTGCGACAGCATGAAGATAGTGGACGTTCCCGACGAAGGAAGTCGTTGCTTGATCTTTGGCAAAGCAGGCAGGATAGAAAGAGAGAAACAGAAGAGGCAATAAGAGGGAGTGAGACAGAGGGAGAAAAAGAGTAGAACAAATGTATTAAACCAGAGCATTAGAGTTAAAGACAGCATTTAGTTAGAGTGGGGCAAGAGGGTTGGCCTTTGCTGCTGAGGCCCTAGAACTTTCAACGATGTTCATCAATGGTATCAGGTTAGACTCCTTGCCGTTAGAAGTGTATTGGTGTTGTGGGTTAAATGTAACCTTTATTGGTCTGAATTAAATGTAATAAATGTGTTGTTGTTGTTACTTGAGAGCAAAAACAACATACAAATAAATGACATTGTATTGCATTTCTTTGAACCATAGAAGTGATAGAGCTCCATGATGCACAAATAACAGCCCATCCAGCATACGTGTGTGTGTGTGTGTGTGTGTGTGTGTGTGTGTTTGGCCTACGCCTTTATCTACACTGAACAAAAATATAAAACGCAACATGTAAAAGTGTTGGTCCCATGTTTCATGAGCTGAAAAGATCCCAGAAAATGTCCATACGCACAAAAAGCTTATTTCTCAAAAATCTTGGGCACAAATTTCTTTACATCCCTGTTAGTGAGCATTTTATCCTTTGCCAAGATAATCCATCCACCTGACAGGTGTGGCATATCAGGAAGCTGATTAAACAGCATGATCATTACACAGGTGCACCTTGTGCTGGGGACAATAAAAGGCCACTCTAGAATGTGCAGTTTTGTCACACAACACAATGCCACAGATGACTGAAGTTTTGAGGAAGCATGCAATTGGCATGCTGACTGCAGGAATATCTACCAGAGCTGTTGCCAGATAATTTAAATGTTAATTTCTCTACCATAAGCTGTCTCGAACGTCGTTTTAGAGAATTTGGCAGTACGTCAAACCGGCCTCACAACCGCAGGGGGCGGGGGATGCCACTTTCTGTCTGTAATAAAGCCCTTTTGTGGGGAAAAACTCATTCTGATTGGCTGGGCCTGGCTCCCAAGTGGATGGGCATGTTGCATGTTGAGTTTATATTTTTGTTCGTACAGTTAAAATCATCAAAATCATTACGAGGTTGTCAAACATTTACATTTATCGGGCGTACAAAAAAGGATAAGGTATGAGGATATGTTGGTTGAAAAATCAATCGAGTGATAATATCATATAACTTGTAAAATGAATAACCAAATTATGCGTCATCACACCATTACTAATACTTTGAAGAAAAACTAATTTGCCTCATGGGGAGTTAAGTGACAGACTATACCAGAAGATACTGGCCTAAGAGGGGAGAAGGGGGGGGGGAAATTACATTATTCCTCTGATCTCCATCCATGTCAACAACACAAATCAGACCGCTATGGAGGAGCTCTTTAATGTATGTTTAGAGCAATGGGCTCCGTCAAGCATGACCGAATCGTCAAGGAGACACCAATGGCTACTTGCAAGGACAAAACGTAAATTATGAGACTGTTATGATGCATAAACAGAAATACAGGGATATCTAAGCATCTCCTCAGTGCATAAAGACGCATAAAGGACAAGTCATAGCTGTAGAAAACTACTATGAAGTGTTTTGAACAGTTGTTTTCCCCTTTAACATTAAAACAATATAGAGATAGATGTGTGTGTGTGTGTGTACAGTACCTGTCGTGAGTGGGGCCACCGGGGCTTGCGGAGGACCAGCAGCAGGATCTCAGGCAGCAAGCTGAGCAGGACGAGGAGGATGATGACCAGCCAGGTCGACACAGAGCTCAGCATGTTAGCAAACACAAAGTAGAGACGCTGCTGCCGAAGGAATGGCCTGACGGGAGGGAGAGCGTTTACAACATTCACACAGGTCAGTGCAAATACAACGGTCACCAACCACGGTTCAGGAGAACTACAAGGCGAGTAGGCTTTTGCTCCAGCCCACCACTAACATTGATTGACGTATGTGTCAGATGATCTGGTCCTCACCATATGATCCCACCCCAGAAGAAGCTGAAGAACATGTAGAAGGCCAGCGAGCCCCAGATGACAAAGTGATTGATCCACGTCCAATGGCGCGTGTCCATAGCCAGCTATAACCACAAACAGAAGACAAGTGGTATCAATGGTCTGAAAACGTATTTCAACAACACTTTATGTTCAAATGTGCTTTACCTTTAGCGTAACGGTGAAGACGAGGACAGTAAAAACAATCGTTCCGTACGACCAATTCCCAAACACCTGGCCATTGTCCTGCAGGGCGGGGTTACTAAAGAGAAAGCGGACTCCAAAGAAGAACAGGAGGCCCTGGTAGACCCCCAGTAGGGTCCAGTACAGGAAGGGGCCCCAACGCAACATGGCGTTCTTTGCTACGTCCCTAAGGAGAGAAAAGGGGGCAGGAAGGGAGGTACACAACAATACAAAGACGGAGGATTGAAACCACTTGCTTGTCTCGTCATTATCACACTAGAAGCATAGCTAGTGCATTTTCTATGTAGGCACAAAATGAATAGTGTCGTTCCCGGCCCTACCTGTAGAGGGTGGCGTTGTCCATCAGGACTTCCATACAGATGTGCTGCTCCAAGAGGCTGTAGGCCAGGATAGGCATTGAGGTGAAACAGATGTTGTACATCGTCAGATAGGCTGCATCGTAGAGGGGCTGGGGAGGACGCGGGAAGGAAGGGGGGTAGGGACAGGACGGATTGGGAACCCAGGGGTTAATTACACAGAGAGGAGAGAGCACTCACATACACACACTGACAAACACACAACCACTACCTAACACAGGAAGATGGCTCTATAGCCTGGAGCCTGTTGCTGTGTGGCCACATGCAGAAGATATCCGTTGATATATACACACAGATGGATCTGAGAGAGCAGGTCTGAGCTGGGGGGCATCTTTTAAACTGAGCTACTTAGAGACCGAGTTTACATATCAGAAGTTAGCTGTGTATACTGAGAGATGTGTACCCTCTCCTGCGAGAGCTAAACATGTGCCAAAGGAATGAATACATTGCCTAAGATGGCGAAGACTTACTTGATGTAACCAAGGGACGTACTAGTCATATTGTATACATAACGTGCATATAATATGAATGTCACATACATACATATATACATACATACAGTTGATGTCGGAAGTTTACATACACCTTAGCCAAATACATTTAAACTCAGTTTTTCACAATTCCTGACATATAATCCTAGTAAAAATTCCTTGTTTTAGGATCACCACTTTATTTTAAGAATGTGAAATGTCAGAATAATAGTAGAGAGAATGATTTATTTCAGCTTTTCTTTCTTTCATCACATTCCCAGTGGGTCAGAAGTTTACATACACTCAATTAGTATTTGGTAGCATTGCCTTTAAATTGTTTCACTTGGGTCAAACGTTTCAGGTAGCCTTCCACAAGCTTCCCACAATAAGTTGGGTGAATTTTGGCCCATTCCTCCTGACAGAGCTGGTGTAACTGAGTCAGGTTTGTAGGCCTCCTTGCTCGAACACGCTTTTTCAGTTCTGCCCCCAAATGTTCTATAGGATTAAGGTCAGGGCTTTGTGATGGCCACTCTGTCTCCTAGAGATTAACGTACTTTGGTGCGAAATGTGCAAATCAATCCCAGAACAACAGCAAAGGACCTTGCGAAGATTATGGAAGAAACAGGTACGAAATAATCTACAGTGGGGAGAACAAGTATTTGATACACTGCCGATTTTGCAGGTTTTCATACATACAAAGCATGTAGAGGTCTGTAATTTGTATCATAGGTACACTTCAACTGTGAGACGGAATCTAAACCAAAAATCCAGAAAATCACATTGTATGATTTTTAAGTAATTCGTTTGCATTTTATTGCATGACATAAGTATTTGATACATCAGAAAAGCAGAACTTAATATTTGGTACAGAAACCTTTGTAATTGCAATTACAGAGATCATACGTTTCCTGTAGGTCTTGACCAGGTTTGCACACACTGCAGCAGGGATTTTGGCCCACTCCTCCATACAGACCTTCTCCAGATCCTTCAGGTTTTCGGGGCTGTCGCTGGGCAATATGGACTTTCAGCTCCCTCCAAAGATTTTCTATTGGGTTCAGGTCTGGAGACTGGCTAGGCCACTCCAGGACCTTGATATGCTTCTTACAGAGCCACTCCTTAGTTGCCCTGGCTGTGTGTTTCGGGTCGTTGTCATGCTGGAAGACCCAGCCACGACCCATCTTCAATGCTCTTACTGAGGGAAGGAGGTTGTTGGCCAAGATCTCGCGATACATGGCCCCATCTATCCTCCCCTCAATACGGTGCAGTCGTCCTGTCCCCTTTGCAGAAAAGCATCCCCAAAGAATGATGTTTCCACCTCAATGCTTCACGGTTGGGATGGTGTTCTTGGGGTTGTACTCATCCTTCTTCTTCCTCCAAACACGGCGAGTGGAGTTTAGACCAAAAAGCTATATTTTTGTCTCATCAGACCACATGACCTTCTCCCATTCCTCCTCTGGATCATCCAGATGGTCATTGGCAAACTTCAGACGGGCCTGGACATGCGCTGGCTTGCGTGCGCTGCAGGATTTTAATCAATGACGGCGTAGTGTGTTACTAATGGTTTTCTTTGAGACTGTGGTCCCAGCTCTCTTCAGCTCATTGACCAGGTCCTGCCGTGTAGTTCTGGGCTGATCCCTCACCTTCCTCATGATCATTGATGCCCCACAAGGTGAGATCTTGCATGGAGCCCCAGACCGAGGGTGATTGACCGTCATCTTGAACTTCTTCCATTTTCTAATAATTGCGCCAACAGTCATTGCCTTCTCACCAAGCTGCTTGCCTATTGTCCTGTAGCCCATCCCAGCCTTGTGCAGGTCTACAATTTTATCCCTGATGTCCTTACACAGCTCTCTGGTCTTGGCCATTGTGGAGAGGTTGGAGTCTGTTTGATTGAGTGTGAGGACAGGTGTCTTTTATACAGGTAACGAGTTCAAACAGGTGCAGTTAATACAGGTAATGAGTGGAGAACAGGAGGGCTTCTTAAAGAAAAACTAACAGGTCTGTGAGAGCCGGAATTCTTACTGGTTGGTAGGTGATCAAATACTTATGTCATGCAATAAAAATTAAAATTAATTACTTAAAAATCATACAATGTGATTTTCTGGATTTTTGTTTTAGATTCCGTCTCTCACAGTTGAAGTGTACCCTATGGTATAAATTACAGACCTCTACAGGCTTTGTAAGTAGGAAAACCTGCAAAATCGGCAGTGTATCAAATAGTTGTTCTCCCCACTGTATATCCACAGTAAAACAAGTCCTACATCGTCATAACCTGAAAGGCCGCTCAGCAAGGAAGAAGCCACTGCTCCAAAACCGGCATAAAAAAGCCAGACTACGGTTTGCAACTGCACATGGGGACAAAGATCGTACTTTTTGGAGAAATGTCCTCTGGTCTGATGAAACAAAAATAGAACTGTTTGGCCATAATGACCACCGTTATGTTTGGAGGAAAAAGGGGGTAGCTTGTAAGCTGAAGAACACCATCCCAACCGTGAAGCACGGGGTGGCAGCATCATGCTGTGGGGGTGCTTTGCTGCAGGAGGGACTGGTGCACTTCACAAAATAGAAGGCATCATGAGGCAGGATAATTATGTGGCTATATTGAAGCAACATATCAAGACATCAGTCAGGAAGTTAAAGCTTGGTCGCAAATGGGTCTTCCAAATGGACAATGACCCCAAGCGTACTTACAAAGTTGTGGCAAAATGGCTTAAGGACAACAAAGTCAAGGTATTGGAGTTGCCATCACAAAGCCCTGACCTCAACCCAATAGAAAATGTGTGGGCAGAACTGAAAAAGCGTTTGCGAGCAAGGAGGCCTACAAACCTGACTCAGTTACACCAGCTCTGTCCGGAGGAATGGGCCAAAATTCACCCAACTTATTGTGGGAAGCTTGTGGAAGGCTACCTGAAACAAAATTTGACCCAAGTTAAACAATTTAAAGGCAATGCTACCAAATACTAATTGAGTGTATGTAAATTTCTGACCCACTGGGAATGTGATGAAAGAAATAAAAAGCTGAAATAAATCACTCTACTATTATTCTGACATTTCACATTCTTAAAATAAAGTGGTGATCCTAAGACAGGACATTTTTACTAGGATTAAATGTCAGGAATTGCGAAAAACTGAGTTTAAATGTATAAGGTGTATGTAAACTTCCGACTTCAACTGTACATACATACATACATATACACACACGTATAAATATATAAGACTGCAGCCACTCCAGGAGATCGAGGAGAGAGGGAGTGTCAGGTCAACCAGAGGGAAAGAGTATGGGTGTAGACTGGAGAAGGTGCTGGGGTTCAATGGGATACTCTGCTATTTCATGTTTAGTGCATCTTTGAATCTCAGAGAGGGGAGGGGGCCCCAGCAGGACCCGGAGCAGTACTCACTTGCTGGGAAGATCCACAGAAAAACTGGTACAAGAACTGTGGTAAGATGAAGCATAGGTTCTGTTAGCAAGAGAGGGAGAAGGAGCCTGAGGTTAGACGCATCAAAAGATAATGGACATGTCCTTTGGTGGTGGAGAACTTTGGTGTCTGGGTGTCATCTAAATCACATGGGCTTGAGCAGTGTCCTTTATCAACATCAGAACACTTACTGTGTAAATCTGTGGCTCTGTTGCGCTCACATTTTACAGTTGATAGACACCTCTTTGTTTTTTTGCAATCGCCTACATAAAGATCTAAACGTCTCCGGTGCTACTGCTGGGCTTATTCATTGTCTTGCTATCAATTACACAGGCCGTGTGATCTATTTCTCGGTCGACTCATATCAACATCTCTGGGCATTAGGTGGTGGGGTAGCTAAATGAATACAACAGAATATGCCTAATTAAAAGAACAGTGATGAAGGAAATGAAAAATGCTCGGCAGGGCATGCCCAGATCTCGTGGCACCATAGTAAAATTGGAGCGAGAAAGATGGCCGACGCGCCAACATTTCACAAATCCGCTCCATGCTCCAGCCAAATTACGCACACTCCGCTCCTCGCTCCACTCACATCCTCTGTTCAGCGCAGCTGACTTTAAGATAACCTTATAGAGGCCCCCCATCTTGGTGGGGTAGATAAATTAGCATTTTTTAAGCCAATTTCCTGTAGTTCTACACAGTTCTCCATGGAGCTGTTGTAAAGCTAATTTCCTGCATTGCCATGCATTTTGCCATGGCTAATTCTGTGTTATTTTGCTCAAAGATTATAACAAAATCAGTACTGCTAAATTAATTGTTTATGGAATTTTCAATTTACCCTGACTGTCTAGCTTTTATTTTGGTGAATGTTAGTTCTCAAAGATTATATTATTTTAAAATATATAGGTCCACTATCTTTTCAACATACTTTATATCTGGTTTTAGTAGTTTAATTTGATACAGAAAGCGTTTTTCCATTCCGAAAATTAAAACACACGTTTTTATATTTTTTACACTGTTTGGACATAGGCTTCCCGCTTAGGTGGGCCGCCTAAGGATTTAAATGGCAGAAAAGATCCCTGCATCACTCCCACATAATCCTCATATTTACATTTACGTCATTTAGCAGACGCTCTTATCCAGAGCGACTTACAAATTGGTGCATTCACCCTATAGCCAGTGGGATAACCACTTTACAATTATTATTATTATTATTTTTTTTTTAGGGGGGGTAGAAGGATTACTTTATCCTATCCCAGGTATTCCTTAAAGAGGTGGGGTTTCAAATGTCAAATGTCTCTCTCATATCTAATGCGCTTTCTTTTGGCAGCAACAGGCTTATGTCTTATAGCTCCAAACAATGACCCACCCTTGACCTCATCTGATGTGACCAATACTCATGATCCTCAGTTACCATAAGCACAGTAAGTTATGGTGCCTACATTTGTGCTGCCCCCTACCTTGTAGAAGAAGTATTGCACCAGGTGGGCGATGCGAACGTAGTAGAGGTGCCCATGTCCCAGTAACAGTTTCTTCAGGTGCTTGAGCTTAGGGATGGCATAGTCACTGTTCCTCACCGCCTGGCGACCCTCTTTACCTTTTATACCTGAGACAGGGAAGACCAGGGCAAATACACACTTTTAAATCTAATTTTTACATTTTACTGAATTTAATTTGAAACATAATTTCAAATATTAAACATTTCATAATTTGGGTCTACAGTGATATCACAGTGTCTTACCGATGCCAATGTGTGCCTCCAGGATCATACTGACATCGTTGGCTCCATCTCCGATGGAGAGGGTGATAGGGCTGCCTTTAGAGTTCTTCACCATGTTCACAATCTATATAGGAACGAGAGAGCGGAAAGAGAGAAAAAAAGTGTATTAAATCCCACTTGGTTCTGCAATCAAAACAAGACGCCTAGATGCAAACGTATTCAGGCATTTGTAATATCATTACCAGGTGTAATATGGGTAAATATAGATATTTATTTTGCCGTGAGACCTCACCTGGTTTGCTTTTAACTTCTGTAGATACACTTAATCTATCAGCAAGCTCCTATGACATCACCTCACCTGGGCCTTCTGTAGGGGAGCCATGCGGCAGCACAGAACAGTGGTACAGTTCTGACAGATCTGGAGGAACAGACTCTTGTAGTGGCTGGAGTCTGGAGAGGAGTTGAACACTAAGGACAGAGTGGCTCCGTCTATGATGAAGCCGTAGTCCTGCTTAGCTGAAGACCAGCTCCTGGGAGGGGAAGAGAATGCAGAGCTTTCTTGAGACAAATCGAAATCAAACTAGAGGAAAACTGTCTAATAGTTCAAGACATTATAATTTGCTACCAATTGTTATCATTTTACGACAAATTATCATCAATTTACTACCAATGATTATCAATTTACTACCAATAAAATGATCAATAAGTAACTCCAACGACCCTCCTCCTTCCTTCAAACCTCCAACCCTAGACTCGGCACTGACCTGCTGATCCCAGCTTTGCCCGGTGGAGCGTCCTGCACTGCCCTCTTGTGGTAGTCTAACAGCACCTCATGCAGTCGCTCTTCTCTCCTCCTCCCTCCACCCTCCAGGGTTCGCACCGTCAGCTCCAGCAGCTCTGTGCCCTTCTGGAACAGCCGGCAGGCGTAGCACGTGGACTTGGCCGTCTCCATCTTGTCCCCCGTCAGCACCCACACCTTCATGCCGGCTCGCTGCAGGGCCTCCATGGTCTCCGCTGCCTCCTCCTGCAACCTGGGGACAGAGGGAGGAAGAGAGAGGGAGAGAAAGAGGGAGAGTGAGTGATGAGTGGCAGTTTGCAGTGAAAAGGTGATATGAAAAGGGGTGTGTCAGAGAATGAGTGATGGGAGGACAGGGATGGCTAAGTGAGAGAGAAAGATGAGATGGCTGAGAAGCAGAGTGTGATTGAGTGTGTGTGACAGTCAGTGAACACGTTCACATGTGTGCGCCTGTCTGACAGAATGACTGAATACATATTGTAAAGGAGGGAAAAAAAAATATGCATATAACTCCCACCGCACCCATAGGGAATAGGGTGCCATTTGGGACGCAGCCTGAGAGTTAACCCTGAGCTGACTGTCCACCCACCTGTCCTCCACAGCGGTAGCTCCGATCAGGCTCATCCCAGTCTCCACCTGGTTGTAGACAGCTATGAGTTTCTCCTCTCGGTCCTGTAGGGCCAGCCTAGCCTCCCTCAACCCTGCGTCTGCCTGGGCATACTCTTCAGAGCTCAGCAGCTTGTAGGCCACACACAGCGTCCGGTAGCCCTCCTGAAATATGGCACAACCACACATCGTAAGTTACCAATCAACACAAGCACACAAACACATTCTCACTGTGTGTTTTATAAATGTGCAAAATCTAGACTTTCAATGTACAATGCCCTCCACTATTATTGGCACCCCTGTTTAAGATGTGGTCGAGGACTTCCAAAAATTCTCCTTTTTTTTTTAAACAACATAGAACCCAAATGCAAAAAAAGAGAAAAATCCAACCTTTTATTTAAGTACATTACTTTGGTGGTAAAAAAAAAAAATCACATTTAGAAAAAAAAAAACTTGAAATCATGTGTCCCACAATTATTGGCACCCCTAACAATTCCGCTGAAAATTTTAATTGATTTTTTAAAAATATATTTTTCTGTAGTTGCTAAAGTTGGTCAGGGTATCTATGAACTTTTAATTAGTAATTCATGACTTCCTGTTTCCCTGGGGTATAAATATGACGTGACACAGAGGCCTAATTCTCTTACCCATTTGTCAACATGGCAAAGACAAGAGAACACACCATTCAAGTAAGGCAGATTTGTGTCGACCTTCATAAGTCAGGCAATGGCTACAAGAAAATAGCCACTTGCCTTAACTTGCCCGTATCTACAGTCAGAGGAATCATTAAGAAGTTTAAAACAACTGGAACAGTGACAAACAAGGCTGGAAGAGGTCCCAAGTTTATCTTGCCACAACGCACAGTGAGGAGGATGGTAAGAGAAGTAAAAAAAAGTCCTAAGCTCACTGTCACAGAATTGCATCAAAGAGTGGCATCTTGGGGTCACAAAGTCTCCAAAACAACCATCAGACGCTCTCTACATGCCAACAAGCTGTTTGGGAGGCATGCAAGGAAAAAGCCTTTTCTCACTAACACTCACAAACGTAAACGTCTGGAGTTTGCTAAGCGGCACTGGGACTTCAACTGGGATCGTGTGCTTTGGTCAGATGAGACTAAGATTGAGCTTTTTGGCAACAAACACTCTAAGTGGGTCGTAAAACAAAAGATGAGTATGCCGAAAAGCACCTCATGCCCACCGTGAAGTATGGTGGAGGATCTGTGATGCTGTGGGCCTGTTTCTCTTCCAAAGGCCCTGGGAACCTTGTTAGGGTGCATGGCATTATGAACGCTTTGAACTACCAGGACATTTTAAATAAAAACCTGATGGCCTCTGCCAGAAAGCTGAAGATGGGTCGTCATTGGGTCTTTCAGCAGGATAATGATCCAAAACATGTGGCAAAATCTACACAAAAATGGTTCAGCAGTCACAAACTCAAGGTCCTCCCATGGCCATCTCAGTCCCCAGACCTCAACCCAATCGAAAACCTGTGGGGCGAGCTAAAGAGGAGAGTGCATAAGAGAGGACCCAGGACACTGGATGATCTAGAAAGATTGTGCACAAGAAGAATGGTCATCCTGCATAATGGGAGGAATAAGGCTAGTGGCAAAGGGGTGTAAACATCGGGTGCAATCGTGGGACAATGATTTCAGTGAACACCAAATGTACAAAATGGTAGCTTGTTGTTAAAAAAAAAGGAAATTTTGAAGCCTCACCACATGGTTGCCATAATTGTGGAGGCCTGTACCTATTGCATATGGGAAATAAACTAGAAATGTAAACTTGAATCGTAAATCAATGTACACACAAACAAAAATGGTAGCCTCCCTGGGAGACCTTTGACATAAAGGCACAGACGTACAAAGACATTGTATAAACATGAAGTTAGTGAAGCGGATGGGGCAGTGACACACCGTAGCGTTGCGCTCCACGTGCATGTGTATCCTGTCCACTTCCTCCTGCCTGACACGGGGAAAGATGGAGGAGTCGGCCCCCTTACAGAACAGCATGGTGTCCCCTGAGCAACCAACACAGCCAGGACATGTCAGGACTGGGGTTACAACAAACAAAACTAAAAGCTAATAGACGAAAAGCTGTCGGTCAATCTCAATCCCTGACTCACCGCATTTGGATCTGACTATTACGCTCATACGCCTTCTCACGGGGTCAAAGTTCAACACGTGAAGCAGCTCGTACCTGCAAGGGGAAATCAGATGGCCGTGTCAATCAAAAGGAGAATTTTGAATGGGGAAAGACGGCTAAATGAAATCCATTAATAACATTAATCAAAACTCTTCACATGTTGACTTACGTTTCAACATCGTTATTTCTGTTCATCACTCTCATGTTCTTGCTCTCCATACCTAGGAATGTGAAACCATACCTATAGATGGCAACAAAGACAAGTGAGCAGTACTGATTCCACAACACCCTAATCAAACCAAGTCCACATTGAAGTTAATTTGTGTGATGGATTGATTGATTAATAACAGTTGATTGATTGCCCAGGCACTGTCCCTTACTTCATGGCTCCCTTGACCAGTGCCACCTCGTCGGGTGAGGAGGCGATGAAGCCCCTGAGCTCTGCAGGGTGGACCATCTCGCCGTCCAGCCCCAGGACACCGTCCACCTGGTCCTCAACCCCGTCCTCCTGACCCGTAGACTCCTTGACCTGCACCGTGTGGCACAGACACAGAGCTCGCAGGAACAGCTCCTCCTTCTCCTGAAAACACACACAGGCGCACACACACGCATGTTACTTATTTTACGGTGTGCCATTTACCAGAGGTGTATACATTAAGAACCAAATGCAAACGGGCTGAACTTGTCCAATAAGAAACTCTTGTTTTTGTTGCAAAACGTTTTTCTACAGTGTGCAATGAATGTTAGAATGAATACACCACTGGTATGTACTTTTATATGGCATAGTAACAGCTTACATTATTAAACTACCTAACAACCTCTGTCTCTATGGGATTCAATGACACAGGTACGTTAATAGAGGAAAACAGCCATTGAGTACAAACTGCTGGTCCCATTAATCACACTGGATCTGTCACAGGTTGTTAGAAGGTCACGTGTGATGCTTGTTATTCTGTCAGGTGACCTCTGATTCCACCATCACACTGGGCCTTCTGATGCCCATATGTTGGCATGCCTAACTGGCACAGTGATGAGGGGGGGCAGATAACCAGTCATTCACCCACCCTGCCAGCCTTCTCCTGCAGCATGCTCACGGTTCCATCTGTGACACAGAAGCCGTCCAGCTCGGTACTCAAGTCACGGTACTTGTACTGGAAGCCGTCGATGCAGCACTCGATGAACTCCATGCTGTTCTGGGTGAGAGTGCCCGTCTTGTCCGTGAAGACATACTCCACCTAAAGGACACGGTGAAACTGCAGGGTCAGACAAATATCCTTTTCACACAATCAAATGTATTTATAAAGTCCTTTTTACATCAGCAGATGTCACAAAGTGCTTATACAGAAACCCAGCCTAAAACCCCAAACAGCAAGCAATGCAGATGTAGAAGCACTGTGGCTAGGAAAAACTCTCTAGAAAGGCTGGAACCTAGGAAGAAACCTAGAGAGGAACCAGGCTCAGGGGTGGCCAGTCCTCTTCTGGCTGTGCCGGGTGGAGATAAGAGTACATGGCCATTAAGGCCAGATCGTTCTTCAAGATGTTCATAGATGACCAGCAGGGTCAAATAATAATCACAGTGGTTGTAGAGGGTGCAACAGGTCATCTCAGGAGTAAATGTCAGCTAGCTTTTCATAGAACCACACTACAGAGCCAAACCAAGCCAAGCCAATCTGTACTGGGCTGACCTGGATGGGCATCTACCATAGTTCCTGGAACCATGCTGGAGAGGACAATGTGAATAGAAAATATCTGCGCCAGCACAGTACTATTCAGGTTCGGACCTATAGTGTGAATCGGGGTGTACTCATTAGTCCAAACAGTTGCAAAACAGAACGTTTTGTAAATAAAACAAGTTTCAGTTGGAAGAAATTGGCGTAATGGAAAGGAAGGGTCGTAAAAAAAAAAACACTTCGCGCAATTAACGGCTGTAAACAATAAGAATGGGCAATTAATCCCTGACAGAGTTACACCGCATAAATCTAGTTTACCAAGCGTCATCTTTAATTGAAGTAATCATCTGGCAAACCAACCGTGACTGATCTACGACGCCACTGTTTGAGATGGAGGTTGGAGTCGGGAAGGCACAGCCAATCAAGGAATATTAAGACCAGTTAGACCATTTCATATTCTGAAATTTGAGGAGTTGTTCATGTGGGTTTAGGGCCATCACTCCACCAAAGACTGGGGCTGAGGGCAAAGAGGCCCTAGACCTCTAATAAACCTACGGCCTCGTTTGAATACTAAAATGAATCTCCAATTACCCTCTTCCCTTTGAGGTAATCACTGATCTAACATGACTGGGTAACTGAGAGTTCCATTGCAGTACACAAATCCAGTCATTTAAGATAAGTGATTACTTAAAGAAAAGGAGAAAGGAATGATGCATCAAGTATTCAAACAGGGTGGATATCTGGCCAACTATCTTCAGCAATTTGGTGGGAATATGCGATGACCGAAGAATACTAGCTCCTTTGGGAGAGTGGTTATGGGGCTTATCAACGTTAGGTTGGTTCCATAACTTTAACCCCTGACCTGTCCTAGCTCCTCGTTGAGGTCAGAGGTGTTGACCAGAGCCCCTTCCTGGATCTCAGGGTCGAAGAAGTCCTTGTCCCAGGAGATGAAGAAGGAGCCCAGGAACTTCTGCATCTCCACCGTCACGTACATGGACACGGGGATGATGAAGTTGAACAGCACCATGAACGACAGGAAGTCAGTAAACATATTCAGGTACTGGGGGAGAGAGGAGGGAACAAAAAGGAAATGTGGTTAAAATACACAGATCAAACAGGAAGTCAGTAAACATCTTTAGGTCCTGGGGGAGAGAGAGGGGTGAACACAGGGAACAGTGTTAAAACACACTTCCACAAACTGGAGTGTCCTTGGAGAAAAAACACACTTGTATAATGCAGTGTTAGAAGCCATTGGTGTAATGTGACTCTGGGTCAATGAACTGTGCCTAAAAGGCTCAACATAAGGCATTAAGTTGCATTTGAGACTGACTGCGGTCAGCAGAGAGCATTATACGGTGCTAAACTGTATTTCTCTGTGTTTAAAGTATTTTTAGCTGAGTGAAGGCCTCACCAGGTTGGCATCTTTCTCCTTCTGCGTCTTCTGGTTGTACCAGGGCTCTTCCTGGCCTGGTCGGCTCTGCCACACGTACTTGAGCGTGGTGCACACCAGGGCCTTGCTCACCAGGATGCACAGGTACACCAGCAGGAAGGCATTGATAGACCTGAAACACGAGTATTAACAACCCAACTTCCATTAGCAACACTGAAAATATACACTACCAGTCAAAAGTTTGGACACACCTACTCATTCAAAGGGTTTTCTTTATTTGTACTATTTTTCACATTGGAGAATAACAGTGATGACATCAAAACTATGAAATAACCAAAAAAAGTGTTAAACAAAATCTAAATATATTTGAGATTATTCAAATAGCCACCCTTTGCCTTGATGAAAGTTTTGCACACTCTTGGCATTCTCAACCAGCTTTATTAGGTAGTCACCTGGAATGCATTTCAATTAACAGGTGTTCCTTGAAAGTTCATTTGTGGAATTTCTTTCCCTCTTAATGAGTTTGAGTCAATCAGTTGTGTTGTGACAAGGTAGGGGGGGGGTATACAGAAAATAGCCCTATTTGGTAAAAGACCAAGTCCATATTATGGCAAGAACAGCTCAAATAAGCAAAGAGAAACTACAGTCCATCATTACTTTAAGACATGAAGGTCAGTCAATACGGAACATTTCAGCTTCATTAAATAGTACCCGCAAAACACCAGTCTCAACGTCAACAGTAAAGAGTCGACTCCGGGATGCTGACCTTCTAGGCAGAGTTGCAAAGAAAATGTCCAGTGTTCTCTTGCCCATCTTAATCTTTTCTTTTTATTGTCCAGTCTGAGATATGGCTTTTTCTTTGCAACTCTGCCTAGAAGGTCAGCATCCCGGAGTCGCCTCTTCACTGTTGACGTTGAGACTGGTGTTTTGTGGGTACTATTTAATGAAGATGCCAGTTGAGGACCTGTGAGGCGCCAGTTTCTCAAACTAGACAATAATGTATTTGTCCTCTTGCTCAGTTGCGCACCGGGGCCTCCCACTCCTCTTTCTATTCTGGTTAGAGACAGTTTGCGCTGTTCTGTGAAGGGAGTAGTACACAGCGTTGTACGAGATCTTCAGTTTCTTGGCAATTTCTTGCATGGAATAGCCTTAATTTCTCAGAACAAGAATAGACTGACGAGTTTCAGAAGAAAGTTATTTGTTTCTGTCCATTTTGAGCCTGTAATCGAACCCACAATTGCTGATGCTCCAGATACTCAACTAGTCTCAAGAAGGCCAGTTTTATTGCTTCTTTAAATCAGCACAACAGTTTTCAGCTGTGCTAACATAATTGCAAAAGGGTTTTCTAATGATCAATTAGCCTTTTAAAATGATAAACTTGGATTAGCAAACACAACATGCCATTGGAACACAGGACTGATGGTTGTTGATAATGGGCCTCTGTACGCCTATGTAGATATTCCATTAAAAATCAGCCGTTTCCAGCTACAATAGCCATTTACAACATTAACAATGTCTACACTGTATTTCTGATCAATTTGATGTTATTGTAATGGACCAAAAAATTGCTTTTCTTTCGAAAACAAGGACATTTCTAAGTGACCCCAAACTTTTGAACGTTAGTGTACACCCCCAGGAAGAATGACAAGCGACCACTTACTGTTGATATGGTCATTTTCATAAATTCTTAGAATGTTTGGGAATTACGTATACTAAGGGATTTGTGAAAATTCTATAGCAATATAGAGTGGGAAAGTGGCCGTGCGTTTGGACAATTAATAGACACTGCTGTAAATAAAACTGAATGAAAACATTGTCTTGTCCAGGACCGGAGTCTACACAGACCGGTGCGCTATAGCCAATCAGAGCTACAGTAGGCCTTTATACAAACAAGCCACACGGGCCTTCCATCAAATACTTTGAACAGGACTGTGTGTTTACAGGCAGTCACAACAGCGCGACTTTGGATCATTAGAACGCAGTCGACAAAAGCCACAAAAAACATCAACGGATTTTTGCAAATATGTAAACACCATGGGAGTCCGCTTACATTTGGGAACTTTACAGTCCTATTGATCAAACGAACATGAAAAGGTAGGCTCTCTCTCCCTCAGTTACGCACATCAACAACAAGATCAACTAATGCTACCCAGAGCAAGATGAGAGAAACTCTTAACGAAGGAACATAAGATAACCCTCAATCTTTTTCAGCTAGTTGGTCATCAAAATTGAACTGATAAACAATGGGGAATTGTACACTCCTCGTCCTTCTGCAGCTTGCCTGCTAACTGGCTAATGTTGGCTAGCTTGCTACTTCCAGACACAAATGAGAGAACACCTCACTGACCATTTTACTCACCTAGAGCATTCTTGACTAACTATAACTTTTTTGTCTACGTTTACTGACATATTCAGCGGGTGTTGCGCGTTCGTAAATGTATAACTTGTTCTGCACTCTGGTACACTCAGACGAGAGTGCTCTGAAATCGGAGTAGATAGCCAGAGTGAATTTGCGACTGTAAGAGATATGCTAACTGGATAACAGTTGTTCAAGTTCTTTCTAGCTAACCAAATGACACCTGCATCTCTAGCTGTGTATAGCCATCCACTCCTCCAATGGCATGACATCCTCCTAGCTAGCTAACGTTAGGCTACGTGTTTTTAGCTTTCTACATAAATAGATACACTAGCCTATTAGCCATGTTATGACTGACTTGTGATCATTGCCCTTGCTAGTTTGATTGTATTGACATTACCAGCCTTAGTTACATTCATCTGTTTTTGTCCAGAATATTGAGTCATTGAAACTGAAACAGTGCATCCTGAACAGAGGCAGCAAACAATGTACCAGGCCAGCTCTGATTTACAACCTGATAGCAATATTTTTTGCACTACGAAGAAATGTATTGGTGAATTATATTAATCATGCATTGAACTGCATCCATCTATTCTGCCAACAATGTGTACGTTATTGAACTTTGAGTCAAATAGAACATACTTTTAAAACCTCTTATAAAGTTGCTTTTGTAGCATAAACTGGGAATTTTATATTTTTGACTGATATTGATTGTATGTTTGTTTCATATCTGCAAAGTAGTTAAAACGCTGTTTAACCTTTAGGTCACCGGTTACTTTCTGTGCTTAACGTGAAACGTTTTTTGCAATGGGAAGTAATAGTTGTAAAATTATAATAATGGTTGTGTTTTTGTATTCTTATGATTGGGACCTACTTGCTTATTATGTCCGAGTTTATGGACTGCTTATCCTTTAACACAGGGGTGTCAAACGTACGGCCCGCGGGCCGGATCAGGCCCGCAAACGGGTTTAATCCGGCCCGCGAGATGATTTAGAAAAAATAAAAAAAAATAAAAAAAAATATATATTTTTTTCAAGTATAAAAATGCGCTGCAATTTTTCAATAAAATAAACTGCTGTTCCAATTGCGTCCACTGGATGGCGCAATAGCAATTGTGTTAAGCAAGCAAACTGTTTATACCGGGGCAGAGCAAGTAGGTCAAGCACGTGCAGCCAATGAGCTACTTTGTTTTGCCCGCGATATTTATTACGGCTTCTACTTTTAACATTATGTGCTTTGGCACCCTCATTGCCCCAATATGTCTCTGTCAAAAAAGAGAAAAGTGGACGCAGAGTGCAGAGTGTTCCAAGAAAAATGGTCATCCTATTTAATCACGGAATTGAATGGGAAAGCTGTATGTTTGGTGTGTTCAGATCATGTTGCAGTGCTGAAAGAATATAACCTTCGTCGCCACTATGTGAGTCTTCATGCCGACAAATATGACAACTTTCAAGGACAGCGGAGATGAGAGAAGGTGAATGAACTGTTGGCGGGTCTGAAGAAACAGCAGTCTGTGTTTACTCACAGCCGAGACATCAGTGACGCTGCAGTGAAAGCTAGCTACCTCATTGCTAATGAAATCGCAGTGGCTTCAAAACCATTTAGTGAGGGTGAATTTGTAAAAACATGCATGATGAAGGCAGCGGAGATTGTGTGCCCTGAAAAGCGGCAGGCTTTTGCAAATATCAGCCTGACAAGAAACACAGTTGCAGACAGGATTTCCGATCTTTCAGTGGATTTGGACAGCCAGTTGAAGCAAAAAGTAAAGTCATTTATTGCGTTTTCGGTTGCAATTGATGAAAGCACGGACATTACAGATGTTGCACAACTGGCCATTTTTTCATCCGCGGAGTTGATGACACATTGACCGTCACCGAGGAGTTCGTGGAGTTGGTGCCGATGACAGATACAACGACAGCAGCTGATATTTTTACCGCACTCGTCGGCGCGCTGGACAGGGTCGGAGTGGACTGGTCCCGCGCTGTCAGCCTGGCTACAGATGGTGCGCCCTCAATGATCGGGAAAAAAGCAGGCGTTGTGACAAAGTTCAGAGAGAAAGTGCAATCTGCAAATGGAGGACGTGATTTTTTGACTTTTCACTGTATTTTGCACCAGGAGGCTTTGTGTTGCAAGTCATTAAAGATGGATAACGTCATGAAGGTGGTCATCCAAACTGTTAATTTCATCCGATCCAGAAGCCTGAATCACCGTCAGTTTGACAGCCTTCTCAGAGAGAAAGACCACATCTATGGCCTGCCATACCACACTGAGGTAAGATTGTTAAGCCGAGGTGCTGTGCTGAGGCGTTTCTTTGATTTACGAGAAGAAATTGAACAGTTCATGGAAGAAAAGGGCAAACCAGTGTTAGAATTTCATTCCGCAGAATGGATGCAGGACCTTGCATTTATGGTGGATGTTACAGAGCACCTGAATAACTTGAACAAACAGCTGCAAGGGCGCAACAAAGTTGTCACGCAGTATTATGACAGCATACGTTCTTTCAAGTTGAAGCTGTCATTGTGGGAGACGCAACTTGCCGGTGGTGATGCAGCTCACTTCCCCTGTCTGAAAAATGTGTGCGCGACCCAACATGTGGCAGACATGAAGCGGTTCAAAGATAAAATAACGGGACTGTTACGGGAGTTTGAGCAACGCTTTCAGATTTATGTTTATATGTTTTTATGTTGATGTGCTATTGTTTTTAATTTATTTAATTGTATTTGTAAATTTAACCTATTCTTGACTCTGTGGTTCTTGCACTTGTTTGGGGAACAGGATTTCATTATTTTTATCTACATTTCTGCCTGAGAAATGACACCCTGATATAGTTCTGTGATCTGTGATATACTTCTGTGAATCACTGAGGCATTGTGTGTTTTTTGTCCTCAGAACTTTGAAATAACTTGAGGTGTTTTATGATTAATAGTGATGTTGTGCTTTTGGACACTGTCCTCAGGCTCCAGCTTTATGTTTATATGTTTTTATGTTGATGTGCTATTGTTTTTAATTGATTTTATTTTATTTGTATATTTAACCTATTCTTGACTCTGTGGTTCTTGCACTTGTTTGGGGAACAGGATTTCATTATTTTTATCTACATTTCTGCCTAAGAAATGACACCCTGATATAGTTCTGTGATCTGTGAAACAGTTCTGTTAATCACTGAGGCATTGTGTGTTTGTGTGTTCTTTTTCTTTAGAATTTTCTAATAAACTTGACGTGTTTTATGATTAATAGTGATGTTGTGCTTGTACTATTTTGGACACACTGTCCTCAGGCTCCAGCTTTATGTTGTATGTTGATCGTATTAAAACAAAGAAAACAATCTGAAGTTGTTGTTTTTAAGTTATATATACCATGATTTTTCCGGTCCGGCCCACTTGGGAATAGATTTTCCTCCATGTGGCCCCTGAGCTAAAATGAGTTTGACACCCCTGCTTTAACATCATGCTGTATGTGACTGCTCGCGTTCCATTGACCCTATGCCGTGGTGTAGTGGTGCCTGGTTTACTCAAATCTTGCCAAAAAGTTCCCAAGGGCCCACTTAATGAAGGAAAGGCACCCTGTGTGAAAAATCCTGTTTTCCTATGTTTGTTATGAGTTTTCCTATAGATCTTCACTCTCAATCACACTTTTATTGTAATAAAACAAATACAAAACTGAATTGATGGTCTAAATTCACAACAATGCTTAAACCAAATCAATCTGATTGGGTGGGCCTGGCAGGGCCTGGCTCCCCAATGGGTGGGCCTCTGTCCACCCAGGCCCATCCATGTCTACGCCCCTGATGCAAACAGTGCATGATGACAATTGCGCATCACAAATAACCTACTAATCAACACTTCAGACTAAACTTTTTGAATACCTGGTTTGCATACCCATTGTTGCCTTAATTAGCATTTGCTGGTAGATACAAGTTGAAACGTCTTCCCTACTCTACCGGCGTCATTCTTCTGTGAGCTGCTCCATGCCAAAACCAGTTGAGAGCTGCACATTTGCTGCCTGCAGATGATATGGGGCGTGCATGTGAATATATTTCACATGCTTTGCGATTGTGTAGGCTACTTTGTGCATGATTTCTCTATTGTACTACATAATTGATAAGCCGTATACCTCCACTACACTACTTTGATACGCATCAGTAGGGATTAAGAAGTGAGTATACGCAATGCCCACTGAAAAAGTGGGTATACGGCTTATACCTGCGTATACCCTCCACTACACCACTGGACCTTTGTGTTTTACAAAAAGTGTACTCCTACATGAGTGCGCTAGTATTACGGTTGTTGTCCGTTCAGAATCACGAACCTGTCACACACTGAAGGCCTATAGGTTCGCCACTGCGCAAACATTTACATTTTTACTCTTATCCAGAGCGACTTACAGTTAGTGAGTGCATACATTTTCATACTGGCCCCCCGTGGGAAACAAACATGTCTATAATAGATATAAAAGCTGTTAAGATACTCTATTAATGTTTCAAAAAAGGAGTATATATACAGTATCTCACAAAAGTGAGTAAACCCCCTCACATTTTTGTAAATATTTGAGTATATCTTTTCATGTGACAACACTGAAGAAATGACACTTTGCTACAACGTAAAGTAGTGAGTGTACAGCTTGTATTACAGTGTACATTTGCTGTCCCCTCAAAATAACTCAACACACAGCCATTAATGTCTAAACCGCTGGCAACAAAAGTGAGTACACCCCTAAGTGAAAATGTCCAAATTGGGCCCAAAGTGTCAATATTTTGTGTGGCCACCATCATTTTCCAGCACTGCCTTAACCCTCTTGGGCATGGAGTTCACCAGAGCTTCACAGGTTGCCACTGGAGTCCTCTTCCACTCCTCCATGACGACATCACGGAGCTGGTGGATGTTAGAGACCTTGTACTCCTCCACCTTCCGTTTGAGGATGCCCCACAGATACTCAATAGGGTTTAGGTCTGGAGACATGCTTGGCCAGTCCATCACCTTTACCCTCAGCTTCTTTAGCAAGGCAGTGGTCGTCTTGGAGGTGTGTTTGGGGTCATTATCATGTTGGAATACTGCCCTGCGGCCCAGTCTCTGAAGGGAGGGGATCATGCTCTGCTTCAGTATGTCACAGTACATGTTGGCATTCATGGTTCCCTCAATGAACTGTAGCTCCCCAGTGCCGGCAGCACTCATGCAGCCCCAGACCATGACACTCCCACCACGCTTGACTGTAGGCAAGACACACTTGTCTTTGTACTCCTCACCTAGTTACCGCCACACACGCTTGACACCATCTGAACCAAATAAGTTTCTTGGTCTCATCAGACCACAGGACATGGTTCCAGTAATCCATGTCCTTAGTCTGCTTGTCTTCAGCAAACTGTTTGCGGGCTTTCTTGTGCATCATCTTTAGAAGAGGCTTCCTTCTGGGACGACAGCCATGCAGACCAATTTGATGCAGTGTGCGGCGTATGTCTGAGCACTGACAGGCTGACCCCCCACCCCTTCAACCTCTGCAGCAATGATACGTCTATTTCCCAAAGACAACCTCTGGATATGATGCTGAGTACGTGCACTCAACTTCTTTGGTCGACCATGGCGAGGCCTGTTCTGAGTGGAACCTGTCCTGTTAAACCGCTGTATGGTCTTGGCCACCGTGCTGCAGGTCAGTTTCAGGGTCTTGGCAATCTTCTTATAGCCCAGGCCATCTTTATGTAGAGCAACAATTCTTTTTTTCAATCCTCAGAGAGTTCTTTGCCATGAGGTTCAATGTTGACCTTCCAGTGACCAGTATGAGGGAGTGTGAGAGCGATGACACCAAATGTAACACACCTACTCCCCATTCACACCTGAGACCTTGTAACACTAACGAGTCACATGACACCGGGGAGGGAAAATGACTAATTTGGACATTTTCACTTAGGGGTGTACTCACTTTTGTTGCCAGCGGTTTAGACATTAATGGCTGTGTGTTGAGTTATTTTGAGGGGACAGCAAATGTACACTGTAATACAAGCTGTACACTCACTACTTTACATTGTAGCAAAGTGTCATTTCTTCAGAGATGTCACATGAAAATATATAGTCATATTTACAAAAATGTGAGGGGTGTACTCACTTGTGAGATACTAACTATATATATATATATATACATACATACATACATTTGGCCTGGCAAAGCGGTTTTATGCGCTGACAATTATCCGTTTTTTTACTCAGCTGGTCTCGGGAAGAAATTACAAGTCCTCACTGTTCGAGACCGAGTCAAGACAGAGTACAAATGTATCCGACACCGAGACGCTATGTGGTCTTGAGACCGGTCTCGAGTACTACAACACTGCTTTGTTCCCCTGTGGCTAAACCACAATTATAGCCCCTCATTTACACAACGGATTGTCCTTTTCTCTAATTCTCTTTGCCCGCCCTTACTTCTCCACCACAGAGCGCTTCTGGGACTTCCCCTGGTAGTTCAGAGCCATTTTGGTTTCCATGCCAGAGTACACTGCCACTCCTAGAAGAAGAAGGAGAGAGAGAGCGAGCGTTGGTCAGGATCACATACTGACACCAGCACTGGGGATCATTCAGACCCTCATTTGCATTAAACAATTGCATCACCATAAATCTTCTGAGTATTCTTCAAGGTAGCGCCTTTCAGGAGGAGATTCTCTGGACCCAAAGATCTGAGGAACACCACACAAAGATCAAATAAAGTCACAAACCTTCTCTAAAACACCAAGACAGTACCCCTTCCTTTTCTTATAGCGGACACTAGCACTTGCTCTTAACTGCCTAATACTATCAATGGATAACTGCAGTCTGAGTTAAAGTCTACTCTGCCCCAAATGTTCTTGTGAAGGACACAGAACGACATCTTTTATAAGACGATTACAAAGCGAGCCTGTGACAAATGCTTCAGAGAGCACTTTCGAAGCGCTGCCCTGAGTCTGTGCCAGGTCCAGCTTTACTTTAATGCTTGTTTGGAGTTATGGATCAATTAAATAATGTTTTGATGGTTGTACAAAGAAAAAGACATGAGTGCTTAAACGACTGTGGTTTTTTTTTTGGGGGGGGGGGGGGGGACTGAGGTACAGGAGGAGGGGTAACTAGGGCTGAGAGGAACTGATAGGGGACTGGCGAGCACGCTTACCTCACAGCAGGCTCCTGGTCATTCCTGTAGATGTGCATACGCCCCACAAACCTGTAGAAACACAAACCCTCATGAATGCACTACCCAATAGCAGTTTTTCTATTTGACCTCTCCTGATTCATCTCACGATGGACCTGAATTGAATCAATTGTGTAATGGGCAAGAAATGGTCAATCTGAATATTTTCTGATATTAGACAGAAACACACACTGATGACTAATACTATCTGCAGCACAGGAACTAGTCAGATGTAAAACTATCACAACGCCATATGCTGATCACCAGGACTTTGCATAGACTGCACCAATTAAGAGCGAGCTAATGACTGGTGGTTTGTCCGACAGCACGCTGGCACTACAACTCTGTTTTATTGATTGTGAAAAGGAGCAGCATCTGGATGTCTTCAGTTCCTTAGGCTGTCTGAAACATCACTCTGATGTATGGCGCCCAACTGTACTGTAATGGATGCTCCTTGGCCATAGGTGGCGCCAAACCACTAGGTCTCACGAGCCAAATTGAACTGAACTTTTCCCTTCAAATCCTTGCCAGTCTCTTCCACAAATCAGGTTTCCTAACAGTCCAACATCACTAATACGAACCTGTCAGAGAGCTAGAAAGCTTATAGCCTGCCAACACTCTACTTAATGACACTGTTGCTAATAAAATGTCATCAGGGCATTCCCGATTGACAGTTGATTAAAATGACAAAACCCTACACCTAACAAATCAGTGTGCACATGTTTTTACAGTCAAGGGACCGTATTCATAAAGCCTCTCGGAGTAGAAGTGCTGATCTATGATCAGTATTAGCTTTTAGATCATCATTGTATAGACTGGGGGAGACCTGATCCTAGATCATCACTGCTACTATCAGATCTCTGGGTGAGGAACATGTGAGGACAGAGCCTACTTGTAGAGGTCAGGCTGCGGCTGCTCGCACTCCATGGTGGCGCTGAGAGACTCCAGGTCCTGCTCTGTGGCTAGCACTGTGTAGTGGGTCTGAGAGAGAAAGCGAGAGAGAGAGAGGAGTGAGTGCTGACTATTGTGGTGGTCATTATGTGGTCCTCTGTAGCTCAGCTGGTTGAGCACGGCGCTTGTAACGCCAAGGTAGTGGGTTCGATCCCCGGGACCACCCATACACAAAAAAAAAAAATGTATGCACGCATGACTGTAAGTCGCTTTGGATAAAAGCGTCTGCTAAATGGCATATTATATTATATTATTATATTATATTATATTATATTATTATATTATATATATTATATTTCAGGTCATCGCCGCAACACATACACACACACACACACACACACACACACACACACACACACACACACATACACAGTTGAAGTCGGAAGTTTACATACACCTTAGCCAAATACATTTAAACTCAGTTTTTCACAATTCCTGACATTTAATCCTAGTAACAATTCCCTGTCTTAGGTCAGTTAGGATCACCACTTTATTTTAAGAATGTGAAATGTCAGAATAATAGTAGAGAGAATTATTTTATTTCAACTTTCTTTCTTTCATCACATTCCCAGTGGGTCAGAAGTTTACATATTAAAGTATTTGGTAGCAATGCCTTTAAATTGTTTCACTTGGGTCAAATGTTGTTTCGGGTAGCCTTCCACAAGCTTCCCACAATAAGTTGGGTGAATTTTGGCCCATTCCTCCTGACAGAGCTGGTGTAACTGAGTCAGGTTTGTAGGCCTCCTTGCTCGCACACGCTTTTTCAGTTCTGCCCACCAAATTTCTATAGGTTTGAGGTCAGGGCTTTGTGATGGCCACTCCAATTCCTTGACTTTGTTGTCCTTAAGCCATTTTGCTACAACTTTGGAAGTATGCTTGGTATCATTGTCCATTTGGAAGACCCATTTGCGACCAAGCTTTAACTTCCTGACTGATGTCTTGAGATGTTGCTTCAATATATCCACATAATTTTCCTTCTTCATGATGCCATCTATTTTGTGAATTGCACCAGACCCTCCTGCAGCAAAGCACCCCCACAGCATGATGCTTCCACCCCCGTGCTTCATGATTGGGATGGTGATCTTGGGCTTGCACGCGTCCCCCTTTTTCCTCCAAACATAACGATGGTCATTATGGCCAAACAGTTCTATTTTTGTTTCATCAGACCAGAGTACATTTCTCCAAAAAGTACGATCTTTGTCCCCATGTGCAGTTGCAAACCGTAGTCTGGCTTTTTTATGACGGTTTTGGAGCAGTGGCTTCTTCCTTGCTGAGCGGCCTTTCAGGTTATGTGGATATAGATACTTTTGCACCCGTTTCCTCCAGCATCTTCACAAGGTCCTTTGCTGTTGCTCTGGGATTGATTTGCACTTTTCACACCAAAGTACGTTCATCTCTAGGAGACCGATCGCGTCTCCTTCCTGAGAGGTATGACGGCTTCGTGGCCCCATGTCTATAATCTTTTTTACTCTGCATTGTTGGAAATGTACCCATAAGTAAGAATTTCACTGTTAGTCTACACCGGTTGTTTACAAAGCATGTGCCAAACTGATGGATTTAGAAGAGGAGAGGAAGGGAGTGATGGCAGATTGAAAGCGATGCCATACCCCCACAGACCACACGTCTGCCATGATGATACGTCTTAATGACACCATGAGCCACGTTACTGTAGCAGCACTCCACCTTGTGGTTGGACTCCCCGTCCAGACTGGCCGTGGTGACAAAGCAGGTCTCGTCCTCCCGGCTGGACTGCAGCAGGATGAGGTCACAGGGAAATGTCTCATCCTCCACCACCTCCACCACATCACCAACCTAGAGGAACAACATAGAATACGTCAGGAACATAGAAGAGAGGCCCATCCCAAATCCACCCAAAGTCCCTATGCACATGTGAATGTCTGAGAGGATTGGGTTGGTATAAGCAATGGTGAAACTTCCACGTCCTAGCCTATCAGAGGGAAAGGTGGAGCAGTTACCAAATTGCTTATACCTGTCAAATCCGCTCAGTTCTCCACAGTTGCAATGTGCATAGGGAGGTCTAGAGGTCAATTTGGGATTGGGCCATAAAAGCATTGTAACTCTATACATGACTGAAATAACATCAACTTCCTTAATTCCGCATTACCTACTTTGGATTACCATACGGTACAGTGCAGCAACACCATCAAAAACACTTGAACATGCCAAGATGCCAACTACCTCTCCGTCCCCAAGGGGATATTTATTTACGGGGAACTTGGCCGAGGCGCAGCTTGCTGAACGGTACCTTGATCTTCTCGCTCTCCTTGCGTGCGCTCCGGCCGTCCTCCAGCACCGTCACCAGGTACTTATTCACCTCATTGTCTGCCTTGTGCCGCAGCCAGTCCTCATAGCCCTGAGAGAGATGGAGGAGGGGAGGGAGAGAGAGAGACACACACACACACACGTGTCCTTTTAGTAAGGGACTGACTGCATGGCTGTGCTCACCTCGCCCAGTCTACAGAGAGCCACCCCTGTTGTCCCACTTCAAAGCCTGGATAAAGGCAGCAGCATCGCTAGCTGCTATCAATGTGTCCCATATATTTTTGGAAGGAAGTACACCCTCCATTGTGCATTTCAAAAAGCCCTAGCAGCAGGCCACCAGAAAAGCCAATCCCTAAAACAATACATCTAAAAGCTTGGACACAGCTGCAGCAGAAAAAGAGACAATATACCAGAGACTATCACACCATTCGGTCATGTTCTCCAGACAACCATTTTTTTCGGCATTGACCCGCACAGCCAGCGTTACTTTGGCTGTGACAAAAAAATTATAAAGCATTTTAAATGATTCAATATTTCACCCCCCAAAATATACACTTTTAAAGGAAAGGTAGTTAATTAAAAACGTGGAAGAAGAGAGGTGGTGGAGAGATGCATAGAGAGGCTTTGAGGGGACCATAGAAATAGAATTTGTAGAATGTGAAAAGCCCCTTTAGAATGGGTATGTCCATTCTAGTAATCATTATATTTATATCATTATATTATACACCCAGGTTTCAAGACTGGTCATTCAACTGAGACTGCGCTTCTCTGTGTCATGGAGGCTCTCCGCACTGCTAAAGCTAACTCGCTCTCCTCTGCTCTCGTCCTTCTAGACCTATCTGCTGCCTTTGATACTGTGAACCATCAGATCCTCCTCTCCACCCTCTCCAAGTAGGGCATCTCCGGCGCGGCTCACTCTTGGATTGCGTCCTACCTGACAGGTCGCTCCTACCAGGTGTCGTGGCGAGAATCTGTCTCCGCACCACGTGCTCTCACCACTGGTGTCCCCCAGGGCTCAGTTCTAGGCCCTCTCCTATTCTCGCTATACACCAAGTCACTTGGCTCGGTCATATCCTCACATGGCCTCTCCTATCATTGCTACGCAGACGACACACAATTAATATTCTCCTTTCCCCCTTCTGATAACCAGGTGGCGAATCGCATCTCTGCATGTCTGGCAGACATATCAGTGTGGATGACGGATCACCACCTCAAGCTGAACCTCGGCAAGACGGACCTGCTCTTCCTCCCGTTCCATGATCTCGCCATCACGGTTGACAACTCCGTTGTGTCCTCTTCCCAGAGTGCGAAGAACCTTGGCGTGACCCTGGACAACACCCTGTCGTTCTCCGCTAACATCAAGGCGGTGAACCGATCCTGTAGGTTCATGCTCTACAACATTCGCAGAGTACGACCCTGCCTTACACAGGAAGCGTCACAGGTCCTAATCCAGGCACTTGTCATCTCCCGTCTGCATTACTGCAACTCGCTGTTGGCTGGGCTCCCTGCCTGTGCCATTAAACCCCTACAACTCATCCAGAACGCCGCAGCCCGTCTGGTGTTCAACCTTCCCAAGTTCTCTCACGTCACCCCGCTCACTCCACTGGCTTCCAGTTGAAGCTCGCATCTGCTACAAGACCATGGTGCTTGCCTACGGAGCTGTGAGGGGAACAGCACCTCCGTACCTTCAGGCTCTGATCAGTCCCTACACCCAAACGAGGGCATTGCGTTCATCCACCTCTGGCCTGCTGGCCCCCCTACCTCTGCGGAAGCACAGTTCCCGCTCAGCCCAGACAGAACTGTTCGCTGCTCTGGCACCCCAATGGTGGAACAATCTACCTCATGAAGCCAGGACAGCAGAGTCACTGACCACCTTCCGGAGACACTTGAAACCCCACCTCTTTAAGGAATACCTAGAATAGGATAAAGTAATCCTTCTACCCCCCCTTACCCCACCCCAAAGAGAAAAAAATGAAATAAAACATATTGTAAAGTGGTTGTCCCACTGGCTATCATAAGGTGAATGCACCAATTTGTAAGTCGCTCTGGATAAGAGCGTCTGCTAAATGACGAAAATGTAAATGTAATGTATATTTCTATGGGGGGGGACAGTGAATTCAAAATGGAGACAGTATCATGTCTTACCTGTTTGATGGCTGTGACTGTGATGACGAAGAACAATGGCAGGCCACTAGTGACTGGGCTGGTGGGGGTGTCTACTATCACCTGTAGGAGAGAACACTAGACACTTTATGGACTATATGCTTTGTTGTTTAACAAAAAACAACAACTAAATGCAAAACATACAATAATCACATCCCCACCCTCCCCTCTGATTGGAGGACCTCAAACATGTATACTGTGCATGTGTGTTTTCCAACCTTCAGACAGCCACAGATCAACCCATCTTTCCCAGTAAATCATCATCATTCTACCATTTCCTCCACTAATAACTCATATTGACTAATTGCAATAGTAGCCTATCTACTCATATTATTAATGATTATCTAATGGACTACCATTCCAAGATGGCGTAGCAGTGCAGTCGTGTATTCTGTAGTGTCCTTGTGTAAATAGCCTGTTTTTTATTTGTTTTATTGTCTTTTTCGTATATATTTCTCAATCTCACTTTCCATCCTTTAACTAAATATACTTTCCTGCAACCCGCCTCACCCAATGCGGAACGGATTCTATTATTTCTTTATACCTTTTTATCTAGAACCTCCGGCTGAAACTAGCCAGCTAACTAGCTACTTGCTATTAGCCACCGTTAGCGGTCTTCACTGTTGTCCGTGGCCTGCACTACCTACCAGCCAGCTCTAGCCTGGACAATTATCGGCCAGTCTGCACAGCGCACTATCGACCCAGAGCATATTGGATTTTCTGCCGGGATCACTGAATCACTGGACCTTAACACTGGATCATCGCAACTAGCTAGCTGCAACCAAATAGCTGTTGTTGTTGTTGTTGGGTAATCACCACTGTCCCGAAGCAAGCACCAGTTAGCCTTGAGCTAGCCTCGAGCCAGGCCCATCTCCCAGCTATCCACCTCTCTGTCAACCGGACGAGACCTCCTAGTGTTGACACGGAGCCCCGCCATCCGTCACGACTGGTCTGCCGACGTAATCGTCTGATGTGGTTTCAACGTGCTTCCCGTTGCGACGACCGCGAGGATCCATCTGCTAGCTCCGGGCCGCTTGCACACGCAATCAACAGCCGTGCCTCCTGCTTGCCTGTGCCGTAGCAGCCACCGAACTGTTCCCGGACTCACCTATTGCTGTTCCCTGGACCTGATCACTCAGCTACACAGCTGATGCCTGCTGGACTGTTCCTTTATACGGTACCCCATCCTGTTTATCTGTTTAGCCTCAGCCCAAACTTTTGTCGCCATTACCAGCTGTTGTCTTAGCTCTCTCGAATAACACCTGTGATTGCTTTATGCCTCTCTCCCATGTCAATATGCCTTGCCTATTGCTGTTTCGGTTAGTTCTTATTGTACTATTTCACTGTAGAGCCCCCAGTCCTGCTCAACCTGCCTCAGATAGCTCCTTTGTCCCAGCCCCCATACACGCGGAGACCGGCTCAATTCGTGCCTCCAGTGATGCTATCTCATTCATCGTTACCCAACGCTTAGGTTTACCTCCACTGTACTCATATCCTTCCATATCCTTGTCTGTCCATAATGCCCTGAATCTATTCTACAACGGCCAGACATCTGCCCCTTTTATTCTCTGTAACCAACGCACTAGAAGACCAGTTCTTAAAGCCTTTAGCCGTATCCTTATTCTATTCCTCCTCTGTTCCTCTGGTGATGTAGAGGTTAACCCAGGCCCTGTAGCCCCCAGTATCACTCCTACTCCCCAGGCGCTATCATTTGTTGACTTCTGTAACCATAAAAGCCTTGGTTTCTTGCACATAAATATCAGAAGTCTACTTCCTAAGTTTGAGTTATTCACTGCGTTAGCACACTCCGCCAACCCTGATGTTCTAGCAGTGTCTGAATCCTGGCTTAGGAAGGCCAACAAAAATTCAGACATTTCCATCCCCAACTACAACATTTTCAGTCTAGATAGAACTGCCAAAGGGGGCGGAGTTGCAATCTACTGTAGAGATAGCCTGCAGAGCTCTATCATACTATCCAGGTCTGTGCCCAAACAGTTTGAGCTTCTACTTCTAAAAATCCACCTTTCCAGAAATAAGTCTCTCACTGTTGCCGCTTGCTACAGACCCCCCTCAGCCCCCAGCTGTGACCTGGACACCAAATGTGAATTGATTGCACCCCATCGATCCTCAGAGTTCGTACTGCTTGGTGACCTAAACTGGGATATGCTTAACACACCGGCCGTCCTACAATCTAAACTAGATGCCCTCAATCTCACACAAATTATCAAGGAACCTACCAGGTACAACCCTAAATCCATAGATATCATCCTAACTAATTTACACTCTAAATACACCTCCGCTGTCTTCAACCAGTATCTCAGCAATCACTGCCTCATTGCCTGCGTCCGTAATGGGCCCGCGGTCAAACAACCACCCCTCATCACTGTCTAACGCTCCCTAAAACACTTCAGCGAGCAGGCCTTTCTAATTGACCTGGCCCGGGTATCCTGTATGGATATTGACCTCATTCCGTCAGTAGAGGATGCCTGGATGTTCTTTAAAAGTGCTTTCCTCTCCATCTTAAATTTGCATTCCCCATTCAAAAAATTCAGAACTAAGAACAGATATAGTTTGGTTCACCCCAGACTTGACTGCCCTTGACCAGCACAAAAACATACTGGCGTACTGCATTAGCATCGAACAGCCCCCGCGATATGCAACTATTCAGGGAAGTCAGGAACCAATATACACAATCAGTTAGGAAAGCAAAGGCTAGCTTTTTCAAACAGAAATTTGCATCCTGTAGCACTAACTCCAAAAGGTTTTGGGACACTAAAGTCCATGGAGAATAAGAGCACCTCCTCCCAGCTGCCCACTGCACTGAGGCTAGGAAACACTATCACCACCGATAAATCCACGATAATCGAGAATTTCAATAAGCATTTTGCTACGGCTGGCCATGCTTTCCACCTGGCTACCCCTACCCCGGCCACCAGCTCTGCACCCTCCGCTGCAACTTGCCCATGCCCCCCCCACTTTTCCTTCACCCAAATTCAGATAGCTGATGTTCAGAAAGAGCTGCAAAATCTGGAACCATACAAATCAGCTGGGTTAGACAATCTGGACCCTTTCTTTCTAAAATTAGCTGCCGAAATTGTTGTAACCCCTATTACTAGCCTGTTCAACCTCAATTTCGTATCGTCTGAGATCCCCAGAGATTGGAAAGCTGCCATGGTCATCCCCCTCTTCAAAGGGGGTGACACTCTAGATCCAAACTGTTACAGACCTATATCCATCCTGCACTGCCTTCCGAAAGTATTTGAAAGCCAAGTTCACAAACAGATCACCGACCATTTCGAATCCCACCGTACCTTCTCCTCTATGCAATCTGGTTTCCGAGCTGGTCATGGGTACCCCTCAAGGTCCTAAACAATATTATAACCGCAATCGATAAAAAGACAGTACTGTGCAGCAGTCTTCATCGACCTGGCCAAGGCTTTCGACTCTGTCAATCACCACATTCTTATTGGCAGACTAAATAGCCTTTCTCAAATGACTGCCTCGTCTGGTTCACCAACTACTTCTCAGATAGAGTTCAATGTGTCAAATCGGAGGGCCGGTTGTCTGGACCTCTGGCAGTCTATGGGGGTGCCCCAGAGTTCAATTCTCTGGCTGACTCTATTCTCTGTGTATATCAATGATGTCGCTCTCGCTGCTGGTGACTCTCAGATCCACCTCTACGCAGACGACACCATTTTGTATACATCTGGCCCTTCATTGGACACTGTTAACAAACCTCCAAAACGAGCTTCAATGCCATACAACTCCTTCCGTAGCCTCCAATTGCTCTTAAAGCTAGTAAAACTAAATGCATGCTCTTCAATCGAACGCTGCTTGCACCAGCCCGCCCGACTAGAATCACTACTCTCGGGCGGGTCTGACTTAGAATATGTGGACAACTACAAATACCTAGGTGTCTGGTTACACCATAAACTCTCCTTCCAGAGTCACATTAAGCATCTCCAATCCAAAGTTAAATCTAGAATCGGCTTCTTATTATGCAACAAAGCCTCCTTCACTCATGCTGCCAAACATGCCCTCGTAAAACTGACTATCCTACCGATCCTTGACTTCGGCGATGTCATTTACAAAATAGCCTCCAACACTCTACTCAGCAAATTGGATGTAGTCTATCACAGTGCCATCCGTTTTGTCACCAAAGCCCCACATACTACCCACCATTGTGACTTGTACACTCTCGTTGGCTGGCACTCACTACATATTCGTTGCCAAACTCACTGGCTCCAGGTCATCTATAAATCACTGCTCGGCAAATCCCCGCCTTATCTTAGCTCATTGGTCACCATAGCAACACCCATCCGTAGTATGCGCTCCAGCAGGTATATCTCACTGGTCATCCCCAAAGCCAACACCTCCCTTGGCCGCCATTCCTTCCAGTTCTCTGCTGCCAATGACTGGAACGAACTGCAAAAATCTCTGAAGCTGGAGACTCTTATCTCCCTCACTAACTTTAAGCATCAGTTGTCAGAGCACCTTACCGATCACTGCACAAGTACACAGCCCATCTGTAATTAGCCCACCCAACTACCTCATCCACATATTATTTATTTTGCTAATTTGCACCCCAGTATCTCTATTTGCACATCATCTATCACTCCAGTGTTAATACTAAATTGTAATTATTTTGCACTATGGCCTATTTATTGCCTTACCTCCATAACTTACTACATTTGCACACTGTATATAGATTTTCTATTTTTCTATTGTGTTATTGACTGTACGTTTTTGTTTATCCCATATGTAACTCTGTGTTGTTGTTTTTAATCGCACTGCTTTGCTTTATCTTTATCTAGGTCGCAGTTGTAAATGAGAACTTGTCCTCAACTGGCCTACCTGGTTAAATAATGTATTTATTTTTTAAATCCTGCCTACAACGTAGTTAGTGCAGACTGTCTCAGGAGTGGTGCAGTGAAAGAGTCATTTCCAAGGCCATTTCTTAGACGAGAATTCATTGTATGGAAAAAGAATAACATTGGACAGGTTACAACAGATTCTTCGAGCACATGATGTGGTAGAAGATCAGCGGGCGGGGCACTCCCACATAAATACAGGTTGTAGTGTGTGTCTGCCTGAGTGTACGCATGCGTGTGTGTGTGTGGCAGTCCCGGCTCCAAAGCGCCTAATCTCTCTCCTCTCTCCGTCCAACAGAGAGACATGAGACATTTTGTACCGAGACAGAGTAGGAGGAGAATCCAAGGATCTTGGACCTGCAGGACACCTAATTAAGTGGGCCAGGGCCACAGTGGTATTTAATCTGAACCCACACAGGGTGGTTCCTGCTGCCTGCCTAGTGTTGATGCCAACAGACAACTGAGCAGGCCCTCCTCTCCTGCTGGGAGCCGTGCTGGACCGCAGGCCAGGGGCAGTCTTGTGTGTGGTGTGTGTGTGCGCGCACAGGAATCTGGACCACTAACGAGCCTAGAGAGACAGATTTCCTGCACAGGGCCAGTCAGGTAATCCCAAACAACCAGTGGCTCCGGAGCACAGAGACAAAAGCTTGACCTGCAAAAACAGCCCCCAACAACACGCAGCCATTGTGTAATTGTGCGTGTACCCTCTTAATGCGGTCACGAGGCGGATTTAACCCCGCTCCCCTGATCCTGCAGCACGCCAGAGGCTTTCAGCACACGCCAGAGGCTCCCACTGAGAAAGTGGCGCTTGTTACGGAACACACACACAGAGTTGTGCACCCACACGCGTAGAGTGGCTCTTATTTGGCATTCAGAGCATGAGCTGTACAAGCTGTCAGATTGGCATCAGCTGAGGCAGGAGATTTGTTGTGAGCCCTCTCTCTGGTGTTTCCCTGCTCACCTGTGAGAGGACTGACAATGAGGAAGTGAAAGAGGAACTTGCTGCTCCCTTAGCAACACATACATACATACATACATACATACATACATACATACATACATACATACATACATACATACAGTGAGGGGAAAAAAGTATTTGATCCCCTGCTGATTTTGTACGTTTGCCCACTGACAAAGAAATGATCAGTCTATAATTTTAATGGTAGGTTTATTTGAACAGTGAGAGACAGAATAACAACAAAAAAATCCAGAAAAACGTATGTCAAAAATGTTATTAATTGATTTGCATTTTAATGAGGGAAATAAGTATTTGACCTCTCTGCAAAACATGACTTAGTACTTGGTGGCAAAACCCTTGTTGGCAATCACAGAGGTCAGGCGTTTCTTGTAGTTGGCCACCAGGTTTGCAAACATCTCAGGAGGGATATTGTTCCACTCCTCTTTGCAGATCTTCTCCAAGTCATTAAGGTTTCGAGCCTGACGTTTGGCAACTCGAACCTTCAGCTCCCTCCACAGATTTTCTATGGGATTAAGGTCTGGAGACTGGCTAGGCCACTCCAGGACCTTAATGTGCTTCTTCTTGAGCCACTCCTTTGTTGCCTTGGCCATGTGTTTTGGGTCATTGTCATGCTGGAATACCCATCCACAACCCATTTTCAATGCCCTGGCTGAGGGAAGGAGGTTCTCACCCAAGATTTGACGGTACATGGCCCCGTCCATCGTCCCTTTGATGCGGTGAAGTTGTCCTGTCCCCTTAAAAGAAAAACACCCCCAAAGCATAATGTTTCCACCTCCATGTTTGACGGTGGGGTTGGTGTTCTTGGCGTCATAGGCAGCATTCCTCCTCCTCCAAACACGGCGGGTTGAGTTGATGCCAAAGAGCTCGATTTTGGTCTCATCTGACCACAACACTTTCACCCAGTTCTCCTCTGAATCATTCAGATGTTCATTGGCAAACTTCAGACAGCCCTGTATATGTGCTTTCTTGAGCAGGGGGACCTTGCGGGCGCTGCAGGATTTCAGTCCTTCACGGCGTAGTGTGTTACCAATTGTTTTCTTGGTGACTATGGTCCCAGCTGCCTTGAGATCATTGACAAGATCCTCCCGTGTAGTTCTGGGCTGATTCCTCACCGTTCTCATGATCATTGCAACTCCACGAGGTGAGATCTTGCATGGAGCCCCAGGCCGAGGGAGATTGACAGTTATTTTGTGTTTCTTCCATTTGCGAATAATCGCACCAACTGTTGTCACCTTCTCACCAAGCTGCTTGGCGATGGTCTTGTAGCCATTCCAGCCTTGTGTAGGTCTACAATCTTGTCCCTGACATCCTTGGAGAGCTCTTTGGTCTTGGCCATGGTGGAGAGTTTGGAATCTGATTGATTGATTGCTTCTGTGGACAAGTGTCTTTTATACTTGTAACAAGCTGAGATTAGGAGCACTCCCTTTAAGAGTGTGCTCCTAATCTCAGCTCGTTACCTGTATAAAAGACACCTGGGAGCCAGAAATCTTTCTGATTGAGAGGGGGTCAAATACTTATTTCCCTCATTTAAAATGCAAATCAATTTATAACATTTTTGACATGCGTTTTTCTGGATTTTTTTGTTGTTATTCTGTCTCTCACTGTTCAAATAAACCTACCATAAAAATTATAGACTGATAATTTCTTTGTCAGTGGGCAAACGTACAAAATCAGCAGGGGATCAAATACTTTTTTCCCTCACTGTACATGCATCACCTACACACACCAGCAGGCAGTGTGCTGAGCACTAAAGCTTTGACTGGGACTCAGTCAAAGAGAGGGAGAATGTGAGAGTGAAACTGTCCTCTCCTCCTCTTCTTCTGTAGCTCCAGGTGTTCCCAGCCAGAAATAGAGGCTGTGAGAAGACTTTAATAGAATTTGTGGAGCTGGGTCCACCCAGGTGGCAGGTCTCAATGTTAAAGACTCCTCAGTGGACCCTCGGGTGATTCCGGAGCAGGAGTTTTATTGAATACATCTCCCCTCTCCTGGCCCAGCCCGGACCCTCTTCACATTCAGTAAGTCTATTCAGCAGAAAGAGCTGTAACTAATGCTGCCCCTCGGCCCCATAGGTGATAGATGTTGGTGGGAGCGGGCGAAGGCACATATCGTTTTTCGATCTTATAAATTGATAAAAGCCCTTCTGGAGGTAGGGAGTGGGGCTAGATGTGGCCAGTCCAGGCCGATTAAAGATATTAAAAAAGAGTGACTGGCTGTATTGCGGCTGAAAGTGCTGAGGACAGTATGTCCCCGACACGGTCAGTCCCACCCGACTACAAGGCATGATTTAGTTCACATCACACTACTGCAGAGAGTGGCCATTACAGAGTGCACTATAATCACACAAACACTCCACACCCATTGGCCACGCCCACTACCCCCCCACTCCCCACCAGCTAATCTTGCCACCGCTGCTGGAGAAAAAAAAACACTGGACACCCCAATGTTCCCATAGCGTTACCTAGGGGGGCAGGCTATTTCTCCTGAGTGTTGTTCCATCTCCTTCCCTCGTACATTTTATACATTCCACCAATCTGTAATCTCACACAGTAATCACACAACTACAGACCATACCCCCGCAAATAACAGGCCCATTCCTCAAACTTTGATACACCCTTGTCTCCTTCTGAACAGGGAGGAAGTGTGTCAGAGTGAGCGACAGACTGCCTGTCCCTCAGGTCCCAGGGCAGGGGAGGCATGGGCCCTCATCTTCCCTCCCTCCATCTCTCCAACCCCGCTCCCATTCGATCAGGAGGCAGGCAGCAAAGGCATACAGAGCTATTTATAGGAGAGTGGTGCTTTTTTATCAGGCAGCCAGAGTCTATTTGAGGCTCTCATAAGTACAGAGGGCTTCCTGGCTGCTGACGTCAGCAGCGCAGAGAGAGATAGTGATTGTCTAACAGAGAGAGACTAACTAACAGAGCAAGATAGACAATCACTAATGGAGAAACATGGTATAAAGGAGAGGGACCCATTGGTTGCCCTCTAGGTTACAGAGAGCTGATAGTCCCATCCACCAAACTACCAGGTCTGAAACAGGGAAGAGACTCAGAGGGTATGCTAATTTGGTATAGAGCAGACCTAACCCTCTCTATTAAATTAGTCAAAACAGGACCATTTTACATCTGGCTAGAAATTAATAAAGAAATTATCTCAACAGAGAAAAATGTCCTCATGTGTGCTACCTATATCCCCCCAATAGTATCCCCATACTTTAACGATGACAGCTTCTCCATCCTAGAGGGGGAGATCAACAATTTCCAGGCCCAGGACATGTACTAGTCTGTGGCGACCTAAATGCCAGAACTTGACAAGAACCTGACACCCTCAGCACACAAGGGGACAAACACCTAGCTGGAGGTGACACAAATTCCAATTGGCTAAAACTTAAACTTCATCCTCAGCTCTGGCATATTCTCCAATATTTGGAACCAAGGACTGATCACCCCAATCCACAAAAGTGGAGACAAATTTGACCCCAATAACTACCGTGGGATATGCATCAACAGCAATCTTGGGAAAATCCTCTGCATTATCATTAACAGCAGACTCGTACAATGTACTGAGCAAATGTCAAATTGGCTTTTTACTAAATTACCGTACGACAGACCATGTATTCACCATGCACACCCTAATTGACAAACAAACAAAGGCAAAGTCTTCTCATGATTTGTTAATTTCAAAAAAGCTTGACTCAATTTGGCATGAGGGCCTGCTATACAAATTGATGGAAAGTGGTGTTGGAAGAAAAACATACATTATAAAATCCATGTACACAAACAACAAGTGTGCGGTTAAAATTGGCAAAAAACACACATTTCTTTCCAAAGGGCCGGGGGGTGAGACAGGGATGCAGCTTAAGCCCCACCCTCTTTAACATATATATCAACGAATTGGCGAGGGCACCAGAACAGTCTGCAGCACCCGGCCTCACCCTACTAGAATCTGAAGTCAAATGTCTACTGTTTGCTGATGATCTGGTGCTTCTGCCCCAACCAAGGAGGGCCTACAGCAGCACCTAGATCTTCTGCACAGATTCTGTCATACCTGGGCCCTGACAGTAAATCTCAGTAAGACAAAAATAATGGTGTTCCAAAAAAGGTCCAGTTGCCAGGACCACGAATACAAATTCCATCTAGACACTGTTGCCCTAGAGCACACAAAAAATTATTCATACCTCGGCCTAAACATCAGTGCCACAGGTAACTTCCACAAAGCTGTGAACTATCTGAGAGACGAGGCAAGAAGGGCCTTCTATGCCATCAAAAGGAACATAAAATTCGACATACCAATTAGAATCTGGCTACAAATACTTGAATCAATTATAGAACCCATTGCCCTTTATGGTTGTGAGGTCTGGGGTCCACTCACCAACCAAGAATTCACAAAATGGGACAAAGACCAAATTGAGACTGCATGCATAATTCTGCAAAAATATCCTCTGTGTACAATGTAGAACACCAAATAATGCATGCAGAGCAGAATTAGGCCGACACCCGCTAATTATCAAAATCCAGAAAAGAGCCGTTCAATTCTACAACCACCTAAAAGGAGGCGATTACCAAACCTACCATAACAAAGCCATCACCTACAGAGAGATTAACCTGGAGAAGAGCCCCCCTAAGCAAGCTGGTCCTGGGGCTCTGTTCACAAACAGACCCCACAGAGCCCCAGAACAGCAACAAATTAGACCCAACCAAATCATGAGAAAACAAAAAGATCATTAGCGGACACATTGTATTTTGTATTTTTATTTTTTTAAACAGAGCAAACTAGAATGCTATTTGGCCCTAAACAGAGAGTACACAGTGGCAGAATACCTGACCACTGTGACTGACACAAAATTAAGGATATCTTTGACTATGTACAGCCTCAGTGAGCATAGCCTTGCTATTGAGAAAGGCCGCCAAAGGCAGACCTGGCTCTCAAGAGAAGACATGCTTAGTGCACACTGCCCACAAAATGAGGTGGAAACTGAGCTGCACTTCCTAACCTCCTGCCAAATGTATGACCATATTAGAGACACACATACTTCCCTCAGATTACACAGACCCACAAAGAATTCAAAAACAAATCCAATTTTGATAAACCTCTATTGGGTGAAACGCCAAAGTGTGCAATCACAGCAGCAAGATTGTGCTTTGAAAGCCATGAAGTGCTTTGAAAGGCTGGTCATGGCTCACATCAACACCAACATGCCGGAAACCCTAGACCCACTCCAATTCGCTTACCGCCCCAACAAATCCACAGATGACGCAATCTCAATCGCACTCCACACTGCCCTCTCCCACCTGGACAAAAGGAACACCTATGTGAGAATGCTGTTCATTGACTACAGCTCAGCGTTCAACACCATAGTACCCACAAAGCTCATCACTAAGCTAAGGACCCTGGGACTAAACACCTCCCTCTGCAAATGGATCCTGGACTTCCTGACGGGCCGCCCCCAGGTGGTAAGGGTAGGCAACAACACATCTGCCACGCTGATCCTCAACATTGGGGCCCCTCAGGGGTGCGTGCTTAATCCCCTCCTGTACTCCCTGTTCACCCACGACAGCATGGCCAAGCACGACTCCAACACCATCATCAAGTTTGCTGACGACACAACAGTGGTAAGCCTGATCACCGACACGACAGCCTATAGGGAGGAGGTCAGAGACCTTACAGTGTGGTGCCAGGACAACAACCTCTCCCTCAATGTGAGCAAGACAAAAGGAGTTGATCGTGGACTACAGGAAAAAGAGGGCCGAACAGGCCCCCATTAACATTGACGGGGCTGAAGTGGAGCGGGTCAAGAGTTTCAAGCTCTTTGGTGCCCACATCAAACAAACTATCATGGTCCAAACACACCAAGACAGTTGTGAAGAGGGCACGACAACACCTTTTCCCCCTCAGGAGACTGAGAAGATTTGGCATGGATCCCCAGATCCTCAAAAGGTTCTACAGCTGCACCATCGAGAGCATCCTGACCGGTTGAATCACCGCCTGGTATGGCAACTACTTGGCATTTGACCGTAAGGCGCTACAGAGGGTAGTATGTACGGCCCAGTACATCCAGAGAGACTTGCCGAGGGTGAGGGAGAGAGAGACTTGCCAATGGGGAGAGAGGGGGAGAGACTTGCCAATGGGGAGAGAGGGGGAGAGTCTTGCCAACGGGGAGAGACTTGCCAACGGAGAGGGGGAGAGAGCGAAAGAGACTTGCTAACAGAGGGAGACTCGCTAACACACACAGAGAGAGGAGCGACTCACTAAGAGACAGAGAGAGGTAAAAGGAGAAAGGGGGTTGTGTGTTTGGATTCTGTTGGTCCATTTGCATGAAGCCACTGGGGAATTGAAAGGTGCAGGTGTGCAAGGGTGTGTGTGTGTGTGCTTGCGTGCATGTATCGTATGTGTGCGTCTCCCTTTTTCCCCAAGCGACAATGGTAGGCTGTGTGGGGGGAACTGGACGGTAAGGATAAGGCTGGATTAGTGGAGGACAGCCACATATCAGTCTGGGTGCGCGCACACACACACACACACGCAGACGCCCACTTACACACGCAAACAACTTCTTACAAAATCATGACTCACACGTTTGCACATTTACGCTGCAAATGTTCCTTCAATCTAACTCATACACACTATGCTGATTTACCACGCACTCCAGCACATCTACTGTACACACACACACACAGTACACAGAGATGAACCCACTGATACAGTACTCAAACAGGTAAAGGTCACAGTGAATAAAAGAACAGAAGGCGGCTGATTGTGCCGCTAAATACAGCAAAGAGGCGATGAACTGTTGTCAATTTACTAACAAGCTCAGAGTTCAGGACTACAGCATCTCTCTCCAACCCTGTGACTGCTTCTCCTTAGCTCTCATTAGTCCTAGTTCCTTCCAGTGGAATTGAGCCGTAACAGTCCCCGTGGAATTGTCATACCAATTGTCTGACAGGAGCATCAGTGACTACTGGTAGGCTACTGTATTTATGCCAGCCAGCCCTCCGTATGCTGAGCCTGTTTACACTGGGGATGGGCTGTTTAGACCTTTAGTTTATGGTTGCTAGAGAGAGAGGTGGTTAGTTTCCTCCTCGGGTGGGGGGGGGGGGGGGAGAGAGAGCGAGAGCGAGCGAGAGAGAAACATCGCTGGGCAGATCTATGGACCTGATAGAGGAGAGGAGAGGTAGAGGAACAGAGCGGTACTGCTGTGAGCACAGAGCTGAGGGATAAACATGTCACCCAGTGCTTTGGCTCTGGCTTAGCCCTCACCCCCTCACACTTTCCACTCAGCAGTTGAGCAGAGGAGCGCTAGCCACACAAAACCATGTACAGCTCTGGCCACAGACACACGCAGTCCCCGTTCACAACTCCCCAAATAGGTTACACTCGCAAACACATACAGAGGCTCACACTCAAACACATCCAGTCATACACACAGGCCTGACCACAGGGATTCACACACCAACTGTTTCCCACGTGCCATAATAGTCAGTTACACCCAGCCCTGATAACAGGCACACATTGTCACCATTTCACACACAGAGACCCTCACAGTCAATTCACACTAACACATACTCACATGTCCCAAGCATACAACTCACCTGCACCAAAAAGATGATTAGGAAGTAGAAATTGGCGATTCTTCTGAACTGTTCAAACAGATTCTTTGGCAGAAAGTTCCACACCGTGTACTGGAAAGACAAAATGGGAGCAAGAGAGGGCACCAATGAAATTAAATGAGAATTAAAAGCACAATTCTAAAACACAATAGGCCTACCCAGTGAATCCTTGGTCTCTGCAAACCACTATTTTTCTGTTCTTTGACATCAACCTCTTTTCAGGGTAGAGGACTAGTAGGATATAGGAAGAAAGGCTAAGCTAGGAAAAGGATTAGTGGCATTCAATATTCATCAGTTCCTTCCTTCCCTCCTTTCTCTCTCTCTGTGTGTGTGTGTGTGTGTGTGTGTGTGTGTGTGTGTGTGTGTGTTCGCTCAGTGAGACGGCGCTGGTGCTGCCTTTCTAAACTGCCTGTGACCCAGGGAGCCAGTCCTCCTCTCAGCCCTCGGGGGCCTGCAGGTATTCCATTGATTCGGATTACAGACTTATCTCCTAATTCGCCCAGCCATGAATGGAGAGCAGATTACTTTATCAAGTTGGCTGCAGATTTTTTGGCGGCATATTTTTTTAAAATAAGCGGGCATAACTGTTGATACTCAACACAGAAGCTGACGTGACACTCATCTTGCCAAATCCCTGTGAGACGGCATAACAATGCCCCGGTGGTAACTTACACCACTCAACAACACGCCGGACTAAAGCGTATGGACACGGACACACACCCACACACTCCACTGTTGAGAGGGGAGGGTAGAGGAATGTCTTTGAGTGGAGGCAGAATGCTGAAATGCAGCGGTAGCAGAAAGGGACCATCTCATTTTGCCAGAGAGAAAAGAGTGTGAGGGAAAGTAATAAGAGGGGGAGCGTGAGGGAGGAGGGAGAGAGATGGTGCAGAGTGAGTAGAGGAGGGGAAGGAGAAAGAGAAGGAACAGGGTGATGGAAGGCAGGCGCATGGTAGAAGTGTAAACACTACAGCCAGGGTAACACTGGAGGACGAGAGACATTGATTGGCCCATTCCCAGTGGGACCCTCTGCACTACTATAAATCCCCACTCTCTCTCTCTCTCCCCCATCCTTCCTCCCCCTCTCTCTCTTCCATCCTCACCACTCACATACATACATACATATACATACATATACATATATATATACACATACATATACATATATATATACATACATATACATATATATATACATACATATACATATATATATACATACATATACACATATATACATACATATACACATATATACATACATATACACATATATACATACATATACACATATATATATATATATATATATATATATATATATATATATATATATATGATTCTAAACCCCCAGCCAGCCCTCCTCCTCAGACCCACACCCCTAGCCCTGAAGGGGGTGATATAGGGGGGCTCATCAGAGAGCCAGAGGGGGGCAGATTGAATCGCCCACCATGCCTGCTGGTACATTAAATAGTAGCAGTGTATTTCAGTGCCACAGACAGAGCTCTCCTGACAGACAAATAATGGCCTTCCATTTGGGGAGGAAGATGAGCACGTGGACAGGCAGTGGGAGGAGAGGGGGAAAGAGAAAGAGCTAGAGAAGACTGCCAGTGGACTCCATGAAGTGGAGGGAGAGTCAGTGGTGTTTAGGTGAGAGTGGGACAGGTGAAACTATTCAAGCATGTGCCGAAACGGAAAAACATGTCCACTTGCCTGTTTTACGGTGTTGTGCAGACCCCAGGTCGATTGGTGTAAAAACATGGCAGTATATATATCTTACCTTGGAAGAGACAATCCTGTTGTCACAGAATTTGGGGGGGATGAAAGCGTCGGTGGCAGGACAGGGCCGGTGGCCTACGTAGATGGTCCTGCTGTCCACCCTCCTCTCGTCCCTACCAAACTGTACAGAGAGATGGAGATACAGCATTAGAATACAAATTCAGAGCCATTTACATGTATACAATATGTAAATATATTGCTTTAGCAGACATTTAGGTTCAACACTGGAACACAGAGGCTAGAAATGTATATTGTATATAGTCTCCTAATACAATGAACCAGCAGACTAAACACTTGGGGAAATGTACATCAAGTTCACTGCAAAGATGTCTTGTGCATAACTTCCAAGGTTAGTAAATGAAGATGTAGTCCACATCTAACGCATGGGGAGTAAAACAAATCAATGAAAACAGTGATACTGCTCTCACCTCCACGATACAACAAAATCAGGAATAATTTTTATTCTAGGTTGTCGAAAACCATTTTCCTTTCCTTAACTTTCAAGTCTTGGTAATAAGTCTTTAATATAAATTCAAATCAAGGCCATGAACCAAAATATAATGTCATCCAGACGGAGGTACAGAAATAATTAAAGGCTTTTTCCAAACTTCAAAACCAGCGGAACACCAAAAAGCTGTTGAACACAAGCCAAGGTTCCACAGGGACAAAGGCAAGCATGACATGGGTCAAAGGGCCAAAATGGAGGGTGCACTAGTCCTGTAATGAGTTTCATTTCTTCCCTCCAAGGTGGAGAGTCATTGATGATTAGCCAGTTATAAAGCGCTGCCCCTGGGGAGAGGCGGCTGCTCTCACCAGATTTATGGGCCCAGTTATCTCCTGTACAGATATAGACTGTGGAGGAGGAGGCGGCGGTGCCTCATTTCAAATCAAAGTTTATTGGTCGCATACACATTTCAGCAGATGTTATAGCGGGTGCAGCGAAATGCTTATGTTACTACCTCCTAACAATGTAGTAAAACGTCAAACAGTACACAAATAATCAAAAGTTTCATTTAAAATACTAAAATCAGAGAACGCGTTTCCACTGCTCCAGAGTCCAATGGCGGCAAGCTTTACACCACTTCCCCCAACGCTTGGCATTGCGCATGGTGATCTTAGGCTCATGAAGTTCCCGACGAACAGTTCTTGTGCGGACGTTGCTTTCAGAGGCAGTTTGGAACTCTGTATTGAGTGTTGCAACCGAGGACAAACCATTTTTACATGCTAGACTGACTGACTTGTTGGAAAGGTGGCATCCTATGACAGTGCCACGTTGAAAGTCAATGAGCTCTTTAGTAAGGCCATTCTACTGCCAATGTTTGTCTATGGAGATTGCATAGCTGTGTGCACGATTTTAAAACACCTGTCAGCCACAGGTGTGGCTGAAATGGCCAAATCCACTAATTTAAAGGGGTGTCCACATACTTTTGTATATTAGAGTGAGCTATGCCAATAATCCAGTATATAAATATATGTGGTGTGGATAAACAGTAACTGAAATGTGATGTACAGTTGTATAAATATTAGAATGAGATATGTGGAGAATACAGTATTTAAATACACAGTACAAAACCATGACAAAATGTAAAGAATTGTGGGAAATTAGCTTCTGGACCAGAATTCGGAATATCAATATATATGAATGGGGTACTGTAGACAGTATGTTAATAGAAAAGGTGTACAGCAGTAGTTATGTAGGATGAGCCATGACACCAATACACTGTGCTCTGCTGACCAAGGCCTCATGACTGCTCACATGTCAGAGAGAAGACAGAGTCAGGGTGGGAGACCTCAGTACACAGGGTCAGCAGGCAGGTCACTGGTACCCTGGACATTTATCTTCCTTAATTGACAGCCTGGGTGAAACACAGGGCAAGAGCTGGGGGGGAAAAATTGTCTTCCTTACTCTCCACAGCCTAGGCCTACCTCTAGGTTCAGGAAGAACACTGTTAGACTGAGGACTGGGTCAATATCCTTCCTGTATCCTGACTACAGCACACAGCCAACCAGGGACTGTACAGGCAGGTAGGCAGTCAGGCCGACCACGTGGGAGAACCAACTTATCAAGGGCATTCGCACTCTCTTTCCAGTGGGCTTGGGCTGAGCAGCCACCTCCTCCTCAGGAGAACAGATGAGACAGGGAGTGAAGGCGGGCTAATACTCCCCCATAAACCCTCCTTTCTCCACTTAACTGGAGACGACACCCTGCCTTTACCTCTGGCCCATGACTTCTGAACCACTCTGACTCTTCTAGCACCTCCACTCAACAACAGCCCCAGACCCTACATTGTGGTATTCCTGCCTGGCTAAAAGCACAAGCTCCACAGCTATTACGAAGGAAGTGAATTATTAAGGCTATTCAGCTCCAGGATCTCTAATGCACTGGAGCCAGAGCCATGTGTGCTGTTCACAGCCGCCACTGACAGGCAGCTGATCTCATCCTGGACCAGTGCCACGGTACCTTGGAAGTGTGAACAAAGGCCATCTGGACACTGCGCTGTCCACCGACTGTACTGGGGGCAGGTTAGATCAAAGCACAGACTTGAGTCCGGGGAGCCTCATTAGCTTTGCATTTGAAGAAAAACATAGCCTACCTAAAGACAGACGCTTACGCAATCACTTGCTTCTCATTAAAAGGTTGAGTGAAATTCCCAAAGCAAATGTCTCCCTCTGGAGAACTTCAGATGCAGACATTCCTTTTGCCTCCCAGTCCGGGAAGAGCAAAGAGATTGCATAATGCTCCGTCAGGCATGAGAGAGAGGCAGTGTTGTTCACACCTCAGTTCAAACCTGTAATCCACTGCCCACCAGGCATAGCATACCGCTCCTCCAACAGTCACCAGGACAGACCCAAGTGCCAGGGAGAGGAGGGGAGAGAGGAAGCGCAACCGGATCCAAGGACGAAAACACATCCAGGTTTTTTAGCAAACAGGAAATAGGCCGAGTAACTCAAACCTTATGTAGCCCACACTATGGATTGGAAGCCAAAGAAGCTAATCTTATTCTTAACAGTTCTACCTCTGAGGGACTCTCGTTACTCATTGAAGTACACTTCAAAATGTCTTCTTCCATCCTAATAACACCATTAAAGATTGACGACACAGGTAAACAAGACAATGCATCCCTAAAGATAGAACATCGGGTAAAGAAGGGCAGCACAGAAACTAAATCACACACAACCTACCCTCCCTGGATAATGCAAATTTCACACTGCAAATAAAGGAACAATTTACAAAACAAATTAGCCTTGAAGCAGAGAATCCTGGTGTGCTCAGCTTCGACTTTAGAGCCGCTGAGCCAGTCAGCCAGAGACCTCTGTGGGTTAGTTACCCATATCCTATTTTGTATCTGCATCCGACTCGCTCTTTGAGAGTCATTAAACGCGAGAGCAACGTTGTTGCAATGCTGCCCCAAGGTTACAGCCACAGTCTGTAAACACAGACTGGGGATTTAATTTAAATCAAGAAGTTACTGAACAACCAGCCACAAACTGGATTTCCTGGATGCAGACCAACGAGACGTTTTTCGACAGAAACATAAGACACTTTGGAGAATACAAATCATGTCTTAAATTAAATGGCATATTAAAAGAGGTAGCGGTCCAATGAGAACCCCCTGGAGTCCACTAGATAAAAACAGCTGCTTTGAATGGTCATTGATTGAATTTCAGTTAAACATGAGGGCCAAATACATTTTTGCATTGTTACAGGACGTCAACGTTCGACAGTAGATTCCTGCTTGATGAAAATGCATTAGCTACAATAAGGGGATGGGGATCAATAAAACCAACATGGAACACTCAATTGAGCCGAGACCCAATTGCTGGGAAAGAAACACATTGTAAAACAGGTACGAATTGGTACCGGGAAGAAAAACACACGCTATTCAAAGCAGAGGCAACAGAATGCTGTATTTAGCCGTTGCCAAACCCCGGATGATGACTTCACAGTCTGATGACACCGTGCCCTGTCACAACATCTCACCAGTAACTGACCAGTGAAATCACAATGTTCATCACAAACACAATGTTCCTGTTACGGACAAAAATACATATAGGCCTTTTCCCCATACCTAGAATATGTCAAATGTCTGAATGGACTAGTATAGAAGTTTTGTTAATTCATTTCTCAATACATGAACCGGTGAGATAGTGTACAAGTGCAGCTTCAGTTGTTTTTGATGCATCACTCACCTACATATGAGTTTAGTCACCCGTGACAGACTTACTATTTATTACATGTGAGATTTGGTTCTGGCCTGGGTTCCGAGACTCTGCTGTTATTACATGCAGTGTGGTTATGGTGCTGCCACCAAGACAAATACAAGTATAGCCTAATGGCTTGCATCATGCGTTTAGTCTGAATTTCTTTGACCTTTATATAGTGCTGCTTAGCCTATAGATATATAATGTAGTACATTGTCTGCACTAAAGATAAGCCTCTACTGATTAGGCTACTGGCTGTGTAGTGCGCATGGTTTAACTTCGAACAGGGCTCTCCTCCCCTTCCTGAAAACCCATCTCTGCTTGGCAGTCGGCCACCACGATGCAAAACACACAGCAGCTAGCTACTCCTGGAGACCAGCAGATGACAACGGCATGGTGCTTTTATCACAGCCATACTGCAATCCACACTGCCAACACTAACCTGGGTCTCCTCAGCGAAGGAGAAGACAAGCACTCTTCAAGCCCAACTGAAAACACACACAAAAACACAGGCACACATAGTTACCCTCACAAAAACAAACAAGCACGCGAGGACACACTTTAAAATGATATATCAGCTGCCCAGAGGAATAGATGGGCTTGCTGCTTCTGAGGCCTGAATCTCCAAGTGAAATTGACAGACAAGGCTGGCTGGGGGGTGCTGAGTTGCTCAAGTCAAGTAGGGAAATAGAGGCAGCAGCAGCAATGAGCTCCTGAACACAATCCTAAAGTTGATACTGGCTGTTGTCACTTGGTATCTGTGAGTGAGTGAACATGACAAGTGGCTTGTGGAGCCCTGGGCAGAGTGGGCCCTGATATCATGATGTACGCTAACAGAATAAAAGCCTGTGACTGCAGGTGCTATTGAGGTCAGAAAAAGCATATTCTGTAGAACAGAGAGAGGGCGTCTCTGAATTTGTTTCGCATATCATTTGCCTGGATATGGTGAATATGATTTTAATGGTCAAACGAGCAAAGCAGCTGTTTGCTACAGAAAATGAAAACATTTAAACGAATTCAAAATAAAGTCACTTTAAACATGATTTAAAAAGTAATCAATGACAATGTTTAAGGTTAAAAAAAGATCTGTAATGTAGGCTGGGCTGTATTCTTTGTTGGTTGGGGAAACTAAATACAGGAAACAGGAGAACAAAACATAAAATGGTCAGTCCCCTCAAAGTCCTCTATTGTAAAATGCAGTTGTAAGCTTGTTGCTGTATATAAGCCTCATAAGGAATGCCACAATCTCCTACTTCCTTGTTTAATGAGGTTTGAAGTGCAGGGCATGGAGAGAGGGAACACTGGAGACCAACTACAGTACTTCTTCATGCACTGCACTTGCCCCAACGACACCTGCTTTTGACTACTCAGAGGGCAAAGGCAGCAGCGCTGTGCAAAAGCCATGTTAATATTTTAAAAAAATCAGAGCATCGGTTTCAAATAGCTCTCCAGACGGAAACAACTTCCTCATACAGGGGAATTGGAGGACAGCCTACGTAAGTGCCAGTACAGTTGCTTTATTGTTAACCCCACAGGAAACAACAAACATGTAGGCCTGTGTGTGTGTGTGTGTGTGTAGGGCGTCACCAGGTCTCAATTAATGATGAACTTGTTTAGGCCTGGTCTGACTAAACAGCCACTTATCTAGACAAGGTTTAGTACTCGATAATACGGCGGTTCCTTCAAAGGGAGTAGGAGACTGGGTGACTACAAGGCTAGCTCACCTGCCATTTAGCCTAGTACACAACTTGCCCTCAGCCACAGGAGCACACAGGGAAATGGGAGGGGAAACCCCGGAACAAGGAAGCAGATGGGAATGGTTCAATGAGTACACATGGATCACATGAAGGGACAAACCAAACAGCCTAGAATATACAAACTGACTGAACTGTTTTAGTTAACAATAGTTTTTTGTGAACAATAGATAGATTGTCAAAACACAAGTAGCCTATTTCAATGCGGCGGATGTAATGCAAACAGATCTTGATCCTAAAATCTTGGAATTCATCAAGAGATGGGGATGATAAGTCGCTCTGGATAAGAGCGTCTGCTAAATGACGTAAATGTAATGTAAATGGATGACTATGTGCGAAAACTGCTAAATTATAAAGCAAATCTGCTAGGTAACAGTGAGTGCATAATGTTTGAACACAGGCAACACACAGGGCACCAATGCTGTTATTCACTGCAGTACTTGTGCTGGCACTCCTCTCTCGCGCACTCTACCACTCTCACCATCTTACTCTACCACTCTCACCATCTTACTCTACCACTCTCACCATCTTACTCTACCACTCTCACCATCTTACTCCACCACTCTCACCATCTTACTCCTCCTCGTCTGACTACCTCTTGCCTTCTCTTACTCTCATTCACTCAGTTTCAAATCACGCATTCAACTAGTCATGATTAACTTACAGGCTCCAGCCAATGGTTTCCACCAGACTTCAAACCTTGCATCTACGATTAGCCTACAGTTCAGACTATGTGGCTTAGAAACATCGTACCATCATGAAACTATGGTGTCACCTCCATCACTGGTTCACCCACAAAGGCCCATTGTAGTTCTTATGCCTCTCCTGACTGCCATTCGCAGACAGTGCTGAGTAGCACCATAGTTTATTATTAGGACAATGGCAACTTGAATTGAGGACCGGTTCGTCCTAAAGAGCTGCTGTTGAATGGAAAAGGCCCACTGTTTCAGTAGGCATCTCTGCAGCTGCAGTAGGCGGACACTGTACTGTAGCATCCTTGTACTGTGGACTGGCCTGCATTACACCGGGGAGGAAAGAAACTATGCTAGACCTCACTTCGGGATCCATCTAGAGCTGAATAGAGTAGTGTACTAAAGTAAGCTAGTGACAGATATTGTGCTGCTGACTATTGTGGGAATGTTTTTTCAAGACCTCAGACAT